CTCTTCTCTTATTGGAAATGTGGAGAATTAAACCACTTATTTTCATTTGCATTTGCTCTTACATATTCAAGTTTTATGCACAAATTATGTGCTTCATTCTCTTGCCTATTCACTGATCAAAATTTATGTCTTTCACAACTTTATAAGAATATCACCATTATGACGTTATTAATTCTAAAGTATTTCAATTTTATTGTAGAGATTTAAAAAAAATAAATGGCATGACAGAAAGCACGTATACATCATGTAAGACAGTGTTTCTTCCCTTAAAAGTCATTTTTGTTGGTGAATGTATTTACTAAATAAATATGAATTGAGTGTCCTCTATGGTTCAGGCACTGCTTTCCTCATCTGGGATACTTCAGTGAATTAAGCAAAGAAACATTGTGTTTATGCAGCTTAAAACCTAGAAGAAGGATACAGTCAATAAACAAAAAACATTATAAGCAGTAAGCCTGTTTTATTACAAGGTGATAAAGTCTGTGGGATAAAATAGAGTAATATTCAATATAATGGTAATTGGAAGGATAATGGTGGGGGTGAAGCTGCAGTTTCAGCTTGTCAGAGTGTGCCTCGTTGAGATGAAATTTAAGTGGACACTGGAAGGAGGCTAATTCTACAATTAATGTCTGAGTATATGGCTACATCTTTGCAGGAATATAGAAAAGAGAGTCAGATACGTTATCTTAATTTTGTCAGTTATAAGGAACAGTAGCCAAGGACAGTGTGGATTCAACATAGCAGAATATTTTGCTGTGTTCATTTGCCTTGCTGTCTATAAGAGAATACCTGAGGCTGGGTAATTTATGAAGAGAGGGGGTTATCCAACTCCTGTATTTGAAGGCTGTATAAGAAGCATGGCACCAGCCTTTACTTCTGGTGAGGGCCTCTGGCCACTTCTACTCATGGCAACGGCCAAGAACAGCTAGCCTGTGCAGAAATCACACCATGAGAGAGGAAGAAAGAGAGAGAGGGATGAAAGGGAATGACAGCTCTGTGGGAACTAATGGAGCAAGATTGCACTCATTACTGGGAGGACAACACCAGGCTATTCTCGAGGGTTTTGCCCACACGACCCAAGCACTTCCCAACAGGCCCTACCTCCATCACAGTGATCAAATTTCAACCTGGGTTGTGGGGAGACAAATGCCTAAACAATAGCAATGGAGAGATGTGGGACGCTGGAACTTGGGGCTTAGGAATGGGGAAAGAAGCAGATTGGGGAGTTTCTGCTCTGTCCAGGAAGACAAGAGTCTCTAGTACAATTCAATTTCGATAGCTCAATTCTCCTCTTTTCCTTGAGGTCTTAGAACCATGACAAAAAGACATGGATAAGGTGTTTAAGTCAAGCAGTGGTATATGTTGTTTAAGTGCTGCCAGAATAATAGGACTTATATAAAACGTGGCTTTTCATAGTGGCATAATCAGGCCACTTTTATAATCTGTGCCAACTGCTGTTTTCAGATAAAATATTCTGTAATTTCTGTAGAAGGCTTCTTTTAGGGTAGTTCATCCTCTGGTGACTCAGATAGAAAAAGCCACTCTTTAGCTTGGAATTCGGTGCTCTACGAGAGGCTGAAGACAAGTCCGGAGGATGCACATGGTCGCAAGGACTTGGCGGCTGTGGGCGTGGCCTAGAGTGCTCACATGGTCCCAACCACATGGTAGCAAACTTTCTTCTCCAGCAGGAGGCAGGCAGAAAGGCACTGAAATGGGCAGGGCAGCTGCAGCGGCCCAGCCTACTTCTTTAAATTGTGTGCTCTAAGAGTCCCTCCCTAGAAGCTTACCCCTTCTAGGGCAGTTTTATAAATTGGCCTGCACATTAGACCTTTGCTGAAAATATTGGTACCCATCTCCTAAGCCTCATAAGCATCGTCAAAGCACATTGGTAGAACCACTCACCCCAACAGCTTCCTTTTGTTCCATGCCCCTATGGTAGTCACTGAAGGGCATAAGAGGGCGTGGGCTTAAGCCCATAACGCAGATAGGTCGTAATTAAAATCCAGTTCATGGCGAGCCCTGTAATAAAATAGATCACGCATCTTGGGCACACAAAATTTCGGGGTACTGACTGAAAAACGTTTCATTTCAGTACACATTTTACCTCAGGTCAAAGCGGCTGTAATTTTTTTTAACTTGGGATGCGGACATGCCTTGTGTTCCATTTCAAATAGGTGCTTCTATTCCTAAGCTCGAGTCCCCGTTAAAATGTATACTGAAAAATTGAGACCAATTTAACACACGTCTTTAAAAAAAGCAGCTCATCTTTCTCTGCTGAACAGAGTAGCCAAAATACCCCCTGCTGAGTGGAAAAACCTGGCCTCCAAAGAGAAGTATAAATTATAGCACCATTCTACAATTAAACCTGCATTGTAAAAGTAAAAGTAAATAGTTTAAGGTCCCCTATGTGCAACTATTCTTTTCTCTAAGGAATAAGCCTCAGCTCTCTCAGGCTTATGCCCTTACACTATTCAGCCCTCCTCAGGACTACTTCCACCAGTGGATCTCCCTGTGGCAACTACCTCCACCAATGCCAACCAGGGCTCCTCAGCTCCCATACCCCAACAGGAGCCAGGGAGGGCCAAGACAGCCAGGGCATCTCAGGCTACCCAGATGCCCAAACTCTGCCCCCTACAGGCAGTGGGAGGAGAATTTGGCCCAATAAAGTTGAATGAATACCCTCTTCTCACTTTCTAACTTAAAACAAATTAAAGCAGACTTAGGAAAGTTTCAAATAACCCCAACAAGTACATAAACGTTCTTCAGGGCCTAAGTCAGTCCTTCAAATTAAACTGGAGGAATGTCATGTTTTTGCTTAATCAAACCCTAGCCAGTAATGACAAAAAGGCTGCTCTAGCAGTCACTCAAAAGTTGAGGGACATGTGGTACCTTAGTCAGGTACATAACCTAATAACACCAGAGGATATGAACAAATATCCCACAGGTACACAGGCAGTCCCTGCCATGGACCCTTGCTGGAATCCAGAGTCAAAACAGGGGGACTAGAGCTGTAAGCATTTCCTAACTCAGATACTTAAGGGAGTAAAGCAAACTAGGAAAAAGCCAATAACCTGCAATGTTATCCACCGTAACTCAAGGAAAGGAAAAAAACCAACAGCTTTCCTTGAGCGATTGCAAAATGCTTTAAAAAAGTACACTCCCCTGTCACCAAACTCTATTAAGGGTCAGTTAATACTAAAAAACAAGCTTATTACTCAGTCAGCAGCAAATATCAAGAGAAAGCTTCAGAAGCTAGCTTTAAGACCAGAACACAGTCTAGAATCACTGCTAAACCAGGCCACCTCAGTGTTTTATAATAAAAACCAAAAGGAACAGGCTAAAAAAAAAAAAAAAACCAGGAAAAATCAGAGAAAGGCTGCTGCCTTAGTTATAGCCTTCAGGCAAGCAAACCCCAGGGGTTCAAATAAGGGAAAGGCTCAGGTTAGCCGCCAGTCCAGCAAAACTTGTTACCACTGCAGTTTAAAGGGACATGTTACAAAAAACTGTTCCCAGAGGAATAAACCACCACCTCATCCATGCCCGCTGTGCCAAAGAAATCACTAAAAAGCACACAGTCCCTGGGAACCAAGGTCCCCTGGGCCTAAGGGGTCTAACCAAATAACCCAATGGCAAAACTGAGGATGCCTAAAACAAGTGCCATCATAAGCCATCACCCTCACAAAGCCCCAGGTAAAGCTAGCCATAAAGGTTCCAAAAGCCAATCTTCTCCAAGGCACTAGCACAGTGTTCTCAGTATTTCTCTCCTGCCCTAAAAACTTAGTGCTAGTATTAAAAAAGTTACTACCTCTATTCAGTTACTATAAGCTATCTCAAAAGTTAATTAGTAACAAAGACATGTTGCTAATTCTCTTTGCAAAGGGCACCTCTCTCTGCAAACCAGCTTAACAGCTGCCATAGCTTTAAAAATAGAAGAGCCCTAAATCTGCTAACAACAGAAATAAGAAAAACCTGTTTCTTTCTAGGAAAAATGCTGCTATTTTGTAAACTAGTTTAGTGTTATTTTAAATATAAAACTCAGAGATCAATAAAAAACAGGGCTAGAACCCTTCAAAAACCTAGCTCTGCTCTCTCTTAGGCTCATTTATAACCCTAAGCCTCTCATCTTTAACCACCTGGTCATATTCATTTCTTACAAAACCATAAGGTCACAGTTAATCCTGCTGCTAGAACCCTGAATGTTCTTAGCTCGTAAGCTTTATCATAAACCTGTAAATCAACCTGCACCCCTAAAAGGCTCCCCGCTGGAAGAAACCTCAACTGCAGGGCCCCTTCTATACCCCATTTCAGCAGGAAGTAAAGATCAACACCCCAATTCCAACAGAAGTTAAGCTTTCCTGTTCAGAAAGGGGAATGAGGAAAGGTGTTCTCTTTCTGGGTCCATGAAGGGGCGTAGCTTTAAGGGCAAGAATCTCCCAGCTCTATGCCTCCCTCCCATCTCTCTCCACCCCGGAGATTCAACGGTTTATGTTTGAATTTCGTGGGCACCAGAAGAAACTAAAAGTCAATCACTCCAGCGGAAGTTCTAAGGAATTCCTCTCATTGGCCCAGGGTCTTAGAGAAGGTGGGTGTTTCTTCGTCACCTGCGCCGGATTTTCCAGCTTTCTCGAATCCCCTTCCACACAGTGGGAGTTCCCTCTGGGATCTCTCTGGAATCCCCTTCCACACAGTGGGAGCTCCCTCTGGGATCTCTCCTCTGGACTCCCCTTCCACACTCTTCTTGGAAGCCTTTCTCCTCCTTTCCTTCTATTTTCTCTACCTAAATAAAATCACCTTTCTGCAACACTTTTTTGGGTCCGATATTCACTTTACCAGCATACGGTCCACCTGCAGTGGCCCCACCGCTTATGCCTTAAGAGGTGGGAGGCCAAAAACCCACAATAATCACCATCATGCGAGAAAAACCTAGTTACAATATGGCCCTTACAGTTTCTGCTGGCAGTGCTGTTTTCAAATACAATCTTTTGTTATCTGCTGTGTAGGTGGCTTCTCTTATGGGAGTTCATTCTCTGGTGCCTCAGACAGAAAAAAGCCACTCTTTAGCTTAGAATTTGGTTCTTCAGGAGAGGCTGAAGACAAGTCCGGACAACGTCGAGGTACTGCAAGTTCAAAGTCAGAAGACACCCTGGCAGGTACTGTTACTGTTACAGAAAATACTCTTGCCTAGCAAGTGTGTGTGTTTTTTAAATAATATGATACCATTTGTTTTATTGAAGACATAGCCTTAATAGAAATGTGAAGACCCTATAGGCACTAATGCTAGTGCCAATGAGAGTGCTAAGTTTTTTCTTTAGAGAATTGTGGCAAAGTGGTTTACATTAATAATTGTCCTGGTAATATTTATGTTTATGTTATCTTCATATGTAGTATATTTTATTGTTATTATATTTCAGTGTATAAATCAATAATTTAAAGTGCTTCCTGAACCCAAATATAGCGTAGGATCTCTCCATTCACATTTCTGTCATCTACCACCATTCATTTTCTACATTAGGATTCTCTCTTTACATTACAATAAACAATAATATAAAGCTAAACAGTATCATAAAGCACAGTTTCTAAAAAGTTTGTGGCCTACAATTTTTGGGGGGTGAAAAAATTTAAATGTCTTCAGGTGTGGTATTTCATCTCTTGTATGTGCCTGTTCTCATACTGCTGTGAAGAAACACCTGAGACTGGGTAATTTATAAGGAAAAGAGGCTTAATTGACTCACAGTTCTGCATGGCTGAGGAGGCCTCAGGAAAGTTATGGCAGAAGAGGAGACAAACATATCCTTCTTCACATGACAGCGGGAGAGAGAAAAATAAGAGCACCGGAGTAAAGGGAGAAGCCCCTATGAAACCACCAGATCTTGAGAACTTACTCATTATCACAAGAATAGCATGAGGGAAACCCCACCCATGCTATTCAATTACCTCCCACCAGGTCCCTCCCACCACACATGGGGACTATGGGAACTGCATTTCACCATGAGATTTGGGTGGCTACACAGCCAAACCATATCACTTGTTTAAAATATTTCTTTTCTCCCACAAATTCAAATTTTTCTGTATTTTCTTGGTCTCTGAAATCGGTATGGTTTGTACCTCTACAAAAAAGCAAAAGAAGGAAGTCCAGTGAAATAAATCATTTCAATATCTTATATGCAAATTAAATATTTGAGTTCATGTAATGAAAAAGCAGTAACAGCTTTGGGTGTAGGGGTGTGGTTATTTCTTTAGGCAGGATATAAAATTTTGTATTTTTCAATGAGGTTGGTATTATTTTATCCACATTCACTATGTAGTCCTCATTTAATAGTAAAATATATTTTGCTTAACGAAAGTTTGTTTTAGAAGTGTTAATTTGTTTAACAAAGGGCAGGCCAAGGGCATAGTCAGGGTCAAGAATATAAATGTAGGTATATACATAATTAAAAGTTACAAATAAAAGAAGAAAATAGTATATAAAGTATCTTTTTGTTTGTACCTTGACAGCAGTACATTTGTGACAACCTGGAAGGCATGTTCCAATGTAGCTTTTCATGTTTCTTGGAATTCAATGGGAGAATAAGTTTGGCCAGGCCCTAGGCAAGGTCCCTACAGCCCCACCCCTTCTATCTCCAGCTTAGCCCCATACTGGGAAGGATGCCCCAGCTTTACTATCTCAGTTCATCTTCTTCCACACACTGGCCATTCCCTGTCCATCCTTCAGACCCAGGGTTTCAATCATTGCAATGTGGTCTCACCTGGAGAAGAAGGTCTTGGAAAGATGCCCATGTAGGCCCAGATCATGGGTTTGGCTGTAGCCTTGGGGACTTAGAATATGGTCCAGCAGTGGGGTAAGGGACGACACAGGCTCTAGGTGAGTATTGCTTTTCCACCCTCAGCCTGTGGTCTCTGCTTTCTGAGGAGTGTCATGACCCAAGGAAGGCCAGAGTGAGACTTACATAGATCAGATTAGGAACTTCCAAAATGTATGGGTTAGATGATTAAATCCACCAGTGGCATATGTTGTTTCAAGAGCTACTAGGACAATGGGATTTATACAAAATAAAATGGGGCTTTTCATGGTGTCATAATCAGATGACTTTATATTCTGTGCTAATAATGCTGTTTTCAAATAAAATCTTGTGTCATTTGCTGTAGGTGGCTTTTCTTATGGTAGTTCATCCTCTGGTGACTCAGACAGGAAAAAGCCACACTTTAGCTTAGAAATTGGTGCTCAAGATAAGGCTGAAGACAAGTCCAGAGACCGTCAGGATGTTGGAGGTTCACAGCCAGAAGACATCCCAGCAGGTACTGTTCCAGAAAAACACATGTATTTAGCAAGCAAGTGCTGTTTGTTTTCATTTTGGATAATCTGAAAATCTATGTTTTCTTAAAGACAAAGCCTGCACAGAAATAGTGGGGACCCTAAAGACACTAATTTCAGGGTCAATGAGAGTGATAAATTCTATCTTTAGAGAATTGTGGCAAAGAAGTTTACATTAAATTTATTATTGTCCTGATAATCTTTATTTTTAATGCTATCTTTTTAATTAGAATCTTTATTATTATGACATATTTCAGTGTATAAATTAATAATTTAAAATGCTTCCTGGACCCAAATGTAGTGTAGGATTTCTAGGATTTCTCCATTCGTGTTTCTATAATCTAGCCACCATTCATTTCCTACACTAGGATTCTCTCTCTTTTTTTTTTTGAGTTGGAGTATCACTGTGTTGCCTAGGCTGGAGTGCAGTGGCTCAATCTCAGTTCACTGCAACCTCTGTCTCCTGGGTTCAGGAGTTTCTCCTCCCTTGGCCTCCTGAGTAGCTGGGTTTACAGGTGTGTGCCACCACACCCATCTAATTTTTGTATTTTTAGTAGAGATGAGGTTTCACCATGTTGGTCAGGCTGGTCTCGAACTCCTAACCTCGTGATCCGCTCACCAAGGCTCTCCCAAAGTTCGGGGATTACAGGCATGAGCCACTGCGCCCGGCCAGATTCTCTCTTTAAATTACACACTCAGTTTACTAAATGGTAGCATAAAGCTGAGCTTCTAAACAGTGCATAGACTGCAGTTTTTTTTTAAGGAAAAAATTTAAATGTCTTTAGGTGAGGCATTCAATCTCTAGTTTGACATATCTTTCCCTGCTGGGCTATTTAAACTTTCACTGTACTTGCCAGGTCTCTGCAACCTTTCAGGTTTATACTTCTGCATGAGAAAGAAAGAGGTTCAGTGAAATAAATAACTTTAATATTTTACATGAAAAATTAGTATTTGAGTCCATGTAATAAAAAGGCAGAAACAGCTTTGGGTGTAGGGGCGCGGTTGTAATATCTTTAGGTAAGACATAAAATTTTATCTCTTTTCATGAGTTTGGTAATATTTTATCCTCAAACATTACGCAGGGCCCATTTAATAGTGAAATACACTTTGTTTTAGAAATGTTAATCTGGTTAGCTAAGGACAGGCCAAGGGCACAGTCAGGGTCAAGAGTATAAATGCAGGTGTATGCATAATTAAAAGTTACCAATAAAGGAACACAATACTATGGAAAATGCCTTGCTTTTTCTACTTTGACAAAAGTACACTTTTGACAACTTTGAAGGCAGAATCCAAGATAGAATTTTCAGGTTTATTGGAGTTCAATGAAAGACCAGTGTTGACAGTGCCCTAGCTAAGGTTCCCACAGTCATGCTTCTTCTGTCTCTGCTTATTCCCATACTGGGAGGGACATCGCAGCTTTTCTATCTCAGTCCATCTCCTTCTGCACAGTGTCCATGCCTTATCAATTCCCTCAGGCCAAGGGGATCCTATTTGCAATGTGGTCTCACCTAGAGAAGAAGGTCTTAGGAAACATACCCATGCATGGCCATATACTGAACTAGGGACTGTAGCCCTGAGCCCTAGAATATGATCCAGAAAGGAAGATGGGGATAGCACAGGCCCTGGGCAGGGAGGCATAATCCCTTCACTCTTGGCCTATATTCTGTGCTCTCTGAGGAGCACTGTGACCCCAGGAAGGCCAGAGGAAGATGTGGGTAGATTAGAACATGAATCCCTGTTGCCTGAGTGCAAGAGAGCTACTATCTAAGGCTACTGATTGTGAATGGAGGAACTCAGGTGGGTTTGAAGTAAGAGTTTATACTCTTGCTGTGACTGAATACAGCTTTGCTTCCTTCTGCTTTGCCATCAAACTAAAATATTTGTATATTAAGGTGCAGCTCTGAAACTACATGACATTGAAAAAGACAATGAGAAAGATGGTAAAAGAGAAAAAGAGGAAGAGTATATAGTGACAAAGTGTAGATAGAGGGGAAGAGGAGGAAAAGAGGGGAAATACTGTATATAGGAGGAGTGGTACAGGTAATAGTGGTTGGAGGGTTAGGTAATAAAGCAATAATATATATCGGCTATACACAATTTAAACATTGTTTTAGTCCTAAAACAAACACCTACGTGCAAATTTTATAATTGCAAAATCTCTTAAAAGTTGAATGCTTTTCCCTAATACTACATAACAGATTATTATTTTGACTCTTCTCATAATTAGAGACATTTTATTTTTAAGATTTGCTTTAGAAGAGTAGAGATATACTTGCTAGAAACATGGAAAATGGTTAAGAATTCCGAGAGTGGTTGTTGGGAAATGTATTTAAAAACAATCTCCTACCACTTCTGAAAACTTGTCCTGACAGGCATCTTGCTACAAAGATTGCAGGCCCACAGAAATCTTTCTCTTTATAAAACAAGCAGATAAACCCCATTACATATAAGATGTGAAGATAAGCAATAACTAGTTACTGAGTGGACTCAACAGCACCATTAGCCACAGAGTTCATCCTACATTTACATGGTAGTTGGGGTAGCCACCTGTGTTTGCTGATTGCTTGTAAAAGAAAAAATAAGTTTCTTGTATATTATGACTGGAGGTAGGTTTGAAGTTAGGCCCCTATTTCCTAAGAGTTTGGGAGATAAAGAGCCATCATCCTTCATGACTACATTCAAAGTGTTGGCCCCCAGCCCCTTGAAGAAACATTCTTGGGATGCTTATTTAGTCTTTAAAAAGATCTATCTGCATTTCAGAGAACTGGTGAAAGTATTCGTAACTTTTCTACAGGAAATGATCAAAGAAAAAGTATTTGTGGAGGGAGAAGTCTCTTTTCTTATTTTAATAGGGAGAATTAAATCACTTACTTTATTTGTATTTGTGCTTACATAGTCTTCAAGTATTACTTACAAATATTTCACTTCATTTTTTTATATGATGAACAAAATGTATGTCTTCGACAACTCTACAGGAATATCATGGTTATTAAGATGTTATTAAATATGAAGTATTTAAATTTTATGTAGAGATTTCATAAAATCTACAGATGGCATAATAGAAAGCATATACACTTTGTGTAGCAAAATATTTATTACCTTAAGAAGTGGTCTTTGTTGGTGACTGCATTTATTAAATAAATACTGAGTGCCCTCTATTGTTGAGGCAGGTCTGGATACCTGAAATCCCTTGCTCAACAGAACAGGCAAAGAAACCTTGAGTTTATGGAGCTTAAAATGTAGAGGGATACGGTCAATACTCAATAAACATTATAGACAGCGATAAAAGGTGTATCACAAAGTGATAATTTTACCCTGTATATTACAAGGTGATAAAGTCTGTGGGATAAAATAGAGTAATAGAATGGTAATTGGAAGTGTAACAGTGGAGTGGGATTGCAATTTTAAGTTGTCAGAGCGTGCCTCATTGAGATAAAACTTAAGGAGGTGAATGCTATGATTAATTCATGAATAAATGCTTACCATGCTTTCTTCCTTGCAGAAATACATCAAAGAGAATCAGGCATGTTATCTCAATTTTATCAGCTATAAGGAACCATGTGATTTATAGGCCAAGGACCATGTGGATTTAACATGGCAGAAAAGTTTGATTGGGGGAAGTGCGATGCTGGAACTTGGGGCTTAGGAATGCGGAAGAAAGCAGACTGGGGAGCTTCTGCTCTGTCCAGGAGAAAAGTTTCTATCTAGTACACATCAATTACTGAATCTTCATAGCTCTATGCTCTTCTTTTTCTTGAAGTTTCAGAACCATGACCAAAAACTACAGATAAGGTGATTAAGTCAACCAGGGGTGCATGTTGTTCCAAGGGTCGTCAGGATAATGACACTTACACAAAACAAAATGTGGCTATTCATAGTATCATAACTAGACTAACATAACTATATTATTGTTTTATTACCGAACCCTCCAAGTACTCTTACGTTTTTAGTCTTTTTTTATTCTGTGCTAGCAATGTTATTTTCAAATAAACGTTTTCGTTCTTCACCGTAGGTGGCTTTTTTTATGGTAGTTCATCCTCTGGTGACTCAGACAGAAAAAAGCCACTCTTTAGCTTTGAATTTGGTGCTTCTGGAGAGGCTGAAGACAAGTCCAGAGAACCTCGGTATGCTGAAAGTTTAAGGTCAGAAGATACTTCAGCAGGTACTGTTACAGAAAAAATACCTACCTAGCAAGCAAATACATTTCGTTTTCATTTCGGATAATCTGATAATCTTTGGTTTGTTTGCAGCACATGTCTTTAATAGTAATAGATACTCTAAAGGCCCTGACTCCAGGGCCAATGAGAGTGCTAAATTCTGTCTTTAGAGAATTTTGGCAAAGATGTGTAAGTTAGATTAATTTTTTTTCCTGATAATTGTTTTCCTGTGCACTCTTCATGTTTGGTACTACTATTCTAATGATGAATTATTTTTCTGACATTTTTACTGTATAAGTTAATAATTTAAAAATGCTTCCTGGGCCCAAATGTAGTATAGGTTCTCTCTGCTCTTTTTTTCTATGTCTAACCAATTGATTTTCTGTATCAGAATTCCCTATTAAAATTACGCATCCAGTTTGCTGAGTGATATGATAAGAAGGAGTTCCTAAACAGTTTGTGGCCTGCAGTTTTGTTTTTTTGGGGAAAAAATGTGAATTTCTTTAGGTGAGGTGTGGCCTTGCTGGTTCAATACATACATTTTTTTTTTTTTTTTTTGAGATGGAGTCTCGTTCTGTCACCAGGCTGAAGTACAGTGGTGGGATCTCTGCTCACTGCAACCTCCATATCCTGGGTTCAAGTGATTCTTCTGCCTCAGCCTCCCAAGTAGCTGGGACTACAGGTGTGCCCCACCACATCTGGCTAATTTTTGTGTTTTTAGTAGAGACGGGATTTCACCATGTTGGCCAGGATGTTCTCCACCACTTGATCTTGTGATCCACCCGCCTCGGCCTTTCAAAGTGCTGGGATTACAGGGGTGAGCCACCATGCCTGGCCTCCATACATTTTTTCCTACTGTTTTACTCAAACTTTTACTGGGCTTGCTTGGTCACTGAAATATCTATAGTCTGTAATGCTACAAAATGGGAAGGAAGCAGTCCCAGTGAGGAAAATAAGTTCTATATTTTACATTAAAATTTAGTAGCTTTGTCTAGGAGGTGAAAAGGCAGAAACAGCTGTGGATATAATTATCTTTATGAAGGACGTAACATTTTCTACTTCCCACTCACCTGTCTTGGGACTGACAAACTCCGTAGAGCTAAAGAGTTAAGGCAGATCCTTTTACTCTTGGTGGCATTAGGTGTTAGTCGTTTTCTCATGTTCTGTAGAACACGGTAGAAGTTTACTGTCAAGGGCCTCAAAGCTTTGCCTTTCTTATGGAATTCTTTCACATCTCATGGTAAATTGGTTGCCATTCTTACTCCTGATTCTACGATGTAGAATTATATTGAGAAAGATATGGAATAAGGGAGATCAGGAAATATATCAGAAACTAAAATGAGACTCTGCTTTGAGCAGTCTGTAGGAGATTCATTTCTTGTATTGTGTGAATGAATACAACCTTTCTGTGGTAATGGTTGTATTTTTGTGTGGTAGATGAAACCAGTTCAGCATGTGGTACTGTTTAGTGGTACTGCTTCAAATCAAAATGAAATTGGTAGGGGTCCCTGATCAAAATGGACTAGATATACATGCAGTAAATGGATTAGCTGACTCTGATTCTACTGCCAGGAAAACAGGTATTCTATGTTGTTTATTAGTTAATGCTGTTGTCAGAATAATCAATTAATTAATTTAATTTGCAAAGCAGGAATTGGTGGTGTTTTGACAAATACAGATTTAATGTTAGAGGAATTCATGAGAAAAATTTGTAAACTGTCTGGTTCATAAAGGATCTGTATTAACTTCAACAGAAATCAGCAATTAAACACTTTAGTGAAGAGCAAGTAGGTTTGAGGCTTTTATTGAAGGAGCGTAGAGCTGGGAAGAAGAGACCCAGTTACTATCCGCAGTCTTTCACACTAACCTTTGGAAAAACCATTTAACTTCTCTTATTCCCAAGTTTTGTCACCTGGAACAGGTAAATTTTGGGCTCTTGTGTTTGAATGACATCTACAATGTTAACTTTTAAAATCCCGTTACTAATATTTGACCTAGTTTTCTTGAAAAACAAGGCTGGAGAAAATAAATTTACAAAAGCGTGGAAAAATAGCATTTTATGCTCAGAAACTAGAGCCAATGAAGGAAGTGAGTGTCAAGAAAATATAGTAACTCTAGGTATTTTTGACTTAGAGCAATTTACCTTAAAAGACATGGACACTGGTAGAGACAGGAAGAACAAGGAGTTCGCTGGTGAGAAATCCACAGACCTTGGTACTCACGTCAGTGACTCAGGAATTCTGATTCAGAGGCTATTAATGCAAATAGGAATAATTATTATTCTTTGTTGATTACTCCCGATAACACTTTAATTTTTAATTAGGTGGGAACATTTTGCCTTTTGATTTTGGTGTAGGTGGTGAAAAGAAGAGTGAATTGGAATTTGACTTTGGTAATTCTGGCTCGGTGAAGTTGGTGTCGGTGGTCTTCAACAAAGGCTTTGGTGAAAATGAAATAGAGAACACTGGCAATCAAGTTCCAGTGATCTATATATTACAATTCAGGGTTTTGCATCAAAGTAAAGAATCATAAAATGTATTAAAATATTCCCTGGGCAACAATGATTTTTTTTCTTTCTTTCTTTTATTTTTTTCAGCAGATAGCACCAACACAAGACTTGGTGCTGGCTTTAGTAGCAGTGGTGCCTCTTTGAATGTGGGATTTGGTTTGGGGACCTCTGATGAAAAGGGATTAGAAGTTGGTAGAGCTGATGGGAGTGAAACTAGAGGCAGTGGACCTGCTGGGGGTGAAACCATAGTCTTTGGATCTGATGCGGCTAGCTCAGTCATTCCAACTAAGACTCATTCCTAAACATTTTAGATTGTTTCAATTAATTAATTAGTTAAAATACTTTTATTTTGATATTTAACAGCAAAGAGGTTAATTAATTAATATTAACTTTAGTAATGTTTTGATTTTTCCATTAATGGAACTGGTTATTCTGGTTTGAAACTCGGAGCAGGGAAAGGTGATGCCGCATTTAGTTTTGAAGTTTCTGATTCGAGTTCATTTCGTGACAGTGGCATTATTAGCAAAACAGTTGAAGGAGATCAAATGAGTAGTTCTGGAGCATCTATTTCCATTGATCTAGGTATTAATATCTGACTTTTATGAATAAAAACATTTGAATCATAAAATGTTTTTAATATATCGTGACATTTATTTTATATTCTGCAGGTGATACCAGTTTAAGAAGTGAGAAACAATTTGTTGGTGGTGGCTCTCGAAATTTGATATCCAATTTATGGGATTCTGGCCAAGAGGGATTTGGAATCAGGGAAACTGGAGGAAATGGAATGAGTGGCAGTGTATCCAAAGGTTCTGGATCTGATGCCAGTAGCTCAGGTATTCTAGTCAGTTTCCATTCCTGAGACATACAACTGAATTCCAAATATTAATTTATTTTAAAATATTTTGATTTTTCTGTTAGTGGGAATACTTGAGTCTCTAATTTGGACTTGGAGGAAAAAAAGTTAGAGCTGGATTTGATTTTAGGTGTTCTGGTTCAGGGAAATTTGGTGATAATAACCTTAGTGAAAATGGAATAAAAGTTACTTGAGCATCTAGTTCCAGTGGCTTAGGTATTGTTATTTAATGTCTTTGCATAAAAATTTGAATAATTAACTTATTGAAATACATTCTATGATAATCATTTTCTATCATGTAATTGGTACCAGTGCAATAAAAAGGGATATTTTTTGTGTGATATATCAGAAAATTTAGGCTTTGATTCAGAGAAATTTGGTCAAAAGGGATTAGAAAGAAATTGTCTGGTTGGAATGAGCAGAGCAGCAGTGGGTCTGATGACAGTGGCTCAGATGCTTTAGTCCTGTACTCTGCTCTGATGAAATCTAAAATGATTTCAACCTTTCATCCATTATTTTATTAACATTTTATTTCTTCACCAGTGGGAAAGTCCTGGTTATTTGAATTTGGACTTGGAGAAATGAAGGTTGGAGCTGAATTTAACTTTAGAGACTCTGGTTTAAATCAATCTGGCGACAATGGCAATAGTAGTAAAACTTTTGATGGAAATGGAGTAGATAGTTCTAGAGGCTATAGTTCGAGGTACTGATAGTTACTTTCTGTGCATGGAACAATTCTGAATCATGGTATGCATTGAAAGTAATTCTAGTGACCATATTTTGTATTCAACAGGTGGTTCAAGTGCAAGAAATAAGTTTGAATATTCTGGTGGTATCTCTGAAGATTCAGAAGTCAAATTGGGGTCATCTGATCAACATGGATTTAAAGTCAGTAAAACTGGTGGGAATAGAAAGAGAAGCAGTGAACCTGCTAAGGCTGGAAACTTGAGTCCTGGATCTGATGTCAATGACTCAGGTATCCTAACCTGAACTCTATTTCCAAGAAATTCCAATTAATTTCTTTCCTCTTTATTTCTTTTATTTACATTTTGATTTTCCATTAGGAGGAAACACTTGGTCTTCTGGTTCTGGAAGTGATGGAGAAAGTAACGATGCAGATGGACTTGGTGTTGGTGCTTCTGGACTAAATGAATTTGGTGAAACTGGCCTTAGTGGTACAGGTATCTGTGATAATGGAAATAATGTGACTAGGTCTCATTCCTATGGCATAGGCGTTGAGATTTCTGATGATCAGAAAATCAGAATTCTAAGATACATCTTAAAATAACAGTAAAAATTAGAATCATTATTAATAGTAATTTAAAAAGCAAGTCTGCATTCTCAAATGTTGAAATATGTTTAGATATGATCAGGCAAATGATTAACATTTGTTGGCATAAGAGGTGGAACTGGTTCATGGCTGCGAATATATCAACGTGGAATTCTTTTTGTTGCCTTTATGCAAAATTGATTTGGAGTCAGTTGTAGAGATAGTTAAACTAGCAGCTGAACTGTTGGGCTCAAACTTTGTATCCTGAATCTGAACTTGGTGACTTTAGTTTTCTTTGCAAGCCCATTGCTGCGAAGAGTAAGCCTTGCATCCATTTTGTAATCCTCATAAAATTTAATATCTCCACTTAATGAAAACAATTGATTGCATAGCCTTGAAATTTGTAGTACACATTGTTAAATTAATATGTATTATTGATGCAGAAACTGTTTTGATGCTGTATCAGGGCTGGAAAATCTTGGGAACCACTAGAATAGATGACAATAGAACTGGGGGCAGTGGCTCACTTCCAGCCAATGGAAGTTCTGGAAAGTATTCAGGATTCATCTTTAGAATTCAACTTTAGGATTAATATCTTTTTTCTAAACAAGTGAAATATAATTAGAAAGAGATATAGTGTAATGTAGTAATGGTTGACCAGATACAGGAGTGACTATCAGTTAATTTGTTCCAAGAAAGGCCTGGTCATACAGAAATAATAATTTTACTTTTGGTTGTTCTTAATCTTTGGACATCAATTTTGAAGTCAACTCTTCCATGGAACTGAGAAATTTGAAGTCATTCATTATTGGCACTGATTTTGTTTAATCACAGTTGGTACAAATGATTTAAAAGACACCTAATTTCTGAACTCTAGACAGGCTGCCATCAGCTCAGGTATTCAAATTAGGTTTTCTTCCTGAGAAGTGTATTCAGATAATTATGTCTAATGTTTCCAGTGTGGAGTGGTTGCTGATTTGAGAAATATTTTTTTTGCTATTTGGATGTCAGATTTTAACTGCTTTGATTTTTCCACGTGAGATAGACTTTACTAAGTAGTGTTACTTTTGGTAGTGTATATAATGACAGTCAATCTAGTGGCTTTGCAATGAGAAGTCTGAATCTCTTGACATTAATGAAGGTGTCAGTTGATTTAGATTAGTGGTTTTCATATTAATAGTTTCTGTGCATGCAGAATCTTTTGTTCAGTTGACCTCTTGAAATAGTTCCTAGGTTTCCTAACACTAAAACAATTCAGAATGAGAAAGTTTGGTTGACAGTGAGATAGGAGACCCAGAGCCCTGTCTACTGAGCCTTTTTCTTTTACCTATGATAAGTTTTAAGACAAATGACCTAGAAAACAAAAATTGATTTGCTGTCAGTTAATTTAGAGGCAAGGCATTTAATTTTCTTACCCCAGCAGGTTTTTGAGTTGATTTTTTTTTTTCTTCTACAGCTTTACATAGTCTTAGTCTGCTAGCATTAGCATTGCTGGACTAGGATCTATGGTCTACCCATCAGATTCTCTTTAAAAATTACTTTACCAAGTAAAATAATACACATAAAATAGCCTAATCCTTTTGTATTAAAATAGGTGTCACCAGTTCATCTGAATACAGTACGTCTGAACCACTCAATACTCCAGGTAATTTGATTTATGCTTTTGGGTGTTTAAAAAGATACACATATACACACATAAACATGTGCTTAAAATGTTGTGATGTTCTGCTGATTATTGCTTTACTAGGACTTGATATTATTGTTTCTTATATTGAGCTCTTAAGTGCTGCTTCTCTTTGGATACTAAAGTTTAGATGATCAACTAAGTATTTGAAATAATTTTACGAATAAGAGAGATTAAATCACATTTTAAGGGAATTTGAATAAAATATATTAAAGCTCTTTTACTATTTTAGACATACTATTGTTAAAATTCCTTTATAAATAAATTAGGAGTTCAAACTGTTTCTACTCAGTCTGAGTAAAGACAACTTGTAGTAAAGAGAAGAAGCTTCAAGATAGGTAAAGAGCATTTTGAAAAAGATTTTATAATTCTATCAAAATATCCACTTTTGTTGTTGTTGCTTACTTTTAGGCCTTACCTTAGGCTGAATATAAATTTACTTGGTTACATAAAGTTTCATTAAATATAAACAATCATAATAAATGTAAAGTTTCAAAGTATACAGATTTTTCCCTGTGAATGGGAGAAATAAATTTTCCTCATATACAGATAATTAAATTGTTAGTATTAGATAATAGGCTGATTGACTCGAATGTACCTCAGTCTTATTTGTGCCATGCCTTCTGATAAAAATGAGCATGCAATATTTTATTTCTAAAGTTGAAAAAATATTTCTGTAAGGGGTGCAGCACAAATTAGTAATTGTACAGGATCCCAAATGCATAAGCTCTTAATGATTTGTGAACATACTGAAAAAATAAGAACTGCAGAGATAATCATGTATGTGACTTTGGCAAGTCCCAGCTCTCACAAAGGTATATCTTATATATGTTATATAATATACAGAATAAAAAATTCGTTGATGGCCTTCAATACCAACTTTTAAGTTCCCAGGTAGAAGTTTCAATATCTTACATATTTAGAATGAATATATGTCTTAACATTAAAATAATCTATGCATTGTGTTGAATAGGAAAAGGATCCCATATTCCAGAAGCAACTCCAAAATACTCAGAAACAAGTGCAATTATTGGTAAGTAAAATGGTTGTGATATTCATCCATATATTTATGCAAAAGCAAGTACCTAATGAGGTCACAGAATCAAATTCACAAGATCTGAAACTAGTTTTATTTATTTATTGACAAAGTCTAACTTTGTCATCCAGGCGGGAGTGCAGTGGTGAAATCATAGCTCACTATAACCTTTGACTCCTGGGCTCAAGCAATCCCCTGCCTTAGCCTCCTGGGTAGCTGAGACTATGAGAAGTCACCACCATGACTGGGATATTTCTTTTTCTTGGTAGGAGTGGAGTCTTGCTATGTTGCTTAGTCAGGTCTTGAACTCCTGGTCTCAAATGATCCTCCCAACTCAGCTTTCCAAAATGCTGAAATGATGGGCATAAGCCACTGTGCTTAGCCTGAAACTAGTTTGAAAAATGTCCCCAACATCTGTCTGTTTAATCACTGTATGTTTGAGTGATATAATATTCATACCATTTTTTTCCCTGGAGGGAATCATGTATACACACACACACACACACACACACACACACACATACACACACACATGCATACATCCATACATATCCATATATATATAGATTTATATGTAGAGAGATAAATGATATAATTATTACCTTCATTCGCTATAAATGGGACCTCATTCAGACTTAGAAAAACCATCTCTAAAATAAGCAAAGCAAGAAAGCATACAAACCACCATTTCCCTCCATATATTCCTTCCCGTATTAGAGACAAGTTTTGCTTTCCTATGGGAGACAAGGTATTTTTAGTCTTGCTTTGTTTTAGCCAGAATAGCCAACTTAGGGAATTCTAAAGAAGTACTCATGTACTAGTTTTAGTGAATCTTTGCAGTGGTGAAAGAAAGCAAACACTGATTTATGTGGTGGCTATGAGAATTGAACCTTTCATTGATTTTATTTGATTTTATTTCTCTTAGGACAAAAATGCTTTAAAACAGATCTAGAAGACATGCTAATTGTTCTAAATAATTATGTACATGTTTCTCTAATATTTTGTAGGTGAAGCGTCTACCTGGAGCAAAGGAGCATATAAATCTTTCAATGGCCGCATCTTTTCCTTTGAATCTTCATGCCCGTACACTTTCTGTCGTCACTGTGTTGAATCTGGAGGAGATTTCAATATTGAGATCAAACGAAACAAGGATAGTGAGATTGAAAAAATAACAGTTCTCATTGACAATAATGACATCTCTATTTTCGGTGACACTATTTTAGTTCATGGAGAAAGGTAAATACCATAATGTTTTGGGTAAATGATATAAAATTATTTTAAGTAAACTGAGCAAAAAAAGAAAAAGGAAAAGAAAAAGATAAAAAGGGAGATGGTACTTACTTCCTATTTTGATGCTCATAATAATATTTGTAATTGATTATTGGCCAAGAGATTGATAAAATGTGTAAGACTTTGCCATATTTGGGATTTTAAGACATTATATTTATTCCTATAACAAGATGGAAAAAAATTTGTTGTTTGACTATATTGACTATCTATATTGTGGGAAAAATGTGTATTCAACAAAACTGAATATTTTTGTTGAATATTTCAGGATATGTCAGTTGTCATTTGCAAGTTTAACACCAACATAAATTTGAGAATTTATAAATTAGAAATTGAAGAGAGTAAAACTTGCAGTCCTTGATTTTTAGAGGGAACAATTCGGATTTGGAAGGGATGGCATATTTGAATACTTTCCAGGATAAGAAAATGAGGCATGATATTCTACTTGTGAACATTTCAAGTTATTTGGTCATTTTTTTTCTGACACTGAACCAGTGTCATCTTGTTAATTTTTCTAAAGCCCCAAGGATCTATTACTTGTTTTTTAGAAGTTCATCTGATATTCAAAAAAGACATTCTTTCTCTTTTTTTGAATTGATAAGAAAACTTTAATATTTACCAGCAATAATTATATCTATAAGATACTAAATTGTTGTGTGACATGAGTTATCAGAACACATATTATAATAGTATGATTCTTACCTTTTTACATATACTTGTATTTTGTACTTTTCAGTGTCCAGATACCATATAACAATAAGTTGATTCACATTAAAAAATTTGGAGAATATAATGTTCTGAATAGCCGTAGAGGAATCCTGACTTTAATGTGGGACAAAAATAACAAACTCTCAGTAAGTCTAACTATGATTTTCTTGTAATCCTGTGCTGTTTGTCTTTTAGTTAAGTTATAAAAACAATACATTATAAGGGAAGTAAGAGCTAAGGTTTATTGAGAAATCTCTATCATCACTATACTAAGCATGGTCTCATTTAATATTCAAAAATATCTTAATGTACATACTATTACTAATCATATTTTACAGATGATGAAACTCAGGAAATGCAGAGTAAGAAAACTTATTAGGTTGGTGCAAAAGTAATTATGCTTTTGACCATTACTTTTAAATGGCAAATACTGCAATTACTTTTGCAGCAAATACTCTTTTTGAAGACATATAGTAAATGGTAGAGTCAGGAACTATTTCAAATTCCAGAGCCAGGTCCTTAAGAAAAGACCTTTAAAATCTCTAAGTAACTAACTTATATATAATTGAATTTGAGGAGGCACAGCCTTTTGGTTTGAATACATTTTAAGATGTTTAATATTTCATGAACATATACATGTAATTTTTTTTTTAAAGCTAACTCTTCACAAGCAGTATCCAACTTGTGGTCTTTGTGGTAACTTCAACAGCACTCCAGGTAAGATTCCAATGTATCGTGTTTAAGAACTTGCTTTCCAAAATAAAATTAGAAACGAAAATAAACATAATAATTTGCCTTTTATAAGAATGAGAACTTGTTAAAATAAAAAATTTACATTGCCAAGTCCATATGTAGCTTGAAAATAATGCACACATAAAAAGAATAACTTAAAATAAATAATGCTTTCTTTTTAAGGGCAAGATATTACCGAACACATTGCCAATAGTAAAATTCCCGGTGATTGTCCCAGTGCTGTTGGTAAAAGCTATGAAGTTTGTGAAGATGGAATACAGGCAAGAAACTTATATTTCCTTGTGTGGCAAATTCTAGCAATAGTTCCCTTGGTTTCTTTTTTAAAATAAATTGTATTGTTTACATTTAGGGTACACAACACGTATATATGTTTGTCTGGCATGTGTTTGTCTAGCATCTTTTAACTTTTTGATAGTAGCCGTTCTAACAGGTGTGAGGTGATAGCTCTTGATGGTTTTGATCTGCATTTCCCGGATGATTAATGATCCTGAGCACCTTTCATATTCCTGTCAGACATTTGTATGTCTTCTTTTGAAAAATGTGTGTTTAAGTGTTTTGCCGATTTTTTAATTGGGTTCTTTCTTTTTCCACTTTTGAGTTTTATATGTTCTTTATAAATTTTGGATATTATCCCCCAATCAGATTAAGATACATGGATGGCAATTTCCCCCCAATTTTCAGGCTACCCTTTAACTTTATTAATCATTTCATTGCTATGCAGAAGTACTGTTTGATGCAGTCCCACTTGTTTATTTTTGCTTTTGTGGCCTGAGCTTTTGGTGTGATACCCAAAACATCACTGCCAAGGCCAATGTCCAAAACTTTTCCTCTATATTTCTTTTGACATTTTATATTTTCTGGTCTTAAATTTAGGTCTTTGATTAATTTTGAATTGACATTTATGTATGGTATGATATGTGACTTTAATTTTATTCTTTTACATATGGAAAACCAGTTTTTCCAGCACCATTTAATAAAGAACACATCCTTTCTCCCAGTGTGTCTTTTTGGTGCCTTTTTCAAAAATAATTGACAGTGTATATTTGGATTTATTTCTGGGCTCTCTATTCTGTTCACTGGTCTACGTGTCTGTATTTATGCCATTTTATGCTGTTTTTATTACCCTGGCTTTGTAGCCCTTGGTTCCAGTTTAAGCCCTTGTTTCCATATTCTTCTGAGCACTCGTATTTTCTTCTTAGAATTCTGCAGCTACTTCCTTTCCAATGTTCCTATATTTTTCAGCTTTAGTCTAGTGGTACATGCCAAAATAATCCCCCCAAAACACTATGATATTTACCATATATTAATGCAATGATTACAATTTCCTTTGCACGGTGTTTTAGTTTGTCTGTATGTAAACTGACATGCTTCACCTTTCCACTATCATCTCTTAATGGATACTGACTCGATTCCTTTCTTACAGCTTGAAATCCATGTACTATGTCCCACTCCCTTACTTTTGCCCCAGATGTCCAGTCTGAATTGTCATTCCTCATATCTTTGGCTTTCTTTTTGAGAAAGTTATGAATAATATTTTAACAACAACATTTACAAATAGTTATCTTTTACTCCGTGAATTTTCTGCAGTTATGTAATTATGTTGATTTTGATTGCATCCATTTGGTGACTTAACGAATGTTCACTCATTCCTATTTCAATTAGAATAGAATTCTTAAGATCAAGAGATGTGTGGATAGTATCGATAAGATTTTTTTTTTTTTTTTTTTTTTTACTGAAAGAGGGTGTTGCAGTCATAACCATCCTGTCATCTTCACACAAAGCAAATTACACCGTGGCATTACACAAGATCATCTATCATCTTCATTGTGAAATCTTCCTTGATTTTTGCAGTTGGAATTGGTTTCTCTTTCTTTTGTTACCTTATGGCTCTCATTGGTACTGATAATGAGATAACATCTATAAAAATTGCCCAAGTTTTTCTCATGTGTTCCCTATAAAATTAAGAGTTCCATGATAACAAAAATTATGTATTGTGGTAGTTGCATAATATGTTGAAAACATTCCTTGTTACTCAAAAACAGTAGTTAAATGATTACGTAAATTTATGTTCAAAACAATGCATATTTACTAAGGACCAACTTATGTACAAGATATTGTGTTAAGTCCAGAACATAAAAAATCATATTTCTTGCTCTAGAGAAATCTCTCATCTAGTGAGAAAAATGTATAAAAATAATAGATGAAAAAGTAATATTTGAAGATTTTTATTTCACTTAATTTTATTCCTCACTTGGAGAATGTTGTCAACCTGCCTCCAGCCTACTTGATACAAATTGTACATTTGTTCAACAGTAGATTTTGTTTCTCTAAAAACAAATAGTTAAAATAGAAAACAGCTGTATGGTGGCTGAACTATGTTTAAATTTGACGTTTTTTTTTCTTCATTCAATAATATATATCTCTACTTCCTTTACTGAAACAGAACAAATATGTCGTTTCCAGAGCAAATACACATGACTCTGACTAAGAAAAGACAGAGTCAATTTAGTTTATGGTCATCTATTTGATCATAAAATATAAGCAGGTTAACAGTTAAAACGACAATATCCCTTCTGTCTATTATGGTATTCCATCAGGTACCATCCCAATCTTAGGCATTACTCAGTCTCTCTTCTTCTCAACCCTTCCGTTTTTTCTAGTTCTAAAATTCATGTCACCTTTAAAGACAGTTTGGATAAGTTTAAGTACAGTAATATTAAGTCATTACATAGCAATCCAAGATGCCAAGTATCCAGAAATATTCTTTTAGGAATCACTTTACCAGATATAATACTTCAAACACCTCTATTTCAACCAATGCCATTATACAACAATCCAAAATGCCAAGAATCCAATAGTATTCATTTAGGAGTCATTTTACCAAATGTAATACTTCAAAAAGCTCTATTTCAAACAACATCCAAGAACTCTATTTGTCAAAGCTACAGGATATGATGCAAAAAAGAAGCAAAAAAAAAGCCTTCTGTACTTACCCTTTAAAAAATTCACTTTATTGTCCATTTTTCTTATTTTTATTGCCTATTTTAATAAAATATGCTTTATTTTGTAGTACTGTAACAAAATTATTGGAACCTACTTTGAGAAATGTGGAAAGGTTGCTGCTCTATCCAATGACTACAAAATGATCTGCATTGATGAATACTGTCAAACTAGAGATAAAACATCTACATGTGACACGTATTCAGAACTGTCCCGTCTTTGTGCCTCAGATGGTCCTGGCACCTTTGAATCCTGGAGAAGTGATTACGATGTGGCTTGTGGTAGGTTTTTAACCTTCACTGTAGGCTACATCTCTTTAAGTTTCTACAGTACTTTAAAGTTAAGCTGTATTGCAAAGAAATCTCAAATGATTCTAAGTCCTGGAAGGGGATCTTAGAGAGGGTGAAGTATTTTTTTTTTTTTTTTTGTGATGGAGTCTTGGCTCTGTTACCAGGTGCCAGGCTGGAGTACAGTGGCACAATCTCCGCTCACTGCAACTTCCGCCTCCTGGGTTCAAGCAATTCTCCTGCCTCAGCCTCCCGAGTAGCTGGTACTACAGGTGCACGCCACACGCCCAGCTAATTTTTGTATTTTTTAGTAGAGACAAGATTTCACCATGTTGGCCAGGATAGTCTCGATCTCTTGACCTCATGATCCACCTGCCTTGGACTCCCAAAGTGCTGGGATTACAGGAGTGAGCCACCGGGCCCGGCCAAGAGGGTGAAGTCTTGTTTGTCACATGTACTTATGAGGAAAGGTTCGTTTAGGTGACATGACTCACTTCAAGTTGCAGTGCTTTGTGTTAAGATCTTAATTTAAAACATTGTACTCATTACAATCAGTAAAAGTCATGGAAGACCACGAGTAAATTCTGTAAAAACTAACTGGACAATTGATCAAATGTATACTGACTAGTACCATCATTTTCTTTCAAAAAGATTAATAAAACCTAAATATGAGTTTCATACAAACATACTTTCTACATATGCTTAGGTCAATCCTCATAATCAAGTAGAATATAAATGAAATTGTAGACAACATATATTTCCTCCAAATTAAATATTGTATCATAAAATAATACACAAAATTTGGCATAATTTAGTTGTATTGAATATCTTTAAAGACCAACTTCTACCTTGTAAATCAGACTCAAGGACTGCCATTTGAAAAGCTCCTCCTGGCTGGGAGTGGTGGCTCATGCCTGTAATCCCAGCACTTTGGGAGGCCGAGGCAGGCGGATCACGAGGTCAAGAGATCCAGACCATCCTGGCCAACATGGGGAAACCTCGTCTCTACTAAAAATACAAAAAAAATTAGCTGGGCGTGGTGGCATGCACCTATAGTCCCAGCTATTCAGAAGGTTGAGGCAGGAGAATTGCTTGAACCTGGGAGGCGGAGGTTGCAGTGAGCCAAGGTCACACCACTGCACTCCAGCCTGGCACTTGGTGACGGAGTGAGACTGTCTCAAAAAAAAAAAAACAACAAAAAAAAAACGAAAAGCTCCTCCTTAGAAGTGTGGGTATTCATTATACTTACTTTCTTCTAATATCGGTGTATACGTATTTCTCTATTTCTCCAGAAACACAAATATGTCCAGAACAGCATATCTACAAAGAATGTGGACCCTCCAATCCTGCAACTTGTTCTAATGTGGCTCCTTTTCAAGACAGTGAATGTGTGAGCGGCTGCACCTGCCCAGAAGGTAGTACACCTATGAGAGTATTTACACTGAAACAGAACAAAAGTGAAAACCAAAGTGGGACTCAAGTCATGTCAGAGTGATGTCTTATTTGTAGCACAACATTCCAACAATTTAACTATTTCTAATCCATCCTCACAGCAAACTGCAGAGGAGGGTTAGAAAAAATTTTAACGCTAATGCATATTTCCATCTCTATAGTACCCGAGGACTCCTGTATTCCACAGAATATGCTTTAGTCCCACATTGAGTGCAGTAGGACTGTGCACTGTATAGCAGTAACTCAGACTCAGAAAATTGTTTTCTATCCTCCTATTAGTTCTCAAACAGAGTAATTGCTTTAATAAGAAGTTACCATTTTCAGTGCATGTTACACTTTAAAGAACTATCTCAAGAGTGATTTCACAACACACTGCTGGACAACTTACTGATGTTTGTAGAGTTTTGTGGTTAACCTTATACAATGTGTTCTAGATTATCTGTTGGATGACATTAGAGAGAAAGGAAAATGTGTATTAAAAGCTGAATGTCCCTGTGAATCCAACGGAAAAGTGTATCAGGCAGGAGAAGTCCGAGAAGGTCCTTGTGGTTCTCAGTGGTATGTCTGTGCTTTTTCTTCATGTATTATTGATGGTGAAATAATACCAATATTTTTATCTAATTTGAAGAAATTCCTAAATGCCCCCTTAAAATAAACTTTTAAGAAATGAAAAGCAGTCTCACTGCATTTTCTGTGTTGTTGATGTTTTGCTTTTAGAAAGGCACAGTGTTTTTTTTTATTATTAACTACATGATCTTTCCATGTACCTTTAAAAGATCATGTTCACTAACAGGAACAGTGTTTTAAATAGTAAATCACTGTTTAAAACTGTCACTTGGTAGTTGCAAATATAGAGCAAAGTACAGTGTAAGATTTTGGTTATAATAATTAATAATGCTCATTATGCCAAGAATATTTAATCAAATGTACAGTTAGAGTTGAATACTTTTCAAATAATTTTAGTATGTGGCTAGATGGTGAAGATAAATATTACATTTATTCAGCAGTAAATTTTAATGTACCAAAAGTTATTGTAGATTATTTCATGATTAAGTGAATACTCAGCTTGAGTCTTCCTTCCAAGTTCTGCAACAATAAAATGATCATTGAGATTTCCCCATTCTTCATTATGGCTTTTCTCTGAAGCTCTACATTTCTGCAGTACTACAAAATACTTTTCTAGAAATGTATTGTGTCTTCTTGGGGACATAACTTGGCTCAATAAAAAAAACCTATTTTCTCTATAAATGGAAAATGTTTTATTTTGGTTATAATATTAATATTAATTTATATTATAGTTGTATTAATAAGTTTAATTTGTATTAAGAATTAGAAATAACAGTAGTTATAATTTATTGAATGTCTATAACAGTACTGTTCAAGAGAAATATAATGTGGGCTGCAAAAATGATCTACATATATTATTCATCATCTTTTACTTCATACATTTTTAAAAGATAAGAAACAAGTGAAATTAGTTTTAGTCATATATTTTATATAATGCAATATATTGAGAATACTATCATTTAAACATAAAGTTAATATGAAATCAAGTTAATGAGAGATTTTGCAATGTTTTTTCTTATAAATCTTCAAAATCTGTGTGTATTTTACATTTATAGTGGATCTCAATTTAGACGAGACACATTTCAAAAGCTCACTCTATGTCTCTGTACCGTATTGTGTGGTACATGTCTACAATGTGGCTTGTAGCAGGTATTTTAATATTGATAATGAGCTGTGCTCCATTTAAACAAATCTCTGAAATCCAGCTTATAAGTTTTATATGCTTAATTCATGAGAAGTTATTATTTAATCAAGACTTCTGAAACATCAGGATACCACCATCAATGAGACATTTTATCAGTGCTGAGATGTTGGGTGGGAAATAAAGCTTAACCAAATGTCTTAACTTGTTATGAACTTTTAGTGTGATATTTTATTTTCACCGCAGAGAAAACACAACTGATAACCCTTAATATAACTATTACATTTCAACAGCACATGCCAAGACGCAAAGTGGTCTTGCACTGAAGCATTATGCCCTGGAAGATGTAAGGTGGAAGGAAGTTCCTTTACCACCTTTGATGGTGTTAAGTACAACCATCCTGGAAACTGCCACTTCCTGGCCATTCATGTATGTAATAGCCTGCAATATTTAAGGAAACTGATATACAAACAAAACTATTTCTCAACCAGTTTAAAACACAGTCTTCACCTTGAGTTACGATTTAAATAAATAGGCCATGCGCGGTGGCTCAGGCCTGTTATCCCAGCTCTTTGAGAGGCCGAGGCAGGCAGATCACGAGGTCAGGAGGTCGAGACCATCCCAACCAACATGGTGAAACCCCTTCTCTATTAAAAATACAAAAAAATTAGCTAGGTGTGGTGGTGCATGCCGTAATCCCAGCTACTTGGGAGGCTGAGGCAGGAGAATCACTTCAGCCAGGGAGTCGGAGGTTGCAGTGATCCGAGAATATGAGGCTGCACTCCAGCCTGGTGACCGAGGGAGACTCTGTCTCAAAAAAAAAAAGAAATTAAAAAAAAAAATCCTTCAATTACTGGTTATGTATTTCAGTATGTTTTCTATCACATACTGGCACTGATGATATTACCTGTGAGTATTAAATTAATATTACCTGTCCTCCTTGGAAATTCCTTGCCAAAAAACACAACAAATAATCTCTTATAATCATCTAAATACACTGGGAAATTATTTCATTCTCCTACTTTCCTTTGTGTGTGTTCACTACTGCTTCAAATGAAACAATCTTTTACATTCCATGAAGAATCTTCCTCTTTCATTATTCTCTTAAATTTATTGTTAGTTTTTATAACACAATAGTACCACTATGATAGAGGCTATTCTTACATTTAAATTCTTTTCAGTACTAAAATTTGAATTTGAATTTTAATAAAGAGTGATTCCATTTTGTAGTTTGTGCTACAAAGTATTAGGGATCTAGTCTACCTGAGAATTAGTGATTGTATATAATCTTTCTGGTAAGAAATGAAGATTAACAGAATTTGTGAATCCTGAAGTGAAAAATGTGGATTAACTTCCTCTAAGCTACAAAATGTAGTTGCTGCTACTAAAAGTCACGCTTCCAAAATAAAGCTTCCTGATTGCCTGCCAACATAATCTGCCTCTCCTTTTTCTTCTCTTTTTTTTTTTTTGAGATGCACTTACACTGTTTTCTCCCAGGCTGGAGTGCAATAGTGTGATCTTTGCTCACTGCAACCTCTGCCTCACAGGTTCAAGGGATTCTCCTGCCTCAGCCTCCTGAATAGCTGTGATTACAGGTGCCCACCACCACACCCAGCTAAGTTTTGTATTTTTAGTAGAGACTGAGTTTCACTATGTTGGCCAGGCTGGTCTTGAACTTCTGACCTCAGGTGATCTGTCCACCTCTGCCTCCCAAAATGCCGGGATTACAGGCATGAGCCATCGTGCCCAGCCTGTCTTTCTTTCTTTTTATGCTCCTCTAAATCCATTAGGATACAGGATGGGGAAAGTAAAAGGGAAAAATAACAAAGCATAGGGAACATTTGCTTCTTGTAGATTACAGATTACCAGACATTGAAATGAGAACTGGAAGTCCATGTTTGATATAATTTATATTACAGTTTTACAAATTAAATACCTCTCACATAAGATTTAAAAGGACATGTGAACTGTCCAGAGAAGCAGCAAAGTATGTTACTGCTAATTCCTAAGAATCCTTATGTGGCAGCACATTTCCTTTGGGGAGACAAAATGTAAAGATAAAATTAAAAAATGAAGACTATGAAAATCCGTCAATGATAGACTACATGGATATAGTTTATGCAAGATACTTGGACCATCTATAAAGCTCTTGGCCAGTCCTGATGCTATACTATGGGCCAAACTAGGTTTCTATTCTCAGAGCACTTGGATTGTAGTAGGAATTGTGCATATTTAAAATTCAAACATGCATTATGAATGAATTACATAGTAAAGCATACCATAAATAGCATTAAATGACATTCTAATAAATGTTTTAATGAAATGCAATTTTTACAGAATGAAGATTGGTCTATTAGTGTCGAGCTCCGTCCATGCCCAAGTGGTCAGACAGGAACGTGCCTAAATAGTGTTACACTTCTCTTGAGTTCTGTAAGTAATCAGCTTCCTAAGGTTTATACAGAGTTAAATCATATCACTTATTTTACAAATTCAGGATTTTTGAGGTTGAAGAAGAGAAGCTTAACTATGTACACTAAAAGCTTAAGTAAAATTGCACAGAGAATTGATAAAGTCTCTGGAGGAGCTGGCTAGTTGCAAAGTTTCTGAAGTATATTAAAATTACCATAGATATACAATCAATATATTCATTAAAGACCAAATTTATGTGTTCATTAAACTTTGCAGACCATTTATGAAGGAAGGCATTGACATTTGTTTAGAGTTTTATTTGAAATTGACATTATAAGGGGAAATAGACTTAAATGGGAAGGGAGGACAAGTAGTTTAGACTTTGGCCTTTCCAAGCTGTTTAAAACCTTTGGATACCCAAGTTACCATCTTGGGTTTCCATGTCTGCATTCACACATTGGGGATGAAGATTTCTTTACAGTCTGCTACACAGAGTTGGTATGAGAAACAATGAAGCAAAATGTGCCTTAAAAATGCTTTAAAACATTCTGTATTTTAGATATTTATAAATTAATCCAATGGCATTAAACATTTTATGACATAAAAATTGGGGTTTGTATATTACATTAAACTTAATACTGTAAATTAATATTAACTAACAAAGTGTTTTAAATATTAGTCTGTTCCAGTTGACAAATATATATTCAACAGTGATGGAACAGTCACAAATGACAAGATTGGAAATCAAGGTTATTACTATTCAGGTAAGTTTAATAACATTTTAAAATAAGTATAAGATGCAGTCATTTATTTAATTTTTAAAGATATTATGTTTCTAGTTTTTAACAGATATCAAAATATTAAACTATTTTAAGAAAGTAGAAACTATTGAACACATTGTTATTAATGTTCATAATAATTTTAACAGATAAAATACAGATCTTCAATGCATCTTCCTCATACCTTCAAGTAGAAACATACTTTCATGTAAAACTACAAATACAAATTGTTCCTGTGATGCAATTATATGTTTCTATGCCACCCCACCAATTCACAGACACCGTGGGTAAGTTCTGTGGATACAGATTTATTTCCCAAGGAAATATTACCATCATTTATTCTAATTTTCATTGTCTCTTAATTAGTAACATTAAACCAGTAAACCATTTTGACTTAATCTGTCCTTCTACATTGTAGTAAAATAATTCCAACTTGATTTTCTTAATAAAGATGCCTTTACTTATTACAAAATATATCCTCAAAGATTTTAACAATTTAAATAGTTTAAACATCTTAAATGAAGACTGTCATTTAAATGAAATTTGATAATATATGTGTTAATGTTTTACTTTGCTAGTGCTACTAAGGAAGGCTTTTACCTGTAGTTGAATAAATGAAAATACTGTAGATATAAATCTTTGGAAAATCACAGTTCATATAAGAGCTACACCATTACTTGTCTTTCTGGGAAATCATAAGGTCATTTCTTTCACTGATGTTTTCTGTCTTAGAAATCAGTTCCTAACTACAGCCTTGGATGTTGAGCAAAACAAAGATTATGGAAAATTCCAGAAAGAGTATTAATTTATAAACAGTAGAAATTTTTGTAATCACATTTACTTGAGAAGGTAACTTATTTACACAAAGGAAAAAATGTAACTCATAGGTCAGAAGGGTCCAGGTAAAAAAGGCGTATAGCACTCAACATGATTCTACTCTCCACACTGAAATCATGCAAATGTGAGTCATAAGTTCTTACTTGGAAGCATTCTTTCTGTTGGCTCCTCAAAAGAGGTAAGAGTACAGTGATAAACAGGAAAAACACAGTATTCATGGAAAATGGTGTTTCAGTGCTCCTGGAATTCAAATGAAAGGGAATTTCAGTGAAATCTGAAATGCCTCGAAATTTTACTTAATGTATAAAGGCTAATGAAAACATATTCTCAGATAGCTTCTACAGGTTTTCACTTGAGCAAAGAACTGAATGTGCAGTGAGGATGAGACTCCAAAGATACCGAGTAGGTGAGATGTGAAACTTTGTTGTGTGCTCTTATACAGGACTCTGTGGTTCCTATAACAACAAAGCCGAGGATGATTTCATGTCAAGTCAGAATATATTGGAGAAGACATCTCAGGCATTTGCTAATTCTTGGGAAATGATGTCCTGTCCTAAAGGAAACCCCTCTTCATGTATCAGTATAGAAAAAGGTAATATTAATTATCAAAATCTATAATTACATATTTGGTGCTAGGAAGTATGTGCTTATTCTGGTAATAATATGAACACATCAGATAATCCTGGTTTTAGCTAGTGTTTGCTGTACTGTCTGAATTTTAGAGGACACAACAGAGGAGCAGTCTGGCTGGCTGATGTTAGTTCTACAAAATAAAGATTTCACTGGGAATTCATCTTTGTTTCTTTTTCTATACTTACTCTTTTCCTTCTTATACAATTTTTACCATAATTATAGAATAACAAGACTTGAGATTTGGGGAATATTTAGTTTTTCAGTTGTTCCCTCCTTTAATTTAGTTGTAAAAATGTTGGTTGAAATACCAAGACTCACTCAAACTGGGGAAGCTGATTGATGATAGAGCTATAGCTAGGTTCAGATGTCCTAACTATTGCTGTCCAAGCCCCAATGTAGGCATTAATTAAATTTGACACTGGTATTATTCAGCTTACTTTTATACTTACCAGAAGGCTTTTAAAATATTAGTTCAATTTGTTTCTCCCCAAACTCATGAACAGCATGGGCAGGACTATTATCCCCATTAATGTAGATATTGATAATGGAGCACAGAGAGGGTTAAGAAGGAGCCTTAGTGAATAAGGATGACAGCTGAGCAATCAAAGGATTTTGAATCCAAGTCATGCTTTGGTTTTCCCCCTGGTATTGCTGATACTAATAAATGCTTTATTTTGTATTGCTTCTTTCATAAAAAAATGAGTGCAATGGAAGCTAAGTTAAAATGTATTATATTGGGCCAGGCGCGGTGGCTCACGCCTGTAATCCCAGCACTTTGGGAGGCCGAGGTGGGTGGATCATGAAGTCAAGAGATGGAGACCATCCTGGTCAACATGGTGAAACCCCGTCTCTACTAAAAATACAAAAAAATTAGCTGGGCATGGTGGTGCGTGCCTGTAATCCCAGCTACTCAGGAGGCTGAGGCAGGAGAATTGCCTGAACCCAGGAGGCGGAGGTTGCGGTGAGCTGAGATTGCGCCATTGCACTCCAGACTGGGTCACAAGAGCGAAACTCTGTCTCAAAAAAAACAAAACAAAGCAAAACAAAAACGATGTATTATATTGACATGTTGTTTCTAAATTAATACATATTTGAAATAGTATTATTATAATATTATTATAATCTGATAAGACTATTTTAAACATTACTAAGGCAATTCCTTTTCAAAGCTTTGTCTACTAATTTTGATTTAAAAGAGCTGGTAGAAGCATTAACATAAACATCATAATATATATTTCAGGGTTTTGATTATCATATTATTTTGGCTTTGGAGTTTTGCAGTGAAAACAGTTATAATGAGAATATAGATCTCATAAGAAACCAAGTCAATTTATGTTAAGCAGACTATATACCATGACTTTGGAGAGAGAGAGAAATTAATTAAATTAAATTTTCAGTTTTATATTGAAATTAACATAAAATGCAGAAAATTAAACTGTATTTTAATAATCTGTTAGTAGTATTTAGATAAAAAGTGGTGATACTGGGTTGCCAATTTGTTAAAATTCTGGAAATAATTGGTCTCAGTTTGTTTTTAAAGGAGACCTTCCAAAAGTCATTAGGTCAAGTGCTTGCTACTCAGATGCTATTGTTATGATTTTTATTTTTGTTAATTTAATACTATGCTAGTTATTTATAAGCCAACTGAATATCAGTTAAAAATCAAAACAAAATTAGTGTATTGGAATTACAGATACTGGTTGTGCTAATATATGATCTTCAGGAAAACTGATATAATCTTCTGAGGTGACAGGGATGGTGTGGTCGGGGGGTGTTGTGGTTAGTTTATTTACCAACTCAACACAGTTTAGCTATAAATATATATTTTAAAGTTGAAAGGCATCTAAAGATATAATATGGTTCCCTAATTTCATTTTTATATAGAAACTGCATTTCAGAGAAGGTTAATTGATTTAATAAAAAAAAAAAACAAAGCTAATAAAGACTTTGTCTCTTGGTGTAAGATTTTTTAATTACAGCATGCTAATTTTGCTTATAGTGACAGGTTAAATGTATTACAGCAAAACACTTTAAAAATTGTTTTAATAGACAGAACGGTTACAATTTTATATCTTTTCTTTTAATTAAAGAATTATGACTGGGTGCAGTGGCTCACACCTGTAATCCCAACACTTTGGGAGGTTGAGGTGGGCGGATCATGAGGTCAGGAGATCAAGACAATCTTGGCTAACGTGGTGAAACCCTGTCTCTACTAAAACTACCAAAATCAGCTGGGCGTGATGGTGTGCACCTGTAGTTCCAGCTACTCCGGAGGCTCAGGCAGGAGAATTGCTTGAACCTGGGAGGCAAAGATTGCAGTGAGCTGAGATGGCGCTACTGCACTCCAGCCTGGGCTACAGAAAAAAAAAAAGAATTATGACATTGAAACTAATTTTGAGTGCACCGATTTTCTTCCAGGAAAGTTTGCTGAAAGGCACTGTGGAATTCTTCTTGATTCAAGCGGGCCTTTTGCTTCCTGCCACCCAATTGTGAACCCTAAACCCTATCATGAGGTATGTGAGGCTCTAACATTAACAGCTCTTGTCGAAAAATACTTTACAGATATTGACAAAAGCATGTAGATATTAAATATTTTCAAATAACAACCATTGTCAATAAATTAAAGTATATCCTTAGATAGGCATTAGATTCTATTAATTTATTCATATATTAGATTAAAGTGGTGCTGGAAAATAACCCCAAATAAGAAAAATCTTGAATAAATGTCTCTTTTTGGCTTTTCTAAATGTTTTGACAAGCAGGCTAATAATTCATTTACTGTTTGAATATTTAAAAATGTTTTTGAAAGTTTCAAAGAAGCTTTTTGGGGGTAGAATTGTTAAGGAACTAAATTATTATACTCAGTTTACCTGATCTTTCAAGTAATTTCATAATGCAGGATAATTTGTTTATTTTCAAGGAATGCAAAAAATATACTTGCACTTGTGAAAACAGTGAAGACTGCCTATGTACAATTTTAGGCAACTATGTGAAAGCATGTGCTGAGAAGGAAACATACATAGTAGGATGGAGAACTGGCCTATGTGGTAAGCAGCAGAGAAGCTTTCAATAATGACTTCCTTCTCAGTTTCACTATAGTCCTGTTTGTGTGTGTGTGTGTGTGTGTGTGTGTGTGTGTGGTTTAGGCATATGAGTTTACAAATTTTTACCTGGTTCTTTCAAAGATGATTTTTTTGTTTTATTTTTTAATATCCTTATGTAATCCTTCCGTATTTTACTTCTTGATTTATTGATTTTAATTTAATACATTCATATATAAAGAAAAACCAGTATACATATGTATTTATATATAAAAATATGGTTCTGTTCAATTATTGTGTGCTGAAATTTAAATAATGTTCTGACTGATAATGTATTTGTAAATGACATTTTAATATGAATAATTTATGTTGAGAAAAAACAAAAATGAACCAATAAATTAGAAGCTCAACTATCATATTTTTAAAACCTTGCTTTGTTTTAAAATATTTATTGCATTGTTTGAATATGACTTCACAAAAATGCTTGATTACCACAAGAAAAACAAAAAAACAAACAGCAAACTTTGTAGAAACACATCTCTTGTAGATTATATGTAACACCTCATTGCCTGTATCCAGTTAATTGATAAGGTCTGTCCATTTCACCTTCCAAATCTTTCTCAGTTATTCACATCTCTCCATCTTTATTGCCACCAACCAGGTTCAAGAAACCACCATTGTTTTTCTCTTGAGTAACTGCAATAAGCCTCCTTCAATATTCACTCTTGGCTTCCTCTAATCCATTTTCTACAGATAAACCAGGATAATCTTTAAAACCAAGCCAAATCACACTAAGCTTATCATGTGACACTTCAGTCTAAAACAAGTTAATGATGTCTCATTGCTCTAAGGCTAAATACCAAACTCCTTAAGGGGACCCTGTAAATTTTAACCACTGAGTCACTCTGTCTCTGGCCATACAGCTTTTATTTTTCTATGTGCTCTTTAAAATAATCATTCTCCCACTGAGTTAGGCTATTCTTCAGACATAGAATCACCTCTCCCTGGGCTGTCTCCTTGCTCTTCATCTACCCACCCTCTTCACTAAGCGTAGATCCCCATCTGTACATTCTTAGTACCTCCCCTCTTGTTTCTCATAGCACGTACCACGACAGTCCTTCCATTGGGAATATACACCACATGAAAGCAATGTATTACCTCTCCTGTTTATGGGCCAATACCAAGCAAAGTGTTTAAACATAAAATAGAAATTCAGCATTGACTGAAAACAAAAAAGAATTTAAAAAACCCAATGAACAAGCACTTTCAAAAAATTCATAGTCTCTATTATGAATATTTCATGATAATATCTATAAACATGGAGCTGAAGTAAAATTGTTTATTTCCCTAGATATACACATAATCATTCTTTCTTTTGTCTCTGTACCAACAGAACATTCTTGTCCAAGTGGCCTAGTTTTCAAGTACAATGTAAAAGCCTGTAATAGTTCTTGCCGATCATTGTCAGAGAGAGATAGGAGCTGTGATGTGGAAGATGTTCCAGTTGATGGATGCACCTGCCCTGATGAAATGTACCAGAATAATGAAGGAAACTGTGTTCCAAAATCTCAGTGTGACTGCTACATAAATGACGAGGTCATGAAACCAGGCAAACTCATCCATATTGATGACAATAAATGGTATGGAGATTACATGTATACTTACTATGACACCGAAATCAAGAGACTCCATTGTTTTCAGAGAAATGGTCTTTTGCCAGTATGAAGGCTTTTTAGATCTGCCATACTTTTAATTTTTCTTTTTTTTTTTTTTTGAGACGGAGTTTTGCTGTTGTTACCCAGGCTGGAGTGCAATGGCGTGATCTCGGCTCACCGCAACCTCCGCCTCCTGGGTTCAGGCAATTCTTCTGCCTCAGCCTCCTGTGTAGCTGGGATTACAAGCACGTGCCATCGTGCCCAGCTAATTTTTTATATTTTTAGTAGAGACAGGGTTTCACCATGTTGACCAGGATGGTCTTGATCTCTTGACCTCGTGATCCACCTGCCTCAGCCTCCCAAAGTGCTGGGATTACAGGCTTGAGCCACCATGCCTGGCCTAATTTTTATTTCTTAATAAAAATATCTTATACTCTGGAAGTCTCCTTGCATCCTAATGGATATAGATGATTTATCCTACTCTAGTTTTGTTTTAAACACCAGTAAAAAAGTATTCTGGCAGCTTCTACTACAGACAATGTGAAATGAATTCTTATTCAGAAGATGCTCTCTATCTGTCTCTCAGCAGGGCACAAACCATTAGGAGGAGGTTTATATACTAGAGCATGGTAGCAGAAGGGGCCAGGCACTACCTGAGGAAGTTAAGGAAAACTTCTCAGAGAAGACAGCATATGAATTGTGCTAGGGAATGAAACTTTTTCCAGACAAAATTGAAATGTAGAGGCTGATTTCCTGTGGAATAATCAGAATACTCAGATGTAGAAAATGCCTGAAAAAAATTTACACATGTGAGTTTCTTTTGTACAGGATTGGGCTAGAAACATTGACAGTGGTCAGATCATAACCAAGAATTTAGACTTAGTTCCTGAAGAATTGAAGAATTTTGACTATTTTGTAATGGCCGAGGAGGCTATGATTCCTACAGTTTGGAGCAAAGTAATTTCCTTCCTTCCCCTACCCTCCCCTCCCTTTCCCTCCCCTCCCTCCTTGTTTTCTCTTTTTGAGACAGAGTCTCACTTTGATTGCCCAGTCTGGAGTTCAGTGGTACAGTTTTGGCTCACTGCAGTCCCAGCCTTTGTGGGCTCGAGCGATTCTTCCACCTCAGCCTCCTGAGTAGCTGGCACTACAGGGGTACACCACCAAACCCAATTAATTTTTTGTATTTTTAGTGGATATGGGATTACACCATGTTGCCCAAGCTGGTCTTGAACTCTTGGACTTAAGCAATCCACCTGCCTTGGCTTCCCAAAGTGCTGGGATTCAGGCATGAGCCACTGTGCTCTGCCTGGAACAAAGAAATTTAAGCATATTTCTAATTCCATAGAAAGATGTATGAATTGTTGATAATGTAATTGCCAAAATGAAGTAGCCACTCAAAAATACTTTGACTATTCCTCCTCTCTTTTCCTTGATTGGATGAGGCTATCATTTAGGAACAAGTAATTTTTCTTGGTCATTCAAAAAGAAAGCTTAGGTAACTCTTTTATGTCAAAGCCCATGAACCTTTGGTTGAGGCTTGATAATGATAATTTCTTTTCCTCTGTAATTTTTGGGGAATCAGCAGATTAACTTTTTAATGGTGCTTAATAAACAATTACTATTTTATTTGTTTTAGACATTAGAAAATATGCAGTCTGCTCTTATTTTCATGTGAATCAATAAATTAACTTTTCAGTGAATCAGGGTAATGCCTCCAAATTATGGTTTCCTTCACCACTACTGTATCTGAGACTCTCGTCAGCTGGCACCACTGTGATAGCTGTCTTGATTGCTCATTATTGCTGTCTCTCTGTCCTGTGTTTCCTGAATTACTGCAAGAATGTCTAGCCTAAAGCCATGTGTATACCTATGTAACAAACCTGCACATTCTGCACATGTATCCCAGAAATTAAAGTATAATATAATAATAATAATAAAGAATGTGTAGCTTAAAACACTATTCTGTTAGGGCCATCGGCCTCCTCAGAAACTTGAATGACTGACAGTTACCTGAAGAACAGATAGAAACTTGCAAGTCATTTAAGGCCATCTGAAATCTGGCCCCATTCTACACATACCGCTTCTTCCCATTTTGCATCCTGCCTTCCATCCAAACATGACTCATTGGAGTCACTGGAACATATCTTGTTCTCTCCTGTGTCACAATTTGGCATCTTATCAGAAGTATTAAATTGTTCTTGTCATCAAGATCCAGCCATCCTTTCCATGAGGTTTTCTCTGATATCCATAAAACCTTATTTGTACATTCCTGTAATATTTACAAGGCGATATCTTATCCTTTGGTACATTTCATGCATCATCTGGGGATGGTGCCTCATTCATTTAATTAATTATCCTTGAAACTTGATGTCTAAATAATAATTTTGTTTTATTTCCAGTGTCTGTCGGGATGGAATTCTTCTTTGCCAGATTCCCATTGATTTAGCCCTACGTAAGTGTTGAAATCATGGTTCAAGCTTAAAAAACCTACTTTGGCTAAAGAAAACAGGTCAATAGGCTCTTGAGCAATGATAATTTTTATTATTCTGCAGAAAATTGTTCTGGAGGGGCTGAGTATGTAGACTGCAGGGATCCCAAGGCACAGAGAAGAACTGACAGAACATGCAGTACTCGGAACATACCTGTTTTTGATGTAAGTAACGTAACATGTAACATAGTAACATAAGAGTTTAGCCTTTGAAAGGTTTCCTTGTTTCGGGTCCTAGGAAACTACAATTTTAATGAAAAATAATTAGAAGGTGATGCTCTTTTTGCCTTTTACTTTCAGTTGTCAAATGTTGACTCCAAATATGTACTTGGCATATTTAAACATTTAAATTAATGCTGATGATATAACATGATTAGAATGGTGCTCATGGTGTATATTTTATATTTATTCCTGTAGGAGAACTTGCCTTGCAAACGTGGGTGCTTTTGTCCAGAAGGAATGGTTCGGAATTCTAAAGGGATATGTGTCTTTCCTGATGACTGTCCATGTTCTTTTGGTGGACGAGAATATGATGAAGGAAGTGTTACTCCTGTTGGCTGCAATGAATGGTGCTTAATAAAGGATTCTTATTTTGTTTTGGATATTAGAAAATATGCAGTCTGTTCATATTTTCATAGGAGAGAAGAAGTTACACTTTGGGATATTTGAAACAAATGACCAGATATAGTTAGAAAAAGAAGCCATTTATGTATGTATATATGTTTGAGATGGAGTCTTGCTCTGTCACCCACGCTGGTTCAAGCAATTCTCCTGCCTCAGCTTCCCATGTAGCTGGGACCACAGGCGTGTGCTGCCATGCTTGGCTAATTTTTTGTGTTTTTAATAGAGGCCAGCTTTCACTGTGTTAGCCAGGACGGTCTCAGTCCCCTAACCTGTGATCCACCTGCCTTGGCCTCCCAAAGTGCTGGGATTATAGGTGTGAGCCACCACATCCAGCAAGATGCTATTTTTAAAATAGAACTTTATGTAAATTGTATAAAATGAACATCCTACATTATAATGAAGGCAATTGCAAAATTTAATTTAATAGGAAACATAACTTTATGCTTCTTTACAAAAGCAATATTAGCGTATGGATCCTGGCGTAATATATTCACTACACTCTCTCATCTTTTCCTTTTAGTACTTGCATTAAAGGATCTTGGAGTTGTACGCAAAATGAATGTCAAACCATCTGCCACATTTATGGGGAAGGTCATGTTAGAACTTTCGATGGGAAAAGTTACAGTTTTGATGGTCTCTGCCAGTATTCATTTCTTGAGGTAACTTATTTGTATATTAGTTCCAAATAATTTTATTTTCAAAATGGGAAATATTTTTAATGGTCCCTATATGTATCTAGAAGGCAGTAAAATGTATATCATGTACTTCTGGCTCTGGATGCTAGGAATAGATTTCAATACTGGCTCCATCTTTTATCAGATGCATGACTTTGGGCACATTCCTTAACCTCTTAGTGTCTCAGTTTCTGTCACTTACAGAATGAGCATGAAAACAGCACCTACTTGAAACCAAAGTAGAGCACACACTGCAGCACATACCAGTGCTCAATAAATAAATGCTAGATATGATTGTTCTAACAACAGCACTGGCAGCAAAACTTACGGCTACTATTTATGACTGCTTCCTTGTCAGGCAAATGTATAGATTTCATTGCATTTAGGAATTACGATACTACAAGACTGATACTGTTATTTCTATGATGCAGACGAAGAAATTGAGGTTTAGAGAGGTCAAGCAACTTACGCTACCAAATAGAAAATGTCATAGTAAACCTAGACCTGTTTGATTCCAGAGTTCATGCTTGTTACACACATTCCAGAGTTCATCTTATTAAGCTTCTAGCTTCCTAACTAATATTTAAGGGCTGCAACTTGGATTGTATTATATTTATGGATTAATTTTGTTTGAATATCAAGTTTTGCGTAAGTCTTTCAGGAAATAAGGCCAACTTTATCTAGCTATTTACAGAGCCTAGAAATAAATTTGTGATCACAAACATATAAACTTTAAATACTTAGATATCTGTGGTATAATTCTGAATTTGTGCAGAAGTAATGGGAAAATAATTGAGTCAAAACATGTTAACTAGAGTGGACTTGGCCAAGGATATCTATAAATGTTGTCAAACTATTGTCTTTTGGAAATTCTGTGACGTAGCATGTGGCGATTTACTGAGTTTAAGGCAAATATTCTCTCTAAGAATGTTTGTCTGACACAAACACTGTAGTTGAGTTCTGTGTCTCTGATATTCACAGACGATTATAATTTCTATTTTAAAGGATTATTGTGGTCATGAAAATGGCACATTTCGTATTTTAACGGAGAGTGTTCCATGCTGTGAAGACGGGCTAACGTGCTCGAGAAAAATCATTGTTTCTTTTCAGGTAAAGTACTATTTTCTTTACTTTTTCTCTTGCATTGTGAGCAGCCAAATAAAACTTATTTTCAATCTGTCTGAATTTACAGGATCAGAACGTTGTCTTGCAAGATGGTAAAGTAACAGCAGTCAAAACTACAGAAAGTAAGGAATGTGAACTCAATGCAAATGCATACTCCATACATACTGTTGGCCTGTACTTAATTGTGAAATTTCACAATGGAATAACCTTGATTTGGGACAAAAATACAAGACTGTCTGTTATCCTGGATCCAAGCTGGAATGTATGTACATCACTAACAACTGAATAATAGGGAAGCAAAATCGTTTCTGTTACTAAAAAATCGAGACAGGTAGTCATAGGCAGAGGGCACGAAAATGGCAGGGTCTCTGTTAGTTACAAGCCCTCCACCTTTGTTCAACCTTATTGTAAAATATGAAACGTAATCAAAGATAATAAAATCTGGTTAAAAAGTAAATGCAGTAAACTTGAGCCATTCTAGTTTAACCATATTTGGTTACTTGAGATTATCACATGATATGATTTTCAGGTGGTTGTTATATTTCAAATTAAATATTTGGAGCAAATAGTTTAAGAAGCCAAAGTAGTCTCATGTATAATTTGGAACTAGCGGACATACCTGTTTTGGTTCTTCAGACATTTTTTCCGCTTGATACAAGATCATTTTGTGGCATGGGTTACCTTAAATGAGAGAAAAATCTTATCTACGGATTCTGGAATCCTATCCATGAAGTTTGGAATTAAACATAGATTCATGCTCTAATATACATAATCATGATATCTATCTGTTCATCTACCATCTATCTGTTTGTCTATTTATCTCAATGTCACTAGTACAACTAATTTTTAAATTTCCCTTTCTGATCAATACAGGGTAAAGTGTGTGGTCTTTGTGGAAATAACAATGGTGATCTCAAGGATGATTTCACAACAAGATACACTTCAGTAGCTTCTGGAGCACTGGAATTTGGGAATAGTTGGAAAACAAGCCAAGAATGTTCAGATACAGTGGCTCAGACTTTCCCATGTGATTCAAACCCATACTGTAAAGCCTGGGCTGTGCGGAAATGTGAGATCCTCAGAGACAGCACCTTCAGAGACTGCCACAACAAGGTAGCATTGCTCTGAAAGCGGTGACTTACACAGGGTTTCCTCCCAGAGACTCACATGCTGTGCTCTGTCTAGGTTGATCCCAGTGCTTACTATGATGCGTGCATCGAAGAAGCCTGCGCATGTGACATGGAGGGGAAGTACCTGGGATTCTGCACTGCTGTGGCTATGTACGCAGAGGCGTGTAGTGCAGTTGGAGTCTGTGTGTCATGGAGAAAACCAAATCTGTGTCGTAAGTGAGGTCCATATGTTGTTCTTTCAAAACGTAATTAGATAGAAGTGTTTTCTTAGACCATCAGTCTTCCTCTCATATTTTCTATAAAACACATTTGTGTACCTAGAAACATGTTAATATTTTTGTTTATGATGTGCAAAAATACCTAACTTAAAAAATAAAGCACCTGGCTCGGTGCTTCAAGTTCAATTTTAATTTAAAAAATTCATGTGTTCATGAGGGAAAAAATGAATACTGATGGAGAATATTTCTTATTCATACTTAGATGAACAATGAACTGTTTACCTACCTTGTTATCTTCATATATCCTCCAACATTTACTGCCTGTATTACTTTTGTTTAAGGTGCTCACACAGGTTTTCTTGAAAACTTTCATAGAGCCCTCTTGAAGATGAACTGTAAATTGAGTATAGATTAAATTTAGATACATATGGAATATGATAATCTTAATAGAAATTAGCTCTTTTCCTTCTAAGTATTATGAGACAAAATATGACGAGAAGTGTTAAAATAGAAACCTCATTTTATTCAGTTTATAATGCAAGGCATTAGAGTATATTGACATCTTTAGTTATGTCATTTAAGAACTGTTAAAAAGCTTAATTGTCTAAGATTTAGATTTCCAATTTAAAGTTGAAGTTAAAAACATGAATCTAGACTATGATCTAAAATATCTCCATATGAGAAAATTAATGTTTACCTTTTTATCTCAAACTAACCCGAGTGTGAGATGGCAAAACAAAATGCTGTTGAGTTTATATACCTTCCTCCCCTGTGACCTATTTTGGCTTTTATGACAGTTTAGATAAAGCCAAAAAAACGTAATAAGACCTGATATACTTTAGTTATATTTATTATTACTATCATCCCAAACCCCTTTTTAAAATGCTCTGGAAACTGAGAGGTGAAAATTGTCATATGATGAATGAAAGTAATTTGATCTAATTCAATTCTAGCTGTCTACTGTGATTACTACAATGCGCCTGGGGAGTGCAGCTGGCATTATGAACCTTGCGGCACAGTGACAGCAAAGACATGCAAAGATCAGCTCATTGGACACAAATTTTCTTCGCTTTTAGAAGGTAACACATACTTTAAGAATATCCATAAAGTAGTGCAAATGATATTCATCTTAACTGGAAAGGGTTGTTTCTCCCAATTGAGTGTCTAATATTTTGTAATTTAATGAATAGTTATCTTTATTATGACATTAATGTTTCTACATTAGAAACACTTTCTCTAGACAAAAGCTTAGTTGGGGGTGGGGAACAGCACTCTGATCCTATTGTCATTCTTTATACCTTTTACTGGACAATGTCATTTAGTGTGAATGCAGTTTCAGAATGCAACATATAATACAGTCTTTCTTGAGTAGTATAATTACTGTAATAATTAACTGTATCTCACACTTAAGCAGAATTTTATTCTTAGCATTATATATTTCAGAGAGAAAGAATGGGCAAGAAACAGGATAACATGAAACTTTTCCAAAAGTCACATTTGTGTTAAATTCTTTGGCATATTTTTAGCCTATTTTGCTATGACTTCTGTATCTTTACCTACTGTTGCAAAAACACATTTTTGAGACTGGCATTCACATTTCAAGATATGCATTTACCAGAGCCAAGCCTGATTTATGTTACAGCATTATAACCATTGTGAAAGTAGTAAATCATTTAAAATTATTTTAAGAATCGTTTTAGAAAAAAATAAACCAACCAAAATCTGTAAGTTCTTAGTGTGATAGTTCACTGCAAGAAAGTCTGAACCTTCCTATATTTATATATTTTCATTATGAGTGTGATGCTTTGCTATTATCTACTTCACTCCATGGAGTCATTTAAGTAACTTTACAAATCTATAATATACAGTATAATGAGTGTCAGTAAATAGAGATGAACTGTGGGTCATTTTTACACACAGGTTGTTATGCTAAGTGCCCAGATAGTGCACCCTACTTGGATGAGAACACCATGAAATGTGTCAGTTTATCTGAGTGCAGCTGCTTCTATAATGATATCATACCAGCAGGGGGAGTGATCGAAGATAACTGTGGAAGAACATGGTATATTTTCTACTAACTTTTCAATAAGCCATTTTGACTTTTGCCTTTTCATTTCAGAGAAAAACCAAATGTGTGTATGAATATATTACGTTAATAATACATATTATATATACATGCTTATATATAATTTTTGATCCTGCCATTTCTAAATGAGAAGGCCAGCTTTAGGTTCACTTTTATATCAGTTATGTCAGTTATTTTTATTTTCAGATAATTCACGTGTCAACAGATGGTTTGTGGACTGTTAATAATGCAGAACATAGGAAAGAAAATGTCTTTGTGTAGTTTTAGGGAAAAAGTTCTAATTCTATAAATGTAAGATTATGTTCACGGGCTTTCTAACATGGAAGCAAATTGATGGGATCATAGTAGGTCCCCACAGCCATCAAATAGCATTCTGTTTGAAATTGAGCATGCAAGAACTGCCTTTAAGGCTCACCTGCCCACCATTTCTTCAGGCGCCCAGAGCTCCTGATTGAATATAGCGGCACATGGAAAAACAAGCAATTTGAATCAGTGGTATTCTCTTGGGGAAACAATTATTTGCTTCTATTTTGTTCTGTTTGTTTTCAGTCAGACAATTTGTTGTTTTAAATTTGTGAGCTGTATGTCATTAAGAGTCAAATTTTTCAACTCATTCTTTTTTTCTTTTTAAATTTAACTTTCAGCTACTGTATTGCAGGGCAGTTGGAGTGCAGTGGTAAGTCATTACATTTTACACTAAGTGATTTAGGAAAAATCAGAGGGTTGGAGGTCTTTTTTACATACTCCAGAGAAACGTTAGGCTGTCCCTCAAGGACTGGCACAATTCCATCCCAGAGCAATTGTCTATGGTGAGTCACTGATGGAACCCAGTGCTGCCAAAACATGCTGAACAACTGTCAGATGGGGCCATGGCTGATACTCAGGGTGGGGAACCTACAGCATACGTGCCCCTGCCTAACTGTAGGTTCTGGGAGTTGAGGGAGCGAGGAGTCAGCAAAGATAGTTTAATGAAGGGGAGAAATAGAAGATGATAATCAATATACAAAGAATTAAATAGCTGAAAGATTGAAGGATTGCTCATGAGCAACACACATCTTTTTTTTTTTTTTTTTTTTTTTTGAGACAGAGTCTGGCTCTGTTACCCAGGCTGGAGTACAGTGGTGTGATCTTGGCTCACTGCAACCTCCACCTCCCCAGTCCAAGCGAATCTCCTCCCTCAGCCTCCAGGGTAGCTGAGATACAGGCCCCCACCACCACCCTAATTTTTACATTTTTATTAAAGACAGGGTTTCACCATATTGGCCAGGCTGGTCTCAAACTTCTGATCTCAGATGATCCACCTGCCTTGGCCTCCCAAATTGCTGGGATTACAGGCATGAGCACTGCGCCAGCCACAACACAAATCTTAAAAGTAAATCTCAAAAAACTTCAAAAGAATTATGTGCTATTCCTTTTTATATTAGGAATTGCAAGAAGTAAAATAAAAAGAGACATGACTTACAGACAAATTGAATGGTAGATATTTTTTTCAAGATATAAAAATTCCTGTCAATAACAATAATGTATGATTATTTCAGAAACTGCTCCTACCAATTCAACATTTGCAGGTAAAATAATCATTATGTTTTAAATGTTGTATTTCTGATTTCTTTGTGTGGCTAATCTTTTATGGTTTCACTTGAATCTGTTCCAGTAAAAGATATGATGGTAAATCTGCTGATATAAAAATTTTGAATTATAATAAACAATTACTAGAAATATGTCAGAATATCATTTCATTATATTCCTATGAATTAAGTCAGGAATATGATTAAACATACAATAGGTGTTAGGTAATATTTATGTTATTCATTAATATTTTAACTCTGCATATTAGTTACATATCATTGAAAGCTTGATATTTTTAGATAATTGAATAACTGGATGAAATAGAAGTAAATGTTGCCTCTGTGAAGTAAATATTTTAAAAACATCATCATGCTGGGAATGATTTGAAAACAGAAATAAAAAGTTAATTCCTTCCTTCCTTCCTTCCTTCCTTCCTTCCTTCCTTCCTTCCTTCCTTCCTCCCTCCCTCCCTCCCTCCCTCCTTCTCTCCTTCCCTCCTTCCCTCCCTCCCTCCCTCCTTCCTTTCTTGCTTTTATTCTTGTTTTGAGGCAGGGTCTCACTTTGTTGCCCAGGCTGAAGTGCAATGGTGTGATCACAGCTCACCGCAGGCTCTATCTCCTGGGCTTATGTGATCCTCCCAACTCAACCTACCAAGTAGCTTTAACTATAGGCATGTGTTGCCATGCCTGGCTAATTTTTTATTTTTTAGAGACATGGTCTTTTCTTGCTGCCCAGGCTAGTGCAGTAGCACTATCATAGCTCACTGCTTCCAAAGTGTTGGATTATAGGCTTGAACCAACACCCAGCGAAGGAATTACATTTATGTTTACTTAAGAGGATGCTGGATGATAGTTTTAGGGCATGTAACTCCTTGGCAATATAACTACACTTTGAGTTGCTATAGTACACCTACATATTCCTACCTTGTGTGATATAAAGAGGGATTTTATTTCCTGTTGATTGATATTTGGAGGTGGGTAGTGTAAATAGAGAGATCGTACAGAAAATAGAAAAAGTTAGACTTTGATAATTTATTTAAAATTATGCAACATGCTGTAAAATGCTAGTTAAATTTTAGTTATTTTGGTCACTTACCTGAAGTGAAGTTTTCACATCAGGGTTCTGAACCACATTCCTTTAAGTTATTATTGGCCCATAAATTGACCTTACAAAGTTCCTATGAGATTATGGTTAAGTGATAATAACAGGAAATAGTTATTTTTGGTGTACATATGTAAATATATTGTGCTATTTTTATTGATATAAATAAAAATTATTTTGTCACTTAACCTCTGCACACATTTTAGAAATTTTAATTTTAGTTTATGGCAATTGTTTTCTTGAACTATATTTCCCAGAAAAAATTATTCAATTAATTTTCATAAATATTGTATTTTCTAAACAGTTTCCACTACAGCTGCTGCCATACTAAGCACTGGAGCAGGTAAGTAAAGTAAAAAATGTTAATTATTTTTGCAGATCCTAAATGAGCAGCGAAGATAATTTATGGTTCAGGAATCATAGCCCTTTTTCCCAATTTTTCATTCTCCATTTATTTATTTGCCAAAGGCCCATGTCAAGTATCAGGTGTCTATGTAATTGTAATATTATTAAAGAAATCTCTTTTCAAATGTTGTCTGTCCTAAGAAGATCATTCTACATACTAATTATTTGGAGAAAGTTGCTATGTCAGAAAATTCTATGTTAAATTCCTTGAAAGTAATTTACAATTTCTTTTAACACCAGAAAATTTTAATTGGATGCTTTGTCACTAAAACAGTAGCTAGCAGAGTAAAAAAGTGCCTTGAAATGTATAAACATCTGATAAGTGAACTTAACTGTTACATTTAATCATTTTATTTGCATTCTGGAGATCTCAAAACATGTTTAAATACATATGATTAACCTCATCTGTCAATACCAGTTTAATGTACATTTCCAAATATTTGTCTTCTTTACATAGCAATTACACTGGTTACCAGTAGCCCAGGCACAGGTAAGCTATAACCTCTAAGCCACAGCTTAATCAATGGGGGATTTTAAAAAAACACCCAGACTTCCTTCGCAGTATTATGTTTTTGCAATGACACTTTTAGAAGAAATAGACAAAGTACATTAATTTTTTTAAAGAGAATTTTCTTTTGAGAAAGCTTTTGGGGGGGAAAAAAGTATACCAAATGGTAAGGTTTTGTGACCTTTTACTTGTCTGTAAATTTTAAAACTAATATTTGGGCTTCTCTTCACCTATATGATCAATTTTTCTGATGCAGTCATTTTAAGTTGATCTATTTTATATGTGACCATAGATATTCTTGTAAGCATAATTTCCTCTGTATGTAAAGCTTATTTTTTCCATTGTTTTCTTAAATTCAGCAGTATCCATTCCAGGGATTAGAACATCAAGCGGTGAAACAACAGGTAGGCAAATCAGAAGATCCATAAGTGACGAATCAAGTTTTGAGTAAAGGTTTGTATATGAAACATTGAATAACTGCATTGGAATCAACATCAGTTTAATTACACATTAAAAATATTGGGGTTTGAATTTTCCCTCTGACCATTTAAACAATTCCCCTAGTTTATTTTTCTATTTTGTTTTTCCACCTAAATTAAAAAATCCATTGAGTATGTTTCGGTGTTTTTAATGTAAAAGAAAATATGAGAAAAAAAGAATTTGAAAAATATGGCTGGCAGGCAATTTAGCATTGTGACTCTACATATTATTGTCGTTTATAATATATAATAGTCACCTGTTTTTCTTTAAACTAATTAATTTTACAATTAGTAAGATGTCAGTTTTACTCAGCTGAAGATTCACATGCATAATATATGTGATTTCTTTCTAGAGCCTATGTTCTTGAGAAACCCATCCATGGATTTCACCTTTCCAACTCTGCATTATTTTTCACATACTCACTTTTCTATACTTAGGGTCTTTACCTCCAAATTTAGCACTATATCTCTTCTTTTGTTATTTATTAATTTATCGTCTTAAATGAATATGTTCCTTAAAGTCACAGACCATGATTTGCTATCCTTGTAGTCCCAATTGTACCTAGTGTCAAGGTACAGAATAGTTCACACGCTGTAAGTATTTACAGAGTGAAGGAACTCTGTTTTTTTTCTGTCGAAAATTTAGAACTCAGGTTTAGAATTTTAGCACAGAATTTCTGGTGAAGGATAAACTATTTGTTAGCTATTAGTTGTACTGATAAATCCAACAGTTCATACATTTCACTCATTAGAGCTAATCTTCAATATAAATATATAGTGTAAACCCAAGACTATTATTGGATTATAAATTGATATTATAATATAGAATTATGACTATAATTTTTAACATTTTATAAATCTTAGTATTGACTATTTTTAATTAATATATTTTTATATGAAAGAGGTAAATATATATGTATACCTTATGCGTCAGCCATTGTAGTGCACAATATAATTAAAAATACCAAAAACGACATGCTACTTCCTGTCAAACTTTCTCTTGTGTTGAATACCGTTAGCAACAGAAAGCATTATTGAATCTTTCAATGTAAATCCCAGAAAGCCTGACGCATCTCAAAAATGTTTTTCTGCAGTCTGTAATCATAAATTCATTTCCCAAGCCCAATAACAATTTCATCCCATAGTTTTTTGAATTATTTCATATACACCACAGAGTAATTTTCTAGCTACATATTACCTCAGTCACAAGCAGTGGACTGAATTCCTAAGTCTCAGTCTGGTTCTATTTCTAAGATGATTAACTTAGTTCAATTACTAAGCTCTCCTTTAGTCAAAGTCATTCATCAGCTAGAAAACTTTTGAATCTTGTGATCATTTAAAGAAATGCTTTTTTCCTTGATTTGATGAACTCCATAGGTATGCATGAATCAAAAGCAGGTTAGATCACTATTTCATCTATTTCTTCAGTGTTGTGATGATCATATCTATATCCTGTATCACAATACTTACCTAGAACTATTAAAAGTGTTTCAATTTTTATAGCTTATGTATAAATATGTATATTAATATACATATATTATATAAAATATGTATATTAAAATATATTTATATATTATATATAAATATATTTTATATATGTAATATATTTATTTTTTCTTGTAATTTTTAAAACATATAATTTTTAATATGTTTTTTCTTATATATAATATAAATTCCTTCTTATATATATTATATATATTCATGTTTTCTTTTCAAACACCTGGTTTTGAATCTAATATCCAATTTCATTTTGTCAACACTTTGTACTGTAGCAAGCAAACTTTCCATGGAAAACAGAAGATCGTGCTAGGGTTAACAGAAGATTACCCTGCTAGGGTTTTGTGAGCAACTGATGAAGTTTTAGATGTGATATTTTGTCTCATTTACTGTAAAACCCTATAAAAATCTTATCAATCATGTTCATGGTAGCATTTTAAAAATTATAAATCAAATGCAGAGTTGAATTATAGGAAAGATTACCTGGGCGATTTTTTCCTGAATTCAGTAACTATTATTTATGACTTTCGTGATTTGCCTTACTGAATCCTAATGTTTTATTTAATTTCTCTGAAATTCTGGTAGATATTTCATGCTCTGTAAGTATAATATTAGTAATATATTAAATGCTAAGTTAGTACTATATAGAAAGATATGCTAAAAATAACTTTTATTTACCTCTTTCTTGTCGTTATGTAAAATATTTTTCATTCAGTATCTGATTAAATCTTAATCCTCTGATTGTTATTCTTCACAATCCTCCTCACATAATCATTTTGTAGGTGAGGAAATGCAAAGAGCTTAAGTAACATTTTCAGGGTTGTAAGTATAAGAAGGAAAAGGACTTTCTGATGATCTAGAGAGAAGTTAGGATTGGTTTTCTTTTCTCATTATCCATGAAAGCCAGAAACTGTAGTCAATGTTATTCTAAAATCAGGGGACAAAGAAGTATAAAAATATTTATTTTTTCATCTTAAAATTTTCCAATTGTGCCACAAAATGTGTTTGTTTCAAATAAAGTTAGTCAGATAATGCCAATGTACAGGAAACATTAAATATCAAATTAATATGTTCCCAGCATTTGTTAATAATATATGTGTAGCTTACCTGGAACAGATTAAGAACTGCTAATTTTCCAAATAAAGTGAAGCATACAAAACTTAATTAAAGTTAATTAATTAATGTAATTAACATTTTAGTTAAATGGATCAAATTTCAGTTAAAAAATGATTAGTGGTAAGAATTAGTGGTAATTCTTAATTCCTCATCTTTTCTGATGCTATGACTATATCATACTAATCAGATGGAAATTTAGAAATCATTCAAATAATGATTAATGTAGTTTTCCTTAAAAATCTGTGACTTGAGGGCTTGGATCCTACTGGTTGGTCTTTGCTGATTCAATTAACTGGAAACCATAAATAGTCTACTTCAACTAGTGCTAGGGACTTGGATGGAGCACAAAATATTCAAAATAAAATGTGATATTTCTGAATTTTAATAACTATGAGATGACATGCCAATTTTCTTCTGACTGAGGATTTATAGCAATTTACGTAAAGTGAGAATGGTAATCATGAATCTCAGAAAGTACTAGATAAGTGTTTACTTATAGTTTTATTTCAGACCTCTAAAGGAAAAGAGTCATATCTATTAATTTTCATTTTTCATGTAAAAGTAAAACATTTTTCTTTAAGAGACACCAATGTATTTTTTCTTTTTAAAGTTTTTTTCTTTCTATATTCATCCAGTAAACCTTATGCCATTGTGGAAACAAAACAGTTTAAGGTGTTTCCTTTTAGAACTCTTTTTAGAAGAAATAAAGGTCTTTTTGTAAAGCAATTGCCTTGCACAAATTGCAGGCTTGAAAGATGCATCGTATTTCTTTTACTGACATTGGTGGGATAAAAGCGGATTTGACAAATTGTGATGAATCCACAATTGCAAAATGATTTTTGTTTTTAAGTCTTCTAGTGGTAAATCTTACTTGATCAGTGATGAGAACGCTAAATCCCATTTTTGTTTTATTTTAAGGTAAGTGTTTGGACATCACCACTAGCAAAGGTTTTTGTTTGTTTCAAAATATAATATGCATCAACCAAAAATATTTAATAGACATTGAAAAGTAAAAGTTTATATTTCAGATATTATACAGCTAAGAAGACACTTCATTTCAAATATATATTGCCTCTCCATGAACTATGTATAATAAATGGAAGGATATGTTTCTTGGACATGGGAACCCATTTAATTTTGGAAAATGTATTAGTACTTTTCAGCAGAACCAATATGATAAGTGGGATAAATTAGCTTAGTCAAAACTTTCCTACTTTTACATTTTTCTTTGTCTTCAAATAAATCAATTTAACATAAAAACCTATAATTCTTGAACACAAAGGTAAGATTTGTTTTAGAGTCTTGGCAGGGCAGTGGGGTAGGGGGTGCAGGTTTTTGCCACTAACTTGTTCTCTGGATAAAGTGCTTTTGATCTAGTACTGGATTGAACTGCAATCTTGAATGGAAGAGAAGGTATGACTTCATTGTTGAATAGTCCTTAACTTTTTTGTTGAGGTAAATAGAAGTAAAGTATACTTTTGAGGAATTTAGAAAAACATTACAGAAATCTTTAAGGTGAAAGGAAAGCAATATGCAAACTTTAATTTCTCCACATGCTTTCTGTATCTATTTTCTTTTCTATACAGTAAATGCTTTCAAGGAGCTAAAATATCCCAAGAGATGCCTAACTAACCATTCTAATAAGCATGTTATTTTTAGAAGAAAAATTATGCAGTAACAGGGCTTTTCCTCTTTAGATTGACTGATCTTGATACAGAGCTAATATTTACTAAGTGCTACTCTGTATATGACATATATTATCTAATTTGATACAGCTAATTCCCTGAAGTGGTGCCATCATTTCCCCCTGTTTACAAATAAGTAGATGGAAACACAAAGAAGTTAAGATATACATTCAAGGTTACTTGCTAATAAGTTGCAGAGATAATTAAAATTTAGAACATATTTTCTAGAGTCCAATCCTAATGCCCCTGTGTTTCCATGTTTAAAGAAGAGGATGAAGTTAAATTTAATTTAAATCAGTTATCAAAGTAGCAACATGTAATTACAGATTCTGATTTCAAATTGGGACTTACGTTAAAATCATAGATTGTTTAGTAAGTTTATATTAAAACAAACAAAAAAATCCCCTTCTTGAATGAATACATGGGATACTGACATAAAAGTAGTTTTCTCTTACACCTCAATGTGATCTGTTAAAAATGGATATGTACTCAAAAATTAAAAATCTTAGAATGTTGCAGCTATAAGTTATGTATGAATTTTGTTCATAAGATGTGCTTTTTTAAAATTGCATTTTAGGTTTTGGGGTACAGGTGAAGAACATGTGAGATTCTTGCATAGGTACACACATGGCAGTGTGCTTTGCTGCCTTCCTCCCCATCATCTATATCTGGCATTTCTCCCCATTTTATCCCTCCCCAACTCCCCATCCCCCACTGTCCCTCCCCTACCTCCCCTCCACAGACCCCAGTGTGTCATGTTCCCCTCCCTGTGTCCATGTGTTCTCATTGTTAAACACCTGCCTATGAGTGAGAACATGCGGTGTTTGATTTTCTGTTCTTGTGTCAGTTTGCTGAGAATGATGGTTTCTAGGTTCATCCATGTCCCTACAAAGGACAAGAACTCATTGTTTTTTATGGCTACATAGTATTCCACGGTGTATATGTGCCACATTTCCCTGTCCAGTGTATCATCGATGGGCATTTGGGTTGGTTCCAAGTCTTTGCTTTTGTATTCAGTGCTGCAATGAACATTTGTGTGCATGTATCCTTATAATAGAATGATTTATAATCCTTTGGATATATACCCAGTAATGGGATTGCTGGGTCAAATGGAATTTAGCATCAATTGTAGAAAAACATATTTTCATCAGGAAAAGGGAGATAGATGAGTATAGTGGAATGTGGAATTAGAAAAATAAGAATTTGAATCCCTCCCCTTAAAGTTTGACCCTGTTTTAAGTCCCTCAGCACCCTGAGGTTTGGTGTTGTCATCTGTGAAATGGAAACTAAGAATAATCTGTCCATGGAATGATTTGAGAAAACAGTAATTGTGATAGTGCAGTTTAGTGTAATACATAGTAGTTATTCTGTAAAGGCAACTCTATTATTAGTTAATTTTATAAAGAATAATTAGGTGAATGAGTTTATATTTTAGTTTGGGAGTTTAATGCCTTTCCAGTTACTAATCAGAAACATAACCACTTCTGAATTAAAGCTACTTTTATGAATTTTTGATTTTTTCAGAATAAGATATTTTGCAAAAGCTGTAGACTCTGTAATACTGAATTTGTTGTTTATAAGGGGAAATGTTATAGATATTCCTTCAGCTTATCTCTCAGACATACATTTTAAGTAAAATAAAATTCATCTAAAAATGCCAAAATATTTTTTCTTGTAAAAATTAAAATGATTTTTAGAAGTAATTTAAAAACTTAGTGGTAGCTAGAAAATTAATTGAAGGACTTTATTTTAAGTTTATAGAAAGGTGAAACACAAATGGACAAAGCCACTTGGAAAAGCTTTTAGGGTGGAGTATCATACTACCATATAGGCATGTAGAACTTTTAGTGTTTTGGTAGAGGCAGATCCTCCTATTACTCTTTATGTCTTGTCCACAAAGAAGCTGATGCATTGTAATTGACAGTATCAGGTATTTCCAGCATGTATATTCATTTGCAAGTAATGGAAAAATCAGTTGAAGCTGTAATGGTATGGATGTCAAAACTGATGAGAATGGGAATGCTGTCTCCCAGTAGGTTGGTAATTATACCCAGAAGAAAAGTGGGTTCTCATGTTTCCTATTAGTAAAAGCTTATCCCTACTTTTATTGCTGTATCAATAATTTCAGACTTACATCTTCTGAAGTTCATTCGTGGAACCTATATCATAGTAGCCTAACTGGAATGTACTCCAATCTGTGCCTAGCTTAGATAACTCTATGACCCTGATTAAAGATCAGTCCTCAAGATGCACATGAGCATATTGCCATCTCAGCAACATCAATTATAAGGAAAGACCTATAGATAAGTTCGCTTGTGCATATGGTAAAAATAGTGATGATCAGTACACTACCACCTATGGTGTGCAGCCATGTTCTTGAATCCATGTTGATTAGAGCATATTTATTTAGATGTATAAACTTTGGAGATTTTATTTCATATGATAATGCTGCTTTAAATTAAATGTAATTGTCTTCAATTTGAAAGTGCTCAGATTGGATCAGTGGAATTCCATAAGGTTAAATCAATGCTGGGAAATGGAATCTGCACCAAAATCTTTGGGCGTATCTGGGTCTATCTGTTCTTCCACTATCAAGACTAATCTTGATAGTCTCTGTGGATCGTGGCATAACAGTCTTCTGTGCTAGCCTTAGATCAGCAAGTGATTTTAATTCAAATGTGCAAGTATTGTGCTCATTAGTGAAAAAAGATATCAAGATCTGAATTGTACAGTTGATATAGTCTGTGTGATACCAATTTTGAAAATTTTCTCAGCTAAACCTTGTCAGCGCTTGAGAACTGTCACAAAAACTTTCTCTCAAACTACTTACCATACTTATTTAAATATCCATTGTGTAATTTGAGTAGGCAGGATATTTTATTATTTACTTCATAATGTATTCTACGTCTTCTAGTCTCATTTTTAATATTTTCATTAACAAGATGAATGGGTAATTAAAAAAATTTGAAAACTGCAAGAGGTGTGTGTTATATATATAGGAAGAATAACATAAAAAGCAGTATGGGTCACAGTCCTACTTACTTGGTGACTTACATTTGAGTCCTAGTTTTATCACTAACCATCAGCTATCTTGAATAAATCACTCAACTTTTCTGAACTCCATTCTTTATATAAAAACTGGGTAAAATAGTTTGACTCCATTCATTTACTCATTCATTCATTTATTCATTCTATGGACAAGTATTTATAAAGCTCTTATTATGTGCTAGGCACTCTTACAGGCCTTGGAGATACTAAAGTGAATTAAAACAGATGTGGTTTCTGCCTCTATAAAGCCTAGGGCCTAGTCAGGAATATGATTATCAATTAAGTAATTCCACAAAAACAAATGGAAACTTACATCAACACAAGAGCTATGGAGTACTTAAAAGGGCATGGTATGACAGGGAGGGGATTTAATCCAGTGAAGGAGCTCAGAAAAGGCTGAAGAAAAGGTGATTGAGTTGAGAACTAACCAATGAAAGCTCAACTAGGAGAAGAGGGGGAAAGAACCATGTTCCAAGTACAGACAACTGCAAACAGCAGGTAGAAAAGATAGCAAGGCCAGTGTGGCTGGATGGGGAGTGAGGATCAAACAGATTGTGTGAGAAGTTTGTTTCTCTCCTTTTTTTGAAGTTCCAAAACACTATAAAATTGCAAAGTGGTACTATTTTCATAAAGTAAGCAATGGATTCGTATGGATTTTCAATGAAAATTAACGTGGAAATGGAGAAAATAGCTGACTATTATTTATGAAAACTCTGAATTAATAAAGGTTTATTTTTAAGTGCACAGGTCCTCAATAAACATTTGATAAGCTTTAATTATATCCCTGGCAATGGGCAGGTGTTGGGAATACAAGTTAAAATATGGCCTCTTCCTTCAGGAGTTCACTGATACTTGACAACAGCTGTTTAGAGTAAATTCAAATTTATTTTCACAAACCTGCTATGTCAAATCATAAATATAAATCTTAAAAAAAATCCTCCTTTTCCCTCCAAAACCTTATAGTCTAAATGCTACTCAATAGAAAAATATCCAAGATGTAGACACCCAGAAGCTGAGAAAAGTTAAAGAAACCATAAACTGCAAAATAAGCCTTTGCTTAACAGAATGTTTTGACCTTGTTGGTATACATTCCATTTACTGTGTATTTAGTAGCATTCAGCATATGTATATGTGTGTGTACACATAGACACACATATTCATTGGAAATTACATCATGTAACTACATTAAAAATGAAATGCAAATTAACTCTAAACACGAAATATACTACAAATTACTCTATATTGAAAACTATATAACAGCAGAGCAATCTCTCTAGTACTTTTTTCTTGAGCTTGGAAAATTCACATCATTTCTGTTTTCCTTTTCAGGAACGACTCTAGGTCCTCTCACCAAACCTTTTACTACAGGTCAGTATATTAATTCCTGGTTTTATATGTTAAATGAAAATATCCAATAGTATAAATTATTAGTAACTTTGGGTTTTTAAGAAAGCATTTATAGGACAGTTTGGCCTTAGCAAAAATATTTCAGACAAGTAGTTTACTAGGCTTTTACCACTGGTTTTAAATTTTTCTTAAAAATCATTGAATTTATTTTGGGTCAGTTTATATTGACTGGCTATAGAAACATGGTTTCTATTTTGATTTTTTCTTTATCATTAATTATTAATATAGGATGTACCACAGTAGCAAATATCATAAATTTTTTTGAAAGAACATAGGTTATACATCTAATAACATATGTTATGCTCTTAGGTGTTTCGAGTTTAAACATGTGCACATCTAATAATATATGTTACTCTCTTTGCTGTTTTAAGGCTGAAAGTAGCAATTAACTATTTCCTAATAGCATTTCTTTATGGTTATTATCAGCCCCAGGCAACAGTGATTAGGGCAAAGGATCTGCTTATTTTATTTTTTTAATTAATGAGGTTACATAGTAGATGTATACATATATGGCACACATGAGATATTTTGATATAGCCATGCAATGTGAAATAAGCACATGATGGAGAATGTGATATCCATCCCTTCAAGCATTTACCCTTTGTGTTCTAAATAATCCAATTATATTCTTTAAGTTATTCTAAAATATAATTATTATTGGCTATAGTTACCCTATTGTGCTATCAAATAGTAGGTCTTATTTATTCTTTTAAAGTTTTTTTGTACCCATTAACCATCCCTACCTTTCCCCCACCCCTCACTACCCTTCCTAGCTCTGGTGACCATCTTTCTACATTCTGTGTTCATGAGTTAAGTGGATTTGATTTTTTTAGATCTCACAAAGTAAGAACATGTGAGGTTTGTCTTTCTGTGCCTGGCTTATTTCATTTAACATAATGATCTTCCATTCTATCCATGTCGTTGCAAATGATTGGACCTCATTCTTTTTTTATGACTGAACAGTACTCCATTTCGTATATTCTTTATTCATTCATTTGCTGATGGACACTTAGGTTGCTTCCAGATCTTAACTATTATGAACAGTGGCGAATGTAGAAATGCAGATATCTCTTTTTTTTTCTTTTTTTGAGATGGAGTTTCACTCTTGTTACCCAGGCTGGAGTGCAATGGCGCCATCTCGGCTCACCGCAACCTCCACCTCCTGGGTTCAGGCAATTCTCCTGCCTCAGCCTCCTGAGTAGCTGGGATTACAGGCACATGCCACCGTGCCCAGCTAATTTTTTTGTATTTTTAGTAGAGACAAGGTTTCACCACGTTGACCAGGATGGTCTCGATCTCTTGACCTCATGATCCACCCTCCTCAACCTCCCAAAGTGCTGGGATTACAGGCATGAGCCACCGCGCCAGGTGCAGATATCTTTTTGTTACACTGATTTCCTTTCTTTAGGGTATATACTCAGCAGTGGGATTGCTGGATCATATGGTAGCTCAATTTTTAGTTTTCTGAGGGACCTCCAAACTGTTCTCCATGGTGGTTGTAGGTTCTGCTTATTTTAAAATAGTTATTTAGACAAATGTATGAAGGCCTAGTGTGGCTCATTTCAAGGTGCAGAAAGCTATATTTGTGAAAAAGAAAAAAAGGCTATTATATGAAAACAAATTCTTAGGGAACTCTAGGCAGAAAGTCACTGGTTTTATTGATTCTATTTTCTATGATAACATTGATTAAACAGTTAACTCACCCCTTGGTAACAAAGTCCTAGTAGACTTTAGATGAGACGTTTATGTTTTTTTCAGGCATTACTGAAACTCCATTTCCCATCATCTCAACATCTGGGAATGTAGGCACAACACGAGTAGTGAGCCCCACGATCACTCATGCTGCGGGAATGGCAGGTAAATTCAGTTCAGAACAAAGTATACCAGCCTCAACTAAGCAACTAATTTATTTTGAAAAATATTGTCCTGAGTGACATATCCTAAAATTAGTTGCTTAGCTGAGTCTTGTTGAACAAACTCCTTTACATACAGAAAAGGGTTAAAAACCATTTCTTTAGTGTATACATGGAACTATTTCTCTTTATGTACTTGCTAACTAATCCATGGCCTAATTTTATTTTTTTCTACACTTATTTCCCTTAGCAATTTTCTTGATTTGAAAGTTACAACTTGAACACTTTTTGGAATAAGATATAGTTTACATAAAAAATAATGGTTTAAAGGATGTAATCAATGCACAATAGCACAAATTAAGAAGCAGGTTCATTTCAATTAGATCAGTAAACTTAAATTTTAGCATGATGACCATTTAGTTTACATTTCTTAAAACCTGCATCAAAATTACTTGGGTAATAATGATAAGTCAATCAGCTATCTCTTCTGGTTATGAGGAAGTATGTATAAAGATTTTGAGCAGGGCTACTCAAAGTTTGGTTGACAGATGGGTAGTGGCCAGATTGTTACTGGTTTTTGAGGTAATAAGAATTGAAACAGAGACTAAGCACTTAAAAACAGCAATTTTACAGGATGGTTTTTATGTCTATTAAATAAAGACTTGTGTTTTGTATGGTTTTACTTTAAAAAATTTCATTTCTCTCTATTTTTTTTTTTTTAAATGAAGTCTTGCTCTGTCTCCCAGGCTGGAGGGCAGTGGCGTGATCTCAGCTCACTGCAACCTATGCCTCCCAGGTTGAAGAAATTCTCTTGCCTCAGCCTCCTGAGTAGCTGGGACTGTAGGTGCTTGCTGCCACGCCCAGCTAATTTTTTGTATTTTTTTAGTAGAGACGGGATTTCATTATGTTGTCCTGGCTGATTACCAACTCCTGAGCTCAGGCAATCCCCTGCCTCGGCCTCCCACAGTGCTGGGATTACAGGTGTGAGCCGCTGTGCCAGGCATCATTTCTCTATTTTGAGGGCCTTTTTCAAAGTATCCATCTAGGACGGATTACACATTTTACAAAATTGATCTTTTGCAATGGATTATTCAAGAAGCACAGATTAGAATATTAACTGTAGCTAGACTGCTTGAATTTTGGCTCCTGGATCTGTTGTCAATCAACTGAGTGACCTGGAACACGTCATTTAATCACATCTAATAAATAGGAATAACAATATGACTTGTTTCAGAGGAATTTTAAAAGAGTAAATGAATTGGTTTGTGTATGGTCTTTTTTTTTTTTTGAGACAGAGTTTTGCTTTTGTTGCCCCGGCTATTGTGCAGTGGTGCGATCTTTGCTCACTGCAGCCTCCGCCTCCCGGGTTCAAGTGATTCTCCTGCTTCAGCCTCTTGAGTAGATGGCACTACAGGATTGTGCCACCACACCCAGCTGATTTTTGTATTTTTAGTAGAGATGCGGTTTTCCTATGTCGGCTAGGCTGGTCTTGAACTCTTGACCTCAGGTGATCCACTCACCTTTGCTTCTCAAAATACTGGGATTATAGGCACGGGCCACTGCACCCTGCTGGGGCATTTTTAAAAATTCTATTTTTTATAAGTAACCGGTCACCCTCCTGCCTCAACAATGAGAGGAGAGGAGGGCATCATACCCAGGGAACCAAGCAAAGGAGCTACAAGCCCAGGAAAATCAGGCAAGTCAAGACACATGCTTTAGTACCTGTTAAATGGGTAGATAATCAAAATATATATGCTGCTCAGGAAGCTTTAAATTTGACTTGAATGGCCTAGTCTTTTCCTTCAGAATCACCATATGTTGAAATCACTGCTACTGTGTTTGTCAGGTACGACTGGAGAATCCATGGGTGCAACCACAGGAGCAGGCAGAGAAAGCACACCTGGAGCGTCAGGCACTGGGGCCACCAGCCCTGGGAACCCAGCAGGTAAGACAAAGACTCTTTTAGGGGGCTGTAATTGGGGTCCAACACAAGATTTGCCAAGACCCCAGAATACAATAATGAGATTAGATAAAGATAACCAAGGACAATATTTTAGGAAAATGACATGAAACTATGAATATGAAAGATTTTTTTTCCATAACTATCCATATACATTAAGCACCATTATTCTTCCAAGTAGGAACAACTGGAGGAGTGGATGCAGCCACCACTGGAGCTGCTGGTGAAAATACATCTGGGAGAACAGGTACTGGAGGAGCAAAACCATCATGACGCTGTCCTGTAGACACGTGAGCTTTCTGCTCAAAATTTAATCAGAAACAAGGGTTCTTGGGGAATCCAAACATTATGTAAGGCTGTGTGTCCAGAAGACCAGAACCATTCCAACAAGTATATGCTGTATATACTTGATATATACTGTGATAGATGCTCTGTGGAATACAGGAAAAGAATAGGGCCATATATTTGTTCTCAATCCACTTCACTTTGGAGAGGAAGGAATAAATATTCCTACACATGTAGATGATAAAGACTAAGAAAGTTAGGAGTTAATTAAGCAAATAAAAGGTACATGCTGGAGCGTAGGGCAATTCTAGTAAGAGTCTAGATAATTCAATGTTGAACAGTGAATTATCTGCATGATTACTATATTTTACTAAGAAAGACTCTTTATTGAAATCAGTACAATATCAGAGTTTCCTGATTTATCTTGAACAATAAATTATCATGACATTTATAAGATAAATTCATTTTTTAAAGGAAAAAAATGTGTATTTCAGGTGACTTTCATAAGGATTTAACTTTCTTAAGCAGTCATGATTTTTTTTCATGATAAAAAAAAATTAGGTACACCTGGGGTATCATCGGGAGCAACCCCTGCAGTCAGAGGTGGTAGTACTCCTGGAAAAGCAGGCACTGGAGCCACAGTTTCTGGTCAGATCAACCAGGCTGGACCTGGTCTTATGTCTCAGAAGCTCCCAGCCATGACTCCCACACTAAGTGATGCTCTGTAAACTCAGGGTAGAACTAGTATTAGAATGCAGGGCTGAGGAGAGTTGGAGGGATTGTTTCTTTCACTTCCTTTTTCTGGAAACTTCCGAGTAGTCATAGTACTGGAAGTAATAACATGCATACCTCTCCCTGTCTTGGTTTCAGGAAGTACAGGAGTTTCTGCAGGCTCCACCACTGCCAGCCCTGGAACCTCAGCCACAACCTCTGAAAGCAGCAAAGCAGGTAAGTAAAAGGGAAAATCGGTAAGAGTGCAGGAGTAAAATGGAGTGTGGATCTGCCCACATTTCCTCTATTTAGCAGCGTTGTGAAGAATGAGAACTGGAGTTAAGAAGCCCAGTTATTGACCACTGGTATTGCACTTACTAATCGGCCATATAGATTCAGATATAAGTTCCTATTCTAGAACTTCTGAGCCTGTCATTCTGGAGTGGAGCTAGGATCTTGGTTTGCAATCCTAACTACAAATTAGAATCAGCTAGAGAAATGTTTGAAAATACATATTGAAGAATCCTTCACAGACTAATTGAATATGTATCACGAAAGAAGGGACCAAGCATTAAGTATTTTTAAAAGCCTCATGGGTCCCATATGTAACCTGGATTGAGAACCATTAGGCTCAAATATCTGAATATTAAACAAATAATAAACAAGCTTATTTACAAGAAAGAAGTAAATAAGCATTCTCAGGGATTCCAACAATTGTATAAGATTACTATGATCAATTTTTAGAAAGAGTGAACCATTTCTGGAAATGAAGAAGTATAAACAAAAGATATTTTGGAAGCAGAGAGTAGCACCCTCTGTTCTGCTAAATCAAAGATCATAATACATATTTATTGTTTATTTTGAAAGGAACTACTGGACCCTCAGTGGGTGAAAAAACTGGAGCCACAAGCAGTGAAGTGACGCCATCTGAAGGCATGTCAGGTGAGTAGAGGACGTCATTCCAAGGCCACGACATTTGGTGAAAAAGACAGTGTTTGATCGGAACTCTGCAAATTTTACCTAGTATAAATGCCATCCAAGAAAAGATAGAATGGTATATAAGTGATTAACATTTTTAAGAAAAATTTTAATTTATGTTGTCTCCAAATTATTCCTTTGAAACTACTACAGCGCTAGGTTGTCATAAAAATGTATATACTCTCCCAATACTGTGTGTGTCAGGTGTAACAGGACAGTCTGTTGGAACTGCTGCTGGATCTGACAGTGAAATCACAGCTAGAACATCTCTCATTGGTTTCAGCCCACCTGGGAAACTCACCAGGCCAACCCTGGGTTCACCTGGTCACTTTAGTGGTGGTGCGTCACAAACTTAGTTGGAAACTCAAATTCTTATAAGTTTAAGTGAATTTAGAAGGGACATAATTTACAACAAATGATCATGGATACTCCTATGACCCCTTACCCCTCTAAAGAAACCCTGAAATTTGTTCAAAGAGTATTTCATCATAACCATTTATGTAGACTAAGGTTGCCAGAGAAAATACAGGATACCGATTACATTGGAATTTCACACAAATCAGGAACAATTGTTTTTTGGATGAGATCGTCCCATGCAATAATCAAAACGCAGTGTTTATTGTTTGTCTGAGATTCATATTTAACTAGGTATCCTGTATTTTTATTTCGTGATTTTGAAAACTCTGATGCAGACTGAGCACTTGTTGCTCTTTTCAATTAGGAACAACTGAAGGGAAAAATGTAGCCACCACTGGAGCTGCTAGTAAAAACACTTCTGGAGCATCAGGTATGGAAAGAGCATAATCAGAATGAGTCCAGGCAGTAGAAGTGTAATTCTTTTACTTAAAATTTTGTCAGAGACAAGGTTCCCTGGGGAATATAATAATCATTATTTGTGTAATGTCAAAACTGAAGAAGATCAGAAAAAAATAAAAAAATATTTGTTATGTGTACACCATCATCCTGGGTGACAGAGACAACATAAAAGAGGAGTAGAGCAAGGTATTTGTTCTCATGGAACTCATTTCTGAACAAAAGAAATTAATATTTATAATACACACAAAAGCAAAACCATGCAAGGCAAAAGATAATCAAAGTGGAGGAATTGTTCTGTGACACGCGTTACAATAAGACTTGAGAGGCAAATCTAGTAAAGTGACTGATTAATTTGGTTAAAACAACAGAATTATTCTATTTTGAAAAGAATATATTATAATCACTGTACTGCAAGCTATGTCTATATGCCCCAACTTGAACAAAAGCTGAAAATATAGGGAAGCTGAGTGAAATTTTAAGGATCTATTCAACTGCAAGGGAATAAAAAGCAGTTATCATTCAGGTTTTGGGGAAGTAGAATTAAAAACAAAATATTCTTCAAACCCAGAAACCCTCTGAAAAAAGGTAGTAGAGAATCAAAAACGGGTTTATTATTGAATAATCATTAAAACAGAATGTGATACGCGAGAGGCAGTCTGTTAAGACAGTGCAGAATCAGAGAGAGATCTCACTCTTTTATAATATATACCCAAGCACATACTACTGACCCTACACATGTTCTCAATATAAATGATAAGAGTCTTCAAGTAGGAGGACTTGAGAGCACCATTTATTACACATAGTTCATCCTAAATTCATCTTTGGAAATGAGGCAGGTGAGTAAGTTGTTCACAGCTAAACCTGTGAAGAACCTTTCTTAACCTAATTTCCTAGATATTATACCTCTGTTGTAAATGTCTGATGACCTGGCTAAATTTTCAAACACATCAAAAATCCTTTTATCACAAGCAGAATATAATTTAATTAGTCATAGTATCAACGTGATCCTTAATTTACACTGACACTAGTAGAATGTAATAGCATTTAAGCTCGAGAAATCAATGGGGGGAAAAACAGGAAAATGGTGACTGCCTAAATTAGAGTCTACAGATACCTCTTTCTTCAAATCATAAAGATCAAAATAGATCAAAACACTTATCGTGTTTAGAGGAGACAGAGAAGAGCAAGACTCCCAAAACTGGGAACGAAGGCTCTGAGGCTCACAGTGGGGCTGAGATTTAGGTAAGGGCATCAAAGAAAACAGAGAAGTGTAGCGAGGTTCTAATAGTGGTAGAATACCATTATTCTAGTGTTTCAATCAACTGGAGTGGAGCAGCAGAAGGAAATATGCATGGAAGTCTTGGAAGGGAGAGGAAACCTTGGAGCCTGGGTGTCAAAGGAAAAACAAAATATGTAAAAATAAGGGTCTCAATAAAACAGGATAATAATGAAAGCATCAGAAGACAGACAAGGAAAAAGTGCCACTTATAAAAAAAGCTCCCTCACTGTAAGAACGTAAGAGGGAGCCCTTTATCTGAGAAATCTGGGAAGCCAGCCTGAAGCCTCTCTGCTGCCCCCTGCATAGAATCTCCTGCTATTACTGGCCCACAAAATAATGAAAAAAAAAAAAAAAAAGTAATAATGAAGAAAAAAATGAAATTCCAATATTGAGACACACCTATTCCTTTGTATAGATTTTCAAAAACTTTGCAGCAACAGCAAGCAAATTCTAAATACCTAGTCATGAAGCCAAAGAATATAAAAATGTAACATAAAATAACTAAGGAAAAAACTGCAGCTACAAAGAGACCTAAAAAATTACAGATTAAAAATTAAGAGCAGAAATAGATAAACAGCAGGAAGATGTTAAATTGGAATAGGTGAAAACCCAGGAGAAAAACTTAAGAAAAAGAAAAATCATCTCAGAAGATGACCAAATAGCAAGGTGCTCCACTGAGAATAAATAAAACTGAAAATACAGCAAGGATTTTAGAGGACAGAACTGAAAAGATCTTCTCTATCCCTGAAATATTGCAGACACTTTAAAAAAAAAGGTATCATGGGCTAGAGAAGGTTATAGTTTTAGGAAACAGGCAAAAATATCCAAAATATATATTATTGCCATTTCTGGAGAAGAAAAAGCAATGAAAGAGAACTAATATTTAAAATTATAAATAAGGAAAAAATTAGTTAGGAAAGAAAAATCCTAAATCTATGTCGTGAAAGAACCTACCATATATCTGGAAGAATTAATCCTGAACAGTCAATTATGCAAAGTATTTTGAAAAACAATTGGATTTGCTTTACTCAGAAAACAGTAAGTAGTACAGAGAATTATTTAAATCTCATGAGCTAAGTACAAGAAGCTTAAGTTTACAAAAAAAAAAGCATTCAGGAAGAAACTAACGTTTAATTATTTTTATTAAAACCAAAATTAAGAACTTTTTTGATGTAATAATATTAATAATAGATCTAAGGGAAACAGAACAACCCACAGAAGCTAAAAAGGTATTTGATAAACATTAAATAATCATTTCTGATGGGGAAAAACAGATCACTCAAAATAGTAGGAATTAATGAATAGTTCCTTAAAACAGGGCCAGGTGTGGTGGCTCATGCCTGTAATCCAAGCACTTTGGGAAGCAGAGGCAGGAGGATCACCTGAGGTCAAGAGTTCAAGACCAGTCTGGCCAACATGGTGAAACCCCATTTCTACTAAAAATACAAAAATTAGCTGGGTGTGGTGGTGGACGCATGTAATCCCAGCTGCTTGGAGGCTGAGGCAGGAGAATCACTTGAATCTGGGAGATGAAGATTTCAGTGATCCAGGATGATGCCACTATACTTACTCCAGCCTGGGCAACAGAGTGACACTTCAACTCAGAAAACAAACAAACAAACTAACTAGCTAACAAAAAACAATAAAGTATATATACCTCAGCCACATATGTAGCATCTTAATAAGAAATTTCTAAACCTATTCCACTAACTTCAGGAACAAGGTAAGGAGACATTCAATCATTTTACTATTTAACAGATTCTGACGTTATTAATAAATTGGATTAGATAGTAATTGAAAGCATAGAATTTATATAGAAAATATTGAACTATTTCCATTTACAGATGATGTAAAAGTGTACCTGCAGAACTCTAGAGAATCAATGGAAAAACTATAAGCAGTAAGAGACTTTAATAAGGTACCAAGACACAAGATTAATCTGTAAAAATTAATAGTCTTCATAAATATAAATAATAAATTAAAGTATATATTTGAAGAGAGAACTCCAATTTATATAACCAACAAACAAGATAAATTACCTTGGAATAATCCTAACAAGATAAAACTTAGGTGAGGAAAACTTTAAAACTCTCCTTAGTGACACAAAAACATTTCTGACCAAATGGAAAGGCAACCTATATCAGTGTGCCCAAAACCCCTTCAAGTTTTGCTAGAAGGACTCACAAGACTCAGTATAGAAGCATACTCATGGTTATGATTTATTGCACAAAAGGATACCAGCAAAATCAGCAAAGGGAAAAAGTGCATAGAGCAAATAAAAAATTAGAATAATAGAAGATGTGAATTGAATTACACAGAAAAAGAACTATAAATGATTCTTAATCCTCTGAGAAAATGATCAACTTCACACAAGAAGAATGGAAATCAAAACTACACTGAGATACCATTTCTCACATTTTATATTGGCAGACATCCAAAAATTTGACAACAGCCCTGTTGGCAGGTCTGGAGAGAAACAGGTGGTGCTCTGCACATTGCGGTGGGAGCACAAAATGTTACAGCCCTGTGAAGGGGAACTTGGCACAATCTAACAGAATTACAGACTCGTTTATCCTTTGACCCAGAAATCCCACTTTTAGTGCTCTTGAAGTAAGACAACCAAAGTACAAAATGACGTATGTATAAGCTTTTTATACCAGCACTGTTTTTTTAATAGAAAGATTGGAAACAACTCATCAAAGACACATTGAATAAAAGAGGACAAAAAGCAGCCCTAGGTCATCCAAGCAGAAGAGTGAGAAAGATCTCCATGTACTGATCTAGTTACTTTCAGAATTTATTGTAAAGAAAAAAAAAATCAGAATTGTGTCTACCCTTTATACCTTTATGAAAAAAGAGGGGTGTATGTGTATGTGTGTGTGTACATATATGTATATATGTTTTGTAAGGATATGAATTATATACACATATGCAAGTGTGTATAGAAAAAACACAGAAGATAAACTGAACACTAGTAAAAGTCATTACTTATAAGAAAAAACCAGAACAGCAAGATTTTGAGTAGTCTGAGCATTCTTTTAAATACAGTTTTGGCTTTCAAAAAAGGAAAATATCATGTATTTTCGAAAACAAAATTAAAATGAAAAAGCAAACCCTAAAACTGAAACAAGTGAACCTCATTGAATATCAAATTATAATCACATGGAGAAAATAAGTATTTCACATGACTTTAAAACACGGTAATCAGACTTTATATGCTAGGGTCATGTATTTAAATGGCAAAAAGATTGCTGGAGAATTTTAAACTTGATTCAATAATTTTCTCCTTAGTAGTTACATTAATGTTCTCACCTTGAAATTTTTTATATATCACAGGATAAAACAATTAGTAGTTATATGAATATTATTAGAAATCAAGATTTTCAACTTAAAAGAGATACAATAATTAAATCAGGGCTGGACCTTGTGCCTCACATGTGTGATCCCGGTACTTTCAGAGGCAGAGGCCAGGTGACTACTTGAGCCCAGGAGCTTGAGACCAGCCTGGGTAACATCGTGAGACACCCCCCCCCGATCTCTACAAAAAATACAAAAAATTAGCCATACATGGTGATGCATGCCTGTATCCCAGTGACTTGGGAGGTTGAAGTGAGAGAATCACCTGAGCCCAGGAAGTTGAGGCTGCAGTGAGCACTACTGTGCTTCAACTTGGGAGGAGTAAGATCCTGTCTCAAAAAACAAATAAGTAATAATTAAGTAAATTTCTGTAATGTTCCATTTGAGTTGGAAATATATATAAACTTATATATATGTAATTTATAATTTATATAAATCTAAATATATGATATATAGAAAATATGTATTTTCATATGTTAGAAATATATACAAATTTATTATAAATATGTGATATATACTTCTAATGTATGGAAATATATATCTTCCAATATAATACATTCATTTTCTATATATTTATTTATCTTTATATCTTCTAACTCTGGCCACTGAAATGGCCTGAAAGCATTGGTACCCTAACAGTAGTGTGCACCCTTTGTCACCCACTTTGGGCTCCTAAATTTCTATGTTCACTCTTGCTTGGAGAAATGATTAATTCCAGGTCTTGGGCAAGAAAAGTTCAAGGTGAGCTTGGGACTTCTTGAGTCAGAAAATGAGGAAGTATTCAAAGAGTAAGGGAGCTCTGCTTAAATGAAAGGGCACTAAACTGCATGAGTTCTTGTTGACCAAGTTTGGAAAATTTTCAGCACTGAAAAAATAATTACTTGTAATTGATTGAGACACATTTATAATATTGAGATATACACACCTCCAATGTGGATTAAGAAAAAGAAACAATCACAGCAACATTTGATAATGTTGGCAGTGACTATCATGTCAAGTCCTTATTCTGAAGTTTGGTAATTAAAGGGAAAATTAATCAATTATCAAGTATTTTTTTTATTAGAAACTATGGATCACGATATTCAAATAGTTCCAGTTGATTAGAGAAATCTCTCTTTTTGAAGAAAAATTCCAACCAATAAATGTTGAAAAAAGACATAATTGGAAAAATCATTGTTTTGAAATTCTGAATTAAAGAGACAAGGAGCAAAATAAATGCTGAAAACATTAGGTGAAATGTACTAGGACCTGGATGTTTGTCTGATGCCAGAAGATTATTTGAAAATTGCAGAATCAAAAAATACTTTACACTGGAGAGTTCTGGCTGTCACCACTTAAACCTAATGATCAAACATAGCATCACTGATAGTAATAGTACCTTATCAGATTAACATGTATACCCATCCTGAGCAAGAAGTCCTAATATCACTAAACTGAGTAAGCATTATGAGTATAAATATGCTGGAAGAGATTTCCAAATTGTTTCAGGTCACAGCGATTGAATAAAAGCAAGTTTCTTAAACCGTTTGTTTTTTCTGAAAGTGTCAGGTGCACCTGTGGTATCACCTGGAGCAACGCCTGGAGTTCTGGGTAGCAGCACCCCCAAGGAAGCAGGCAGTAGAACCACCAGTCTTAGAAACGCAGGCAAGTCGGGACATGACTCCTTGGCAGTTTTCAACCCTGCCTTCCTCAGCAGGGTGTGATGTAGACTATTGGTCAAGCTATAGCTGACATTAAATGTCAGAGCATAGGGAAAGCATCTGGAAGATGTCCTTGATGCACTATGCTTTAGAAATCTCAGTTCTGTGCTATTAGCACGGAATAGGGACCAGTACTTTCCCAGCAGTGAGTCTGAACCATTGTTGTTCATAATCAGGAATCCCGACAGTATCTCCTGCCTGGAATACAAGTAGCCCTGTGAGTGAAAACACCAATGCAGCCTCAGCCACAGCAGTGACAATCTCTGGAAGCAAACCCGGTAGGTAAAATGGGGGACCCAGCACTTGCTGGAGGCAATATAGGATGTTCATGTAATACTGATCCTCAAAATCAGTGTCATGCTATTAAGTAAGTAAATCACTTAACCTCTGTAACGTCTGTTTTCTTATCTGTAATATGTGGGTCAAAGTGATCTACTTTGTGAGCTTGGCATGAGGAGCCAAGGAAATAATGAATAGTGTACATGAAAGTACATTTTTTAAATGTGGAAAGGATCATTATATTTATCAATACAGAAAAATGAACATTTCTTTAATTTTTAGTTGGAAGTTAATTTAAATGAGAACTGGTTATCTCATCACTTAAGAAATTCTGTGAATGAGTCCTTTCCATTTTTGCCTTTGTAACAGGTACGGCTGGAATACCAGGTGGTGCAACTAGTGGAGGTGAAATGACATCTGGGTGGTCCAGCAGTGGTACCACCATGGCCTCTTCAAGTAAACCAGGTGAGACTAGCAAAGCACTAAAACGTCACAAAAATGGGAGTGAGTATGGAAACCTGTTTATAAAAGCTTATTCAATTAATTCAGTTGAAAATCTTTCCTGCTTGAAACTTAAAGCACTGTTATTTAAATATTCTGTGGATTCATTAAAAAGATTGCCATTGCATGCTTTGTTATTCAATATTTATGTACCACTGGGGTATCAATTAGTGTAATGCCTGAAATCACAGATAATTAAAATGATCTGATAGTTTAGATATTTTCCATCATTAAACTAGACTAGTGCCACTTTTAAAATCTGATATTGTCACAAGACCAATTTAAAAATCACTGGAATGTTACTTGATACAACCATTGTGGAGTTAAGTTAAAAAAAAAGCAATAGTTATCCTCTGACACTTTATCTCATGGTTTGTCCATAATTGTTGTTTTTGAGTTAATGGCTTCTAAGGATGTATTTACTCATTTTGTTATAATTTCTTTGTCTAAGTTATACATTTTCCACACAAAATCACTTAGGCAGCAGGCTAACATACTTCAATATAGGTTAAAAGTTCAAAATAATTACAAAATACTGTTAGTTATTTTTGCAGATAATTAATTGATTATATGATTTTCCCATAATACAAATATTTAAGAGTTCAATAAATTCTTCTGTGTCTCAAATAATATAGCATGCTGTTGGGCATCAAAAGTTTATCTTAACATCAGCAAGGATATATAAATTTCAAACTGGAATTCTTTTTTTTTTTATTTGCAATCTTTTGCAAAACACCACTATCTTTAATATCAGAAATTTTTGTGGTTTAAAGTATTAGCATATTTTCCCATATGTTCTTTACTGAACAGAGATCTAGAACCTTGATGAATAGCTTTCCTCATTTCTAAGAACAATTTGTTAAGTAACACTGCCTTCTGAATTGTTTAAAAATTCAGAAATCAGTTTTCTTCCTAAAATCTCTACACATGGGTTTCTTTAGTCTTCTTTTCTAGAATTTACAAATAGGGCATGTCTATAACTCGTTTGCTCAAAGCTGACCTGTTGAAGAAATATGTAAACTATGCAATGGGTGTTGCAGATCCCTTGCTAAACATTGTGTATGTCTCATAATACTTGTTTCAAATGACTAAAGAGATAGATTACCAATCAATTTATTTATTTATATTTAAATACTTTTCAGAAAATTGCTAAAAAAAACTTGCCTGAAAAATATAAGGGTAGGATAAAATAGTAGATAAAACCATTCTTATATCTTTATTTCTACTGGCTATATTTAATACAATATTGTTGATAATATATGAAGCAGTCATATATTTATATACTTATGTATGAATTATCTTAATCTGTTTTAACAAAAGTAAAAATGATAATCAGAAAAAAGTATAGAAAGTATAAAAATGGGCAAAGTGTTTTCACATATATTAAGTTACTTACTTGAATCTTACAGACACCCTATGCAGTCAGTAATATATTAGTAATTATTCAAATTTTATCTATGTAAAATCAGTGTGTTTACCCCAAATTCACAGGATGAGTATGTGCTGGGTCAGGGCCTAGATTGTTGATTTTTCATCTAATCTTTTACTAGACAGACCACCAACATGGTGAATTTCTGTTAAAACTAGAGAAAGATCTTGTAATATTGCCTATTTCTGTTCTTAGTTTTGCTCCTAGTGCCCAGCTCAGTTCCTGGTTTGGGTACTTGATAAATATCTGATGGATATTTGGTAAATAATTCAATAAGTCAGTAGTAGCTTCCAGTCTGGTAAAAGATGAAGAGGTTTTATTCTCATCAGTGAGATAAAATAACAGGTCATGTAGAAGGGAACCTTATGGAAGGATTGGAGCTGTCGAGAGGTAGTAGACTTTTTTCTGCTCCACTCAAGTAGTGGAGTTTTGCTGGAAACATGTACCCATACACACACAGACACACCACTCTACAGATGCATGTCTCTGTAGATTCAAGGTTTCCATCTTCGTCTGGTTTCTTAGGGGTATTCTTACTATATTGAGATCTTCAGAACTAGAGCCTTCTGGGTGATACTGGATAAAAATTATAGCCCCTTGCATTTAGAAAAATCTTCAGTCTTTCTCCCCTAATTCATAACATTTTGCTTACTCCTACACATCTGGCCTTAACTTATAATATTCCCCAGATCATCTCCCATTATCCAGCCATAGAAAAAGCAACTTCTAGCTCTGCTTTTCTAGCAAGCATAGCTCCATCAGCTTTATGATGTTTGTACTGGCTGTCACCTCTACCTGGAATGCCATTCTTCCTAGAGCTTCACTAGCAAGCGTCTTGTTGTTATCAGACTTCAAAATAAAGATATTCTCAGAGAAGCCTTTGTTAATCAGGCAATCTAAAATAGAACATCCCATTTTCTCAGTATCAACTCATTTTATGCCAATGCTCTGAAGCTTTTCTTGTTTGTGAATTTGGTTATTTGTTGGTTAGTTATTTTATTTATGTCTACCTCTCTCTTTCTTCCCACTAGACTGCCCTATAGGGCATTCCCTTAGAACAGCTACTTAATCTCTATGTGCTTTAGTGTCTATTCCATAAAAGAAAAAAGTAATATTACAAATCTCAAATCTCAAATAGAATTATTCTAATGGTAAAATTAAGTGATACTTATAAGTTGCTGAAAACTTCTTTGACACACAACAGATATTGGATAAATGATTTTTATGAAAATAAACAAACAGAAAGAAGTTACACTAGAGCTGGCACAGTGAAGATCACCATGGCCCCAGGTACTCAGGAAGATTGTTTGAGCCCAGGAGTATGTGATCAGCCTGGGCAACAGAGTGAGACTATATATATATATTTTAAAGAAGTTACAGTGTAGCAAAAAGAAAAGTATGAAATAATATGGTGATTATGGAGACAAAGATGTATAAAAGCTATACTACAGAAATAAAGCATCATGAGCCTTGAATGTTAACCGAGAACCAAAACAGCTATTAACATCATTCTACTTGTACTATTTGTTTGTGACAGGGGTAACTAGATCATCAACTCGAGAGAAAGAGACAACTGGACCAACAGCTACAGTAATAGGGAATTATGGACGAACATCTGAAATAACAGGGACAAGTAAATCATCATCTGAAGTTTCAGGGACAATGAGGCCATCAGATACAACATCAGGAGCAACAGGAACATCAGTGAAAAGGACTTCTGAACAATTGTCAGGAGTCACAGCAGCATCTGAACCATCAGTTGGAGTATCAGGGACAGCTGAATCATTAACTGAAATATCAGGGACAACCAGACCATTAATTTCAGAATTAAGAACAACTGGATCATTATCTGGAGGGTCAAGGACAACTGAACCTTCATCAAGAGAATCAGTGACAACTGGACCATTAGCTGAAGGTTCAGGGACAAGTGGAAAATTGGTTATAGGATCAAAAACAACTAGATTATCAGCTACAGAATCAGGGACAACTGGGTCTTTTACTGGAGGATTAGGTACAAGTAGATCATCTGCTAGAGAAACAGGGACAACTGAACCATCAGCTGATGGATCGGGGACAAGTGAACCAACTATTGTAGAAGGAAAGACATCTACACCATCAGCTAGAGTGACAGTTACATCTGGAGACTCACATAGAGTGACTGGAGCAACTGAACTATTGGCTGGAGTGACAGGACCCACTAAACCATCTGTGGTAGGATCAGAGACAACTGGATCATCTGTTACAGGAGTAAGGACAACTGCCCAAACTTCATCTGGAGGATTAAGTACAACTACATCACCAGTTGGAGGAACAGGGACCACTGGACAATCACCTGAAATATCAGGGACTGCAGGACCATTTACTGGATTGACAAAGATATCTGCACAATCAGCTGGAGTGGTAGTAACAACAGGAATTTTTGTTGAAGGCTCATTGACAACTGAAAAATCTCTTGTAGAATCAGTAACAACTGGATTATCAGCTGAAGCTACAGGGACAACTGGACCATCTATTACTGGAGCAGGAACAACCAGACCATTCGTTATAGGATCATGGACAGCTGGAACTTCATCTGGAGGACTGGGTACAACTAGTCCATCAGTTGGAGGAACAGAGACAGCTGGACAATCAGCTGCAGGATCAGTGACAACAGAGACAGTTTCTGAATTGACAGAAACCTCTGGTCCATCAGCAGAAGTAACAGTGACACCTGGAAAATTACCTGCAGTGACTCAGAAAACTGGATCATCAGCTGCAGTATCAGGAACAACTGTACAATCTCTTACATTATCAGAAACAACTAGAACATCATCTGGAGAAACAGAAACAACTGGATCATTAGTTAAAGAATCAGGGACAACTAAACCATCAGATGTAAAATCAGGAACTACTGGACCAACAGCTGGGGTGACAGGTACAAATGGACCACCATCTGGAGTGAGAGGGACAACTGGACCCTTAGCTAAAGTGACAGGGACAACTGGACTACCAGCTGGAGTGACAGAGACAAATGGATCAACAGGGGTGATAGTGACAACTGGACCATCACCTGGAGTGACAAGGACAACTGGATCATCAGCTGGGGTGACAGGAAAAACTGGACTATCATTTGGAGTCACAGGAAAAACTGGATCATCAACTGGGGTGATAAGAATAACTGCATCATCAGTTGGAGTGACAGGGACAACTGGACTGTCAGCTGAAGCAACAGGGACAACTGGCCTAGCAGCTGGAGTGACAGGGACAAGTGGACTATCAGCTGGAGTGACAGGGACAACTGGGTCATCTGCAAGATCAGGGACAAATATACCATCAGCTGGAAAAACAGGAACAACTAGAACATCAGTTGAAGAATCAAGGACAACTGGACCATCAGCTGGACTAACAGGTACAAATGGACTATCAGCTGAAGTGACGGGGGAAACTGGACCATCAGCTGGAGTGAGAGGGACAACTGGACCATCAGTTGAACTGACAGGAACACCTGGACTGTCAGCTGAAATAACAGGGACAACTGAATCAACAGCTTTGGTGACAGGGACTACTGGTTCATCAATGGAAGTGACAAGACTATCTCAACTATCAACTGGGGTGACAGGAACAATTGGATCACTAGCTGGAGTAACAGGAAAAACTGGACTATCAGCTGGAGTAACAGGAAAAACTGGACTATCAGCTGGAGTGACAGAGACAAGTGGACTCTCAGCTGGAGTGACAGGGACAGCTGGGCTATCAGCTGGGGTAACAGGGATAATTGGATCACCAGCTGAAGCAACCAGGACAACTGGACTATCAGCTGGAGTGACAGGGACAATTGAATCATTGGCTGAAGTGACAGGGAGAAGTGGACTGTCAGCTGGAGTGACAGGGACAGGTGAACTATCAGCTGGGGTGACAGGGATAAGTGGACTATCATCAGGAGTGACAGGGACAATTGGATTACCAGCTGAAGCCACAGGGAAAACTGGACTACCCACTGGTGTGACAGGGACATTTGGATCAACAGCTGAAGCAACAGGGACAACTGGACTGTCAGCTGGAGTGACAGGGACAAGTGGACTAGGAGTGACAGGAACAACTGGGCTATCAGCTGGAGTAACAGGGACAGTTGGATCACCAGCTGAAGCAACAGGGACAACTGGACTATCAGTTGGAATAACAGGGAAAGGTGGACTCTCAGCTGGAGTGACAGGGACAACTACGCTATCAGCTGGGGTGTCACGGACAAGTGGATTATCAACTGGAGTGACAGGGACAACTGGGCTGTCAGCTGGGGGGGCAGGGACAATTGGATCACCAGCTGAAGAAACAGGGACAAGTGGACTATCAGCTGGAGTGACAGAGACAAGTGGAATACCATCTGGGGTGACAAGGAGAATTGGATCATTAGCTGGGGTGACAGAAACAGCAGGCCTATCAGATGGAGTGACAGGGACAAGTGGACTATCAGCTGGAGTGACAGGGACAAGTGGACTGTCAGCTGGAGTGACAGAGACAGGTGGAATGTCAGCTGGAGTGACAGGGACAAGTGGACTGTCAGCTGGAGTGACAGGAACAAGTGGACTGTCAGCTGGAGTGACAGGGACAAGTGGACTAGGAGTGACAGGAACAACTGGGCTATCAGCTGGTGTGACAGCAACAGTTGGATCACCAGCTGAAGCAACAGGGACAACTGGACTATCAGTTGGAGTAACAGGAACAAGTAGACTCTCAGCTGGAGTGACAGGGACAACTGGGCTATCAGTTGTGGTGTCAGGGAAGAGTGGATTATCACCTGGAGTGACAGGGACAACTGGGCTGTCAGCTGGGGGGACAGGGACAATTGGATCACCAGCTGAAGCAACAGGGACAATTAGACTGTCAGCTGGAGTGACACGTACAAGTGGAATCTCACCTGGAGTGACAGGGACTACTGAGCTCTCAGTTGGGGTGTCAGGGACAAGTGGATTATCAGCTGGAGTGACAGGGACAACTGGGCTATCAGCTGGGGTGACAGGGACAATGGAATCACTAGCTCAAGCAACAGGGACAACTGGACTATCAGCTGGGCTGACAGGGACAATTGGATCACCAGCTGAAGCAACAGGGACAAGTGGACTATCAGCTGGAGTGGCAGAGACAAGTGGACTACCATCTGGGGTGACAAGGACAATTGGATCATTAGCTGGGGTGACAGGGACAGCTGGCCTATCAGCTGCAGTGACACGGACAAGTGGACTATCAGCTGGAGTGAGAGGGACAAGTGGACTATCAGCTGGAGTGAGAGGGACAAGTGGACTGTCAGGTGGAGTGACAGAGACAAGTGGGCTGTCAGCTGGAGTGACAGGGAAGAGTGGACTGTCAGCTGGAGTGACAGGGACAAATGTACTGTCAGCTGAAGTGACACGGAAAACTGGACTACCCGCTGGTGTGACAGGGACAATTGGATCAACAGCTGAAGCAACAGGAACAAATGGACTGTCAGCTGGAGTGACAGGGACAAGTGGACTAGGAGTGACAGGAACAACTGGGCTATCAGCTGGGGTGACAGCAACAGTTGGATCACCAGCTGAAGCAACAGGGACAAGTGGACTATCAGTTGGAGTAACAGGGACAAGTGGAATCTCAGCTGGAGTGACAGGGACAACTGGGCTATCAGCTGGGGTGACAGGGACAACAGAATCACTAGCTGAAGCAACAGGGACAACTGGACTATCAGCTGGGCTGACAGGGACAATTGGATCACCAGCTGAAGCAACAGGGACAAGTGGACTACCATCTGGGGTGACAAGGACAATTGGATCATTAGCTGCGGTGACAGGGACAGCTGGCCTATCAGCTGCAGTGACAGGGACAAGTGGACTGTCAGCTGGAGTGAGAGGGACAAGTGGACTATCAGCTGGAGTGACAGAGACAAGTGGGCTGTCAGCTGGAGTGACAGGGAAAACTGGACTACCCACTGGTGTGACAGGGACAACTGGATCAACAGGTGAAGCAACAGGGACAACTGGACTGTCAGCTGGAGTGACAGAGACAAGTGGTCTAGGAGTGACAGGAACAATTGGGCTATCAGCTGGGGTGACAGGGACAGTTGGATCACCAGCTGAAGCAACAGGGACAACTGGACTATCAGTTGGAGTAACAGGGAAAGGTGGACTCTCAGCTGGAGTGACAGGGACAACTAGGCTATCAGCTGGGGTGTCACGAACAAGTGGATTATCAACTGGAGTGACAGGTACAACTGGGCTGTCAGCTGGGGGGACAGGGACAATTGAATCACCAGCTGAGGCAACAGGGACAAGTGGACTATCAACTGGAGTGACAGAGATAAGTGGACTACCATCTGGGGTGACAAGGACAATTGGATCATTAGCTGGGGTGACAGGGACAGCTGGCCTATCAGCTGCAGTGACAGGGACAAGTGGACTATCAGCTGGAGTGACAGGGACAAGTGGACTGTCAGCTGGAGTGAAAGGGACAAGTGGACTGTCAGCTGGATTGACAGAGACAAGTAGGCTGTCAACTGGAGTGACAGGGACAAGTGTACTGTCACCTGGAGTGACAGGGAAAACTGGACTACCCACTGGTGTGACAGGGACAATTGGATCAATAGCTGAAGCAACAGGAACAAATGGACTGTCAGCTGGAGTGACAGGGACAAGTGGACTAGGAGTGACAGGAACAACTGGGCTATCAGCTGGGGTGACAGGGACAGTTGGATCACCAACTGAAGCAACAGGGACAACTGGACTATCAGTTGGAGTAACAAGGACAAGTGGACTCTCAGCTGGAGTGACAGGGACAACAGAGTCACTAGCTGAAGCAACAGGGACAACTGGAGTATCAGCTGGGCTGACAGGGACAATTGGATCACCAGCTGAAGCAACAGGGACAAGTGGACTACCATCTGGGGAGACAAGGACAATTGGATCATTAGCTGGGGTGACAGGGACAGCTGGCCTATCAGCTGCAGTGACAGGGACAAGTGGACTATCAGCTGGAGTGACAGGGACAAGTGGACTTTCAGCTGGAGTGAGAGGGACAAGTGGACTGTCAGGTGGAGTGACAGAGACAAGTGGGCTGTCAGCTGGAGTGACAGGGACTAGTGGACTATCAGGTGGAGTGACAGGGACAAGTGGACTGTCAGCTGGAGTGACAGGGAAAACTGGACTACCCACTGGTGTGACAGGGACAATTGGATCAACAGCTGAAGCAACAGGGACAACTGGAGTGTCAGCTGGAGTGACAGGGACAAGTGGACTAGGAGTGACAGGAACAACTGGGCTATCAGCTGGAGTGACAGGGACAAGTGTACTGTCACCTGCAGTGACAGGGAAAACTGGACTACCCACTGGTGTGACAGGGACAATTGGATCAACAGCTGAAGCAACAGGGACAACTGGACTGTCAGCTGGAGTGACAGGGACAAGTGTACTGTCACCTGCAGTGACAGGGAAAACTGGACTACCCACTGGTGTGACAGGGACAATTGGATCAATAGCTAAAGCAACAGGGACAACTGGACTGTCAGCTGGAGTAACAGGGACAAGTGGACTAGGAGTGACAGGAACAACTGGGCTATCAGCTGGGGTGACAGGGACAGTTGGATCACCAGCTGAAGCAACAGGGACAAGTGGACTATCAGTTGGAGTAACAGGGACAAGTGGACTCTTAGCTGGAGTGACAGGGACAACTGGGCTATCAGCTGGGGTGTCACAGACAAGTGGATTATCAACTGGAGTGACAGGGACAACTGGGCTGTCAGCTGGGTGGACAGGGACCATTGGATCACCAGGTGAAGCAACAGGGACAAGTGGACTATCAGCTGGAGTGACAGAGACAAGTGGACTACTATCTGGGGTGACAAGGACAGCTCGCCTATCAGCTGCAGTGACAGGGACAAGTGGACTATCAGATGGAGTGACAGGGACAAGTGAACTGTCAGCTGGAGTGAGAGGGACAAGTGGACTGTCAGCTGGAGTGACAGGGACAAGTATACTGTCAGCTGGAGTGACAGGGACAAATGTACTATCAGCTGAAGTGACACAGACAACTGGACTACCCGCTGGTGTGACAGTGACAATTGGATCAACAGCTGAAGCAACAGGAACAAATGGACTGTCAGCTGGAGTGACAGGGACAAGTGGACTAGGAGTGACAGCAACAACTGGGCTATCAGCTGGGGTGACAGGGACAACTGGACTATCAGTTGGAGCAACAGGGACAAGTGGACTATCAGTTGGAGTAACACGGACAGGTGGACTCTCAGCTGGAGTGACAGGGACAACTAGGCTATCAGCTGGGGTGTCACGAACTAGTGGATTATCAACTGGAGTGACAGGTACAACTGGGCTGTCAGCTGGGAGGACAGGGATAATTGGATCACCAGCTGAGGCAACCAGGACAACTGGACTATCAGCTGGAGTGACACGGACAAGTGGAATCTCAGCTGGAGTGACAGGGACAACTGGGCTATCAGCTGGGGTGACAGGGACAACGAAATCACTAGCTGAAGCACCAGGGACAACTGGACTATCAGCTGGGCTGACAGGGACAATTGGATCACCAGCTGAAGCAACAGGGACAAGTGGACTATCAGCTGGAGTGACAGAGACAAGTGGATTACCATCTGGGCTGACAAGGACAATAGGATCATTAGCTGGGGTGACAGGGACTGTTGGCCCATCAGCTGCAGTGACAGGGACAAGCAGACTATCAGCTGGAGTGACAGGGACAAGTGGACTGTCAGCTGGAGTGACAGGGACAAATGGACTATCAGCTGGAGTGACAGGGACAAGTGTACTGTCACCTGGAGTGACAGGGAAAACCGGACTACCCACTGGTGGGACAGGGACAATTGGATCAACAGGTGAAGCAACAGGGACAACTGGACTGTCAGCTGGAGTGACAGGGACAAGTGGACTAGGAGTGACAGGAACAACTGGGCTATCAGCTGGGGTGACAGGGACAACTGGACTATCAGTTGGAGCAACAGGGACAAGTGGACTATCAGTTGGAGTAACAGGGACAAGTGGACTCTCAGCTGGAGTGACAGGGACAAATAGGCTATCAGCTGGGGTGTCACGAACAAGTGGATTATCAACTGGAGTGACAGGTACAACGGGGCTGTCAGCTGGGAGGACAGGGATAATTGGATCACCAGCTGAGGCAACCAGGACAACTGGACTATCAGCTGGAGTGACACGGACAAGTGGAATCTCAGCTGGAGTGACAGGGACAACTGGGCTATCAGCTGGGGTGACAGGGACAACGAAATCACTAGCTGAAGCAACAGGGACAACTGGACTATCAGCTGGGCTGACAGGGACAATTGGATCACCAGCTGAAGCAACAGGGACAAGTGGACTATCAGCTGGAGTGACAGAGACAAGTGGACTACCATCTGGGCTGACAAGGACAATAGGATCATTAGCTGGGGTGACAGGGACTGTTGGCCCATCAGCTTCAGTGACAGGGACAAGCAGACTATCAGCTGGAGTGACAGGGACAAGTGGACTGTCAGCTGGAGTGACAGAGAAAAGTGGGCTGTCATCTGGAGTGACAGGGACAAGTGGACTATCAGCTGGAGTGAGAGGGACAAGTGGACTGTCAGCTGGAGTGACAGGGAGAACTGGACTACCCACTGGTGGGACAGGGACAATTGGATCAACAGGTGAAGCAACAGGGACAACTGGACTGTCAGCTGGAGTGACAGGGACAAGTGGACTAGGAGTGACAGGAACAACTGGGCTATCAGCTGGGGTGACAGGGACAGTTGGATCACCAGCTGAAGCAACAGGGACAACTGGACTATCAGTTACAGTAACACGGACAGGTGGACTCTCAGCTGGAGTGACAGGGACAACTAGGCTATCAGTTGGGGTGTCACGAACAAGTGGATTATCAACTGGAGTGACAGGTACAACTGGGCTGTCAGCTGGGAGGACAGGGGCAATTGGATCACCAGCTGAAGCAACCAGGACAACTGGACTATCAGCTGGAGTGACACGGACAAGTGGAATCTCAGCTGGAGTGACAGGGACAACTGGGCTATCAGCTAGGTTGACAGGGACAACGAAATCACTAGCTGAAGCAACAGGGACAACTGGACTATCAGCTGGGCTGACAGGGACAATTGGATCACCAGCTGAAACAACAGGGACAAGTGGACTATCAGCTGGAGTGACACGGACAAGTGGAATCTCAGCTGGAGTGACAGGGACAACTGGGCTATCAGCTAGGTTGACAGGGACAACGAAATCACTAGCTGAAGCAACAGGGACAACTGGACTATCAGCTGGGCTGACAGGGACAATTGGATCACCAGCTGAAACAACAGGGACAAGTGGACTATCAGCTGGAGTGACAGAGACAAGTGGACTACCATCTGGGGTGACAATGACAATTGGATCATTAGCTGAGGTGACAGGGACAGCTGGCCTATCAGCTGCAGTGACAGGGACAAGTGGACGATCAGCTGGAGTGACAGGGACAAGTGGACTGTCAGCTGGAGTGAGAGGGACAAGTGGACTGTCAGCTGGAGTGACAGAGAAAAGTGGGCTGTCAGCTGGAGTGACAGGGACAAGTGGACTATCAGCTGGAGTGACAGGGACAAGTGTACTGTCACCTGGAGTGACAGGGAAAACTGGACTACCCACTGGTGGGACAGGGACAATTGGATCAACAGGTGAAGCAACAGGGACAACTGGACTGTCAGCTGGAGTGACAGGGACAAGTGGACTAGGAGTGACAGGAACAACTGGGCTATCAGCTGGGGTGACAGGGACAGTTGGATCACCAGCTGAAGCAACAGGGACAACTGGACTATCAGTTGGAGTAACAGGGACAAGTGGACTCTCAGCTGGAGTGACAGGGACAACTGGGCCATCAGCTGAGGTGACAGGGACAACAGAATCACTAGCTGAAGCAACAGGGACAACTGGACTATCAGCTGGGCTGACAGGGACAATTGGATCACCAGCTGAAGCAATAGGGACAAGTGGACTATCGGCTGGAGTGACAGAGACAAGTGGACTACCATCTGGGGTGACAAGGACAATTGGATCATTAGCTGGGGTGACAGGGACAGCTGGCCTATCAGCTGCAGTGACAGGGACAAGTGGACTTTCAGCTGGAGTTAGAGGGACAAGTGGACTGTCAGCTGGAGTGACAGAGACAAGTGGGCTGTCAGCTGGAGTGACAGGGACAAATGTACTATCAACTGGAGTGACACAGACAACTGGACTACCTGCTGTTGTGACAGTGACAATTGGATCAACAGCTGAAGCAACAGGAACAAATGGACTGTCAGCTGGAGTGACAGGGACAAGTGGACTAGGAGTGACAGGAACAACTGGGCTATCAGCTGGGGTGACAGGGACAACTGGACTTTCAGTTGGAGTAACAGGGACAAGTGGACTCTCAGCTGGAGTGACAGGGACAACTAGGCTATCAGCTGCGGTGTCAAAAGCAAGTGGATTATCAACTGGAGTGACAGGTACAACTGGGCTGTCAGCTGGGAGGACAGGGAAAATTGGATCACCAGCTGAAGCAACCAGGACAACTGGACTATCAGCTGGAGTGACACAGACAAGTGGAATCTCAGCTGGAGTGACAGGGACAACTGGGCTATCAGCTGGGGTGACAGGGACAACGAAATCACTAGCTGAACCAACAGAGACAACTGGACTATCAGCTGGGCTGACAGGGACAATTGGATCACCAGCTGAAGCAACAGGGACAAGTGGACTATCAGCTGGAGTGACAGAGACAAGTGGACTACCATCTGGGCTGACAAGGACAATTGGATCATTAGCTGGGGTGACAGGGACAGCTGGCCTATCAGCTGGAGTGAGAGGGACAAGTGGACTGTTAGCTGGAGTGACAGGGACAAGTATACTGACAGCTGGAGTGACAGGGAAAGCTGGACTACCCACTAGTGTGACAGGGACAATTGGATCAACAGCTGAAGCAACAGGTACAACTGGACTGTCAGCTGGAGTGACAGGGACAAGTGGACTAGGAGTGACAGGAACAACTGGGCTATCAGCTGGGGTGACAGGGACAGTTGGATCACCAGCTGAAGCAACAGGGACAACTGGACTATCAGTTGGAGTAACAGGAACAGGTGGACTCTCAGCTGGAGTGACAGGGACAACTAGGCTATCAGCTGGGGTGTCACGAACAAGTGGATTATCAACTGGAGTGACAGGTACAACTGGGCTGTCAGCTGGGAAGACAGGGACAATTGGATCACCAGCTGAAGCAACCAGGACAACTGGACTATCAGCTGGAGTGACACGGACAAGTGGAATCTCAGCTGGAGTGACAGGGACAACTGGGCTATCAGCTGGGGTGACAGGGACAACGGAATCACTAGCTGAAGCAACAGGGACAACTGGACTATCAGCTGGGCTGACAGGGACAATTGGATCACCAGCTGAAGCAACAGGGACAAGGGGACTATCAATTGGAGTGACAGGGACAAGTGGAATCTCAGCTGGAGTGACAGGAACAACTGGGCTATCAGCCGGAGTGACAGGGACAGTTAGATCACCAGCTGAAGCAACAGGGACAACTGGACTATCAATTGGAGTGACAGGGACAACTGGGCTATCAGCTGGGGTGTCACTGACAAGTGGATTATCAACTGGAGTGACAGGGACAACTGGGCTGTCAGCTGGGCTGACAGGGACAATTGGATCACCAGCTGAAGCAACAAGGACAAGTGGACTATCTGCTGGAGTGACAGAGACAAGTGGACTACCGTCTGGGGTGACAAGGACAATTGGATCATTACCTGGGGTGACAGGGACAGCTGGCCTATCAGCTGCAGTGACAGGGACAAGTGGACTATCAGCTGGAGTGACAGGGAAAAGTGGACTCTCAGCTGGAGTGAAAGGGACAAGTGGACTGTCAGCTGGAGTGACAGAGACAAGTGGGCTGTCAACTGGAGTGACAGGGACAAGTGGACTGTCCGATGGAGTGACAGGGATGAATGTACTGTCAGCTGGAGTGACACGGACAACTGGACTACCCTCTGGTGTGACAGGGACAATTGGATCAACAGCTCAAGCAACAGGAACAAATGGACTGTCAGCTGGAGTGACAGGTACAAGTGGACTGGGAGTGACAGGAAAAATTGGGCTATCAGCTGGAGTGACAGGGACAGTTGGATCACCAGCTGAAGCAACAGGGACAACTGGACTATCAGTTGGAGTAACAGGGACAAGTGGACTCTCAGCTGGAGTGATAAGGACAACTGGGCTATCAGCTGGGGTGTCACGGACAAGTGGATTATCAACTGGAGTGACAGGTACAACTGGGCTGTCAGCTGGGAGGACAGGGACAATTGGATCACCAGCTGAAGCAACAGGGACAATTAGACTATCAGCTGGAGTGACACCGACAAGTGGAATTTCAGCTGGAGTGACAGGGACAACTGGGCTATCAGCTGGGGTGACAGGGACAACAGAATCACTAGCTGAAGCAATGGGGACAACTGGACTATCAGCTGGGCTGACAGGGACAATTCGATCACCAGCTGAAGCAACAGGGACAAGTGGACTATCAGCTGGAGTGACAGAGACAAGTGGACTACCATCTGGGGTGACAAGGACAATTGGATCATTAGCTGGGGTGATAGGGACAGCTGGCCTAACAGCTGCAGTGACAGGGACAAGTGGACTATCAGCTGGAGTGACAGGGACAAGTGGACTGTCAGCTGGAGTGAGAGGGACAAGTGGATTGTCAGCTGGAGTGACGGAGACAAGTGGGCTGTCAGCTGGAGTGACAGGGACTAGTGGACTATCAGGTGGAGTGACAGGGACAAGTATACTGTCAGCTGGAGTGACAGGGAAAACTGGACTACCCACTGGTGTGACAGGGACAATTGGATCAACAGGTGAAGCAACAGGGACAACTGGAGTGTCAGCTGGAGTGACAGGGACAAGTGGACTAGGAGTGACAGGAACAACTGGGCTATCAGCTGGGGTGACAGGGACAGTTGGATCACCAGCTGAAGCAACAGGGACAAGTGGACTATCAGTTGGAGTAACAGGGACAAGTGGACTGTCAGCTGGAGTGGCAGGGACAAGTGGACTGTCAGCTGGGGTGAAAGGGACAAGCGGACTATCAGCTGGAGTGACAGGGACAAGTGGACTGTCAGCTGGGGTGATAGGGACAAGTGGACTGTCAGCTGAAGTGACGAGGACAATTGGATTGCCAGCTGAAGTGACAGGGACAACTGGACTGACAGGGACAAGTGGACTATCAGCTGGAGTGACAGGGACAATTGGATCATTAGCTGGGGTGACAGGAACAGCTGGCCTATTAGCTGGAATGACAGGGACAAGAGGACTATTAGCTGGAGTGACAGGGACAAGTGGACTGTCAGCTGGGGTGACAGGGACAAGCAGACTCTCAGCTGGAGTGACAGGGACAAGTGGACTATCAGGTGGAGTGACAGGGACAAGTGGACTATCAGCTGGAGTGACAGAGACAACTGGACTATCAGCTGGAGTGACAGGGACAATTGGATCACCAGCTTGGGTGACAGGGACAAGTAGACCATCAGCTGGGGGGACAGGGATAACTGGACCCTCAGCTGGAGTGACAGGGAAAACTGGACTATCAGCTGGAGTGACAGGGACAACTGGATTATCAGCTTGGGTAACAGGCACAACTGGATCATCAGGTGAAGTTACAGGGACAACTGGACTGTCAGTTGAAACAACAGGGACAACTGGACTATCACCTGGAGTGACAGGGACAACTGGACTATCAGCAGGAGTAACAGGGACAACTGGGTCATCAGCAAGATCAGAGACAAGTGTACCATCAGCTGGAAAAACAGGAACAACCAGAACTTCAATTGAAGAATCACAGACAACTGGACCATCAGCTGATATAACAGGTACAAATGGACTGTCAGTTGAAGTGACAGAAACAACTGGATCATCAGCTGGGGTGATGGGGACAAATGGATTATCAGCAGGGGTGACAAGGACTACTGGATCATCAGCTGGGGTGACAGGGACAATTGGATCATCAGTTGGAATGACATCGACATCTGGGCTACCAGCTGGGGTGACAGGGACAAATGAACTATCAGCTGGGGTGACAGGGACAACTGGATCACCAGCCAGGGTGACAGGGACACCTGAACTGTCAGCTGCAGTGACAGGGACAAGTGGACCATCAGCTGGGGTGACAGGTGCAATTGAATCAGTTGGGGTGACAGGGACAATTGGATCACCAGCTGGGGTGACAGGGACACCTGGACTGTCAGCTGCAGTGACAGGGATAAGTGAACTATCAGCTGGGGTGACAGGTACAATTGAATCAGCTGGGGTGACAGGGACAACTGGATTATCAGCTAGAGTGACAGGGACACCTGGACTGTCAGCTGAAGTGACAGGGAAAATTAGACTCTCAGTTGGAGTGACAAGGACTACTGGATCATCAACTGAAGTGACAGGGACAATTGGACTATCAGCTGGGGTGACAAGTACCACTGGACCACCAGCTGAAGTGACAGGGACAACTGGGCTATCAGCTGGGGTAATAGGAACAATTGGATCATCATCTGGGGTGACAGGGACAACTGGATCATCTGCAATATCTGGGACAGGCTTATCAGCTGAAAAAAAAGGAACAACCAGAACATCAGTTGAAGAATCAAGAACAACTAGACCATCAGGTGGAATAACAGGTACAAATGGACTATCAACTGGACTGACAGGGACAACTGGACCATCAGCTGGCACAACCACTGGAACAGGAACTACTGGAAAGCCAAGAACTAAAATTACAGCCCATGAAGGCAAGTCTAGTTAGCTAAAGATAGATCATTTAACATGAACAATATGATTTTTGGTCTTCCAGACTTAAATCTGTGTACATTTATCACAATTAAGTATGTTATTAAGAATTCAAATTGGTGAACAATAATGGGGGCTTTCCAGAATATTATTGATTCCTTAGACACTTTGAGTTCATGTTTTCATGGGGATTCTGCAGCCACTACAGTTGGGAACCCAGCAGGCACAGCTCACCTTGGGTGCTCTACTGTGGTCCAACGTAAGCGTGACTGAGACCCCCAATTATGATCCTAAGATGAGTCAATTATGATTTAACCAAGGGCCTGAATTCCTAACTTCAGGAGAAATGATTAAGAGATAACCTTAGACTTAGTGTCTAAGTTCAAAATTCAAAATTTACATAAGGAGCAGTAAGGTCATTATATTTACTAAGATGTACCATGTAAAACTGATAATCAGTTATTGCTTTAACCAGGAAAAACTGAAGAACCATATGGAACCACCCCAGGAGCAGGTGAAAGCAGGACCAGATTAACTACACCTGGAAAATCAGGCAAGTGAGGTGGGAAGAATTTAGTCCCAACTGTAGCTCAATGTAAGGTTTTCTTTTTTTTCTTTTCTTTTTGCTTTATAATAATGTAGGTATTATTTTCCCTAATTTGCTGGTAATGAAGCTGAGGTTCTAAGATGTTTAACCTGTTAACCACACAACTCTTCTGATTCCAATGCCTGAGCTCTTTCTACTCCTCTACATTTCCTTTAGTCTAGACCATTGTAGGCAAGTTTCCTCTCTTCCAGTTTTCTCTATTCTCAGATGTGTTCTATCTGAAGCAAGGGTCAGTGGTCCTCCTCTAATAACTGTTATCTCTGTTCATGTCATTTCTGTCATCGTCCATGTTAGCAAATACCCATTGCCCTTCAAGCAAATTCTAAATGCTTCAGTGTATTGTTTGAGTCCTTGGAGACCCCATCTACTTTCTAAACTCTCATTAGCCGGCTCCACATAACAACTTTTAGCCTCACTTAAATTAGTTGTTGGCACCATTAGAAGTTCCTTTATACAATTTTGCAAACTGATCACTAGGAAGTTATTTTCTCACTTAATTCAAGCTAAATTTCCAGTTATTTTTCACCCATTCTGTGTTTGTGTGACACATGTTGCTATGTTTTCCTAAACCTTGGCCCTCACTATGTCTTCTGCCTGATGTGTCTTTCCTGGACTTCACGAAGACAAATCCTAAGTGATGATAAAGATCTAGATGCTGTCTTTTCCAGAAAGCCTTCCTTGACCTCACTAAGGAGTAATGCTCAGCAGTTTCTCATGGTCTCATGTTCTCAGTATATATGAACTGTCTTTTGTATCAGAGAGCTAAGGCATGCTGAGATCAAACTAGGTGAACACAAGAGAAGATCATCTTTCCTCTGTCAGGGAACGCACAAATGGATTTACAAATGGAATAGGCCAAGCAGAGAAACTCATAGAATTATAGATCTGTTAAGTGGCCAGAAAAGGCTACTTGTTATAGCAAAGTAACACACAGATGTCATCTAGATTCAGATCTTCTCATGGCAGAATGAGTCAGTATGGTGACTTCTGGACTTTCTGTGTTTCAGGCACCATTGGAGTAACCACTGGCACAACTCTTACCCCTAGAAGTTCCAACATAGGTAAGAACAAGCTGAGTGGAATTTTCCCATGGGGACTTCTTTCAAGACCTATTTCCTCAGGTTTTGTTTATAGGCAAGATCATCACTACAGTAATCCATAATCCTTAATGTCTTCCCAATTGTGTCTTTTTCTTTTTCTCATCCTCAGAGGCCACAACTTCCTAGGAGGAAGTGGAATTGCTGCAGGTGGAATAGCTCCAGCTCAGCCTGCAGTTTTAATGAAAGTGCTTAAGGAAAGATGATCAAAAAGTGAATTAATGCATTCTGATAATCTTTCATTAGGCAGTGTTCCCTAAAATGTAGCCACACTGCTTTATTTCCTAAACGAAACCTTTCAAAAATTGCCTAACATTTCCTGGCTAACACATGACAAGCTTCAGGAACCTAAGACTTCCTTCTACCTCAAGGAGCCCATTCAGTACACTAAGAAGTCAAGTTACTGGCCACCAGATAAATGTGTACTGAGAAAACTTCCATTTCCCAGCACTGAATCTCTTTTGAAAGACAAAAGAGTCTAGAATATTGTCAGGAAATTTGCTGTAAGAGACAGATGCTATACTGGAAACACAGATTAATTCTTGACATTAGAAAGCTCAAAGAAAGAACATCCTAATATATTGTAAGAAATACAAATTTTTTAAAAAGCAATTCCTAGTCATGGCATGTTGATCACCATTTCTTTATTTTGGGAAGTTCTGGTGGTGTTTTGGGGAAAACTCTCAAACCTGAATGTTTTGTCTTAGGTAAGTTACCACATAGCAGGACATCTGGAGGGAGCCACTTAGGTAATGCAGCAGGTCCAGCATGCTTCTTTTCTTTCTTTCTTTCTCTTTTTCTTTCTTCTTTCTTTCTCATTTCTCTTTCTTATTCTGTCTTTCCTTCTTTCTCTATCTTTTCTTCTTCTTTTTCTTTTCTTTCTCTTTCCTTCTTTCTCTCTTTTCTTTTTTCTTTCTCTTTCTTTTCTTCTTTCTTTCTCTTGATCTCTCCTTTCCTTCCTCCTTCCTTCCTTTTCTCTTTCTCTCTCTTTCTTTTACATTTCTCTTCCTTTCTCTCTTTTCTTCTTTCTCTCCTTTTTCTCTTTTTTTCTTTCTCTCTTTCTCTTTGTTTTCTTCTTTCTTTCTCTTGATCTCTCCCTTCCTTCCTTCCTTTTCTGTCCTCCTCTCTTTCTTTCTTTCTCTCATTCTCTCTCTCTCTTCCTTTTCTTTCTTTCCTCTTTCTCACCCTGTTGTCCAGGCTGGAATACCGGAGCATGATCTTGGTTCACTGCAGCCTTGACCTCCTAGGATCAGGTGATCCTGCTACCTCAGCTTCCCAGGTAGCTGGGATTACAGGCTATTTTTTTTGAGATGGGGTTTCACTATGTTACCCAGTCTGGTCTCGAACTCCTGAACTCAAGTGATCTGCCAGTCTTGGACTCCCAAAGTACTGGAATTATAGGTGTGAGCCACCACACCCAACCAACCAGCATGTTCTTACTTCATTCATTTCTTTTCTTTCTCAGAGACCACAAATGCTACAGGGACTCCTGGAGCAGGACTGTCAGGAGGTGAGTGCTATCATTCCAAGACTTTTGGTTCTATTGATTTATTGTTTGGGATTGCAGCTAAAAACAGAAGAATATGAAGGTTGAGGACACATTTTACACAAGACCAAGTCAAATTGTGAAACCCTGTGGAACTGCCATGTCCATGCCCCTCCAAGTGTGCCTGAGTCCTGGCTCCCAGAATTAGTTCTCTGAAGACAGGAATGAGACCATCACTGCTTTAAAGTTCACACAATTTGTTTTCACAGGCACCACTGTCATTTCTTCTGAAGTCAGTGCCAGTTCAGAAGTTTCCAACACAGGTAAAATTCCGTAAAGAAAATATAAGCTGGCTCTTACCCCATAGGAGTTTTGTGCATGCGTGTGCATGGGTGTGCTTTAAGGTTGACATAAAATAAAGTCATAAAATGACATAAAATAAAGTATCACAGAGATATTTAGAAAGAACTTTATCTTTCATTTTCCTCCTCTATAGTTTTCCTTGGTACACCAGGGAGACATAACAGAAAGTGAAACAGGCAGATACGAAATGAGCCCCAATCCCTCTGTCAGCAGGCTAGCATGTAGGTGTGTTCACTTGCAAGTTGCCTGGGAACAAATGGGCCAAGGAGATGAAATGAGAGAAGGAAACTCCTAATTTAGCATTGGCACCATTTATAATGTTAAGTCCTCAGAAAGGCCCTTTTAGTTGCTTCCATGATGAATTTGCTAAATTTGCTTTCTTTGTTTCAGGTATCACTGGAGTAGGTTCTGAGACATCTGTTGAAACAGGAATTTCCAACACAGGTAAAATTGAAAGAAAACCATCTCTATTGACATGCAGATGAAATGATGTTATTTTGCAGAGTTTTTCTGATGAATAACACAAAATCTCTCTTCCCACTATCCCAACGCCCCAGAATTCACAATTCCATATCATGTCTCAGAGGCCACAATTTCCACAGAACATGTTGGCACCACTGAAGCTTCATTCAAAATAGATGAGAAGGAGCAACTCATGTCTGTGTTGCTATCTCTGATTATGACACTCATAGCGAGACTAGAGGGAGGAAGTTTCTGGAAAGCAATTGTATTTACTTTCCTAATACTACATTTTTGGCCAACAAATTCTTTATCAGTGTAGAAATTTTTCCAGAAAAGCTACTAATTATAGAATGCTGTGAAATTACAAACCATTATAAGCTTTTAAAAGGTGGGGGAGGTGATAAAACTTGCTGAGAAACACAGAGGAGCTACAGGAACCCAGGAAACACACCTGCCTTCTGCCAGTGCTTCCTTTTCACAAGTGAGGGGAAAACTATTTTCACCATGTCTGGAGTTCTCAGCACACTCATGGCATTCTCAGTAACCACCCCACAGCAGACACTGCTCTTGTATCTGAAATCCAAGAAACACGGAGCAAAACAGGTGAGCATGGGAGAAACCCACATTGTCCTCCTGACTGAGGATACCAGGAAGGTTATCACAAGTTGAGAACATTGTCATTTTGGTTGCTTTGATAATAAAATGGTCAATGAGAAAATACATAGGGCTTATCACCAAGGAAGAACTAGGGAAAGTGCTAGTTAGATGTAAGTTAGGTTTAGATTCTTTCTAGAGGCAGGTCTGTAGGAAAGAAAGATTAATCACCATGGTGATCCTAGTCCTCTTGGTGTTTCAGCCACGACCGAGGTGGCTCCCAGCACAACCCTTGCCCCTGGCAGTTCCAGTACAGGTGAGTCTGCAGGTTGGCAGGGAACTCTTCAGAGCTCCTCCCATAATTTGATGTCTCCTTTAATGCTTTTAAGAGTATATCTTATTTATTTCATAATGATTGAATATTTTTCAAATATGTCTCTTCTGTTTTTCTGTCTCTCAGAGGCCACAACTTCCATAGGAGGAAGTGTGTTAACAAGAGGAATAGTGACAGGTGAGCATTGCTGGGTCATTGCACTCACTTGCTAATAATATCCAACAAAGCCTGTGGCTTGAAAAGGATCCATACTCTCATTTCTCCCATATTAACATTGATAGGAAAGTTCCTACCATTTTTCACAGACTAAATACAGAATCTCAAATTTTATTCTTATTTCTTGTGCTTGAACAGACTCTTCTCATGGCCCCCAAGGTAATCATGTAGTCATTTGACTGACAGTTACACAGCAGATCTACAGAGTTAGCGTCTATCTCCCTATTCCTGAAATCTTGAGAAAAGGAAACCTAATAAGTAAAAAAAAAAAAAAAAAAAAAAAAAAAAAAAAAAAAAGGGTGGGTGGGGGTAAATATACCATGGGAAGAATATTATCTGAGAACTGTAGAGATTAGCTTTTGCCATTTAAAGCCCAGCTTAATGAAATAATAAATAAGAATACAGACTGCGTCCATTTATTTGCTTGATACTCTTTGCCCACTTCATGGTAATGAGATACTGACCCATGACTGCCCCATCCCTTTCTTAATAGCTACCACTGGGGCATTCTCTGGAAAGACTCTGGAACCTTGGATTGACAATACAGGCAAGTCCAAGAGCACACAGGAATGCTACCCCATGGCTGCTCAGGTGACAGGTTCCTAGTAACCCTGTACTCCCCATACGACAGACTTCATCTTTGCTTTCTTTTCTCTCAGAGGCCACAAGTTCCACAGGAGGGGTCCAGGCCACCAAATCAGAAGCTCCAGGAGGTAAGCTGCATCAATCCAAGGCTTTAGAGTTCTCATCATTGTCATTTTGTACTCAGGGTAACACATACATGAGAAACAGGGCCATGGAAAGGGAGTTACTTCTTGTCTGGAAGCACAACATGTATTCTGACCATCCTGAGTAGTCCTGCTAAGAAATTTCAGAAACGGGGTCATCTAAGTCAGGCATTGCTCTATGGCCTGTGTGACAATGTTAGTGGACACTTGACTGAGGTCTACTGACCTGCAGCAGTTTTCCTGGAACCATGATTCTCCCTACTCAGCTCATAATTCTGCAAATTCCTATCACCTGCTGCCATCTCTTGAATATGTTTATTAGACTTCTTGTTTTTTCTATTTCTTCTCTTACAAACACAAATCTCAAAAGGCAGATACTTTGTCTGTTCTTTTCACTGAGAGGATGATGTCAGACACAGAGGAAAGGCTTACAAAACATGAGATGAATGACATGCATATTCTTATGTAGAGTGTCACTATTTACTTCATGGTTTCACTTGGTGTCAGCAGCAGTTTATCAGGTCTGAAGGCAGTTGGGGTAGGCTACTTAAAGCACCAGGGAAATGTAAAAACATCTGACGTGAGTGTATTCTTAAAACCTGATTGTCACACCATCACCAGTTACAAAAGTAAGAATGTTGGATATATCAAAACTTTTCCTTCTTTTCTCCTCTGGAGTGGCAGGGAGCCATGGGAACTGGCAGGGAATCACTGTAAGTGAAATCAGTAAAGTGAAATTAAGCATCCTTCTTTGCTTTTTCACTATGGTACGGTGGAGGGAGTAGTCAGTATGTGAACATTAAACAAGATGGCAAAAAAGAAAAAATGATTCATGGTGTGTATTTTTTCTAAAACAGAAGTTGTCAAGGAAAGTCTTCTAGTGGTTCAGGACTACAGTGCTGATTCCAGTACTGCTTGCTCTATTAGCTCTTTGCATTCTTGTTTTAGGTACTTCTGGGAAATTATCTTGGACAACCATTTCATCTGGAGGTTCCCACACAGGTAGTTCAGTGAGAAGGAAATATTCCTTTTGTATGCATGATACCTCTGTAGAGCTGCTGTCATAGAATAGTGCCTCGATAGTTTTTACTAATATCTCAAATTTGCTAGATCTTATGATTTTCCTTTCTTTCCTCAGAAGCCACAACTCTCACAGGAGGCAGGGGCAGTACTGAAAGTGAATTCAGAACAGGTGAGGAAGAGCAACCCATAATTTGAGAGTTACTGTGAATCATGACTCTCATTAGGATGATTTGCTTGGAAGTAGGCTTTCCTACAGAATATTAAATAAGGATTTGCAGACAATGTATTAGAGGCCAGGTATATTTTTTAACTTAATATTTCCCCATAAATCTCCTAAAATCCTATTTTCTAATAGATTGACTCTTCTAGATGAGGTGTAAATGGGATGTAATTGTTTTGAGGGATTTCCCTATAACATTACATATAAATATTTCCAGTGCTATAGACTTTACACACAGTTTTGATCCCAGGAAGTAGAGTTATTATAAATGAACTTTAAAACGCCTGCATAGTTGTTCCTCACCCCCAAAGCAAGAGAAATAATTAGTATTAGGTCAATGGGGCAAAATCACAGATGGGAGTAATTAGTTTTGGTGTTTTGTAGCAGTGAGGTACCTAGGGTAAACAATGTTATGGTATATATTCAAATGTCTTTGACAAGAATATTCTGAATATTCTGCCCACAAAGCAATGATAAGTGTTTGAGATAATGGATAAGCTAAATATCATGACTTCATTATTATACAATATATGCATATATTAAAACTTCCCATACAACCCAGAAATATGTACAATTATTATATGAAACTTAAAAAGAAAAGTAAAAATGGATTAAATGGTAATGAAATAAATAAATTTTTGTCTTCTACCTCTGGCAGGGAAACAGTTAAGTAAGGGAGAAAACCACCTGTCTGGCTCTGTTGGCAGGCCAGGTGTAATCCCCAGGTTTGGCCCCTTTGATTGCTTTGGTAGTTTACTAATTAATGGAAAAACACATCAGAGTGGCAGCCAGAGAAAGTGGCCTTTGACATCTTAAAGATGGAAACAGATTCTTTCTAGAGCCAGGCCTTCAGGAAACAAACGAGAGTCACTGTGGTGATGCCAGTTCCCCTTGTGTTTCAGTCACCACTGGGGTAGCTCCTGGCACAACTGTTGCCCCTGGCAGTTCCAAGACAGGTAAGTCAACAGGTTGATATGAAATCTTCCACGTGCCCTGCCATAATTAGATATCTCCTTTGTATTATTTACTTATTTATTGAGATGGTCTCTCACTGTGTTACCCAGGCTGGAGTGCAGTGGCATGATCTCGGCTCACTGTAACCTCCACCTCCTGGGTTCAAGCGATTCTCCTGCTTCAGCCTCTTGAGTAGCTGGGATTATAGGTGCCCATCACTACACCCAGCTAATTGTTTCTATTTTTAGGAGAGATGGGGTTTCACCATGTTGGCCAAGCTAGTCTCAAACTCTTGACCTTGTGATTTGCCTGCCTTGGCCTCCCAGAGTGCTGGGATTATTGGCATGCGTCCTTGTGCCTGGCCTCCTTTGTATTAATTTTCTGCAGGAGTAGCACCATATCTTCTCCACAATTCTTAAATATTCTCCGGTAACTCTTACCTCTTTGTCTCCCTTAGAGGCCACCACTTTCCTAGGAGTAAGTGAAACAAGTGTTGGAAGAGCCACAGGTGAGTGATGCTAGGCTAAGACCTGTAATTCCTAATGACAACTTCAAATAGTCTTCTGAAAATGTCTACATGATTTATATACACTATATTGAGAAAATTCAGAGGAAAAGGCTAGACAGTCTCCTTATTTCCTGAGCTTACAAAGGCCTTCACTAAACCATTGTGACATCAAACCAATGACAGATAAATAAGTAATATGGGAGAAAATTCTTCTCTTCCCCCAAAAGAGAAGGACGTACTAGTTAAGAACTATCTCAGTAATATTGCTGTGGAAAGAAATGTTGCATGGGACAAATATGAACTACCTCTAGCACTGCGAGTCTCAGAGTAATAATTTGCTTCTAAGTGGGGATTGGAGATTCCTATAGAAACCAAGTGTAAAAAGAGTTCAGCTATTGACACCATCTCTTTCTTATTGTAGGTATTACTATTGTAGTCTCTGGAAAAACACTGAAACCTGGAAGTTATAAGACAGGCAAGTCTGAAAATACACTCAAAATCTGGACATGGCCACTTTGGTTGACATACTCTGCCCACAGCACAGTGTGTACTGTCTCAAAAACTAGTCTTTATTCCTTCCTTTCTTTTCTCTCTCTCTCAGGGGCCACAACTTCCATAGTAGGGAGTGTCACCAGCCAAGCAGAACATTCAGGAGGTGAGCTTTTTACTCCAAGGCCTTGAGAGGCTTTTATCAAATCCTAGTTCTCTGCAGTGAAGACATTAATATGAAGGTGGGCCAAGGAATGGGACCCTCATTTCATCTGGGAACACAGCATGCCAGGATCACAAACCTGGGTGTGTCTAGGAATTCCTTGGCCTCACCTGACTCATCCCTCTGGTTATTTAGGTGCCTAGGCTGGCAGAGCTAGTTGTTATGTAGCAGGAATGAGGGAAAGCTGCTGGATACCCCCCGCCAATCAGGGCTCCAGATCCTTTTATACAACTTGCCTTTTCCCCAAAGCCCTGACTTACATCCTTCACACTTACTTATTTATTACATTTATTGTTCATTGCTGGGCTCCAGCTGCTAGACTACAAGGTGCCTTAGGAGAGAGATCTTTGAACATTTTGCTCACTGACACATCCCAAGGTCCTAAAACAATATTACACAGAAGAGATGCTTAATAAATATTAGTGGAATGATGAAATAATTGTTTTGAAGCTCTTCATTCTATTTACTTTAATAGGTACAACTATAGTTTCACCTGAAGTCAGAATTCTAAACCAGGCAGAATAGATTGAATAAAGTCATCACATGGGAATATTAGAGTTAGGGAGTTCTTTTTTAAACATGTGAGTATCGAAATACCTCAAGTAATTGTTGAGGAATATTTATGAAGATGGAAGGTAGTCTGCTTTTTTCTTCTTATCACATCACATCAGGGAGCCCACCTGGAAGTTAAACAAGTGACGGGGAGATAAGGTCTCCTTTCACATTCACTGTGATCTATGGAAAGGGAATCCCAGAAGCAACAATGTTCCATCAAGGGCCGAAGAAATAAAGTGGTAATCACTCACGGTTCATTTCCTTCCAAAACAGATGTCCTCAGGAAAGGTCTCTAGAGGTTCAGGATCATATCACTTCTTTTACCATTCTTTGCTCTATTAGCACTTTTACTCTTCTCATTTTAGGTACTTCTGGTGAATTCCCAGGAACAACCAGTACATATGGAGAATCCCACACAGGTAGTTCAATAAGAAGGAAATTTTCATCTTGAATGCCTGATAAAGTTTTAGAGCTGAAATTATAGAATAGCTTTTTCCCAGGATCTTCAATCCCTTGGACCTCTTGCTTTTCTTCTTCCCACAGAGGCTACAACTACAGGAGTCAGGGGCAGTACTGGAACTGAATCCAGAGCAGGTGAGGAACAGCCCATGATTTGGGAGTTAACTTGAATCCTGACGTTCATTATTATGACTTGTTTAGAAGTGAACTTTCCTACAGAACATTGTGTATTTTTTTTATTATACTTTAAGTTCTGGCATACTTGGGCAGATCTTGTAGGATTGTTACATAGGTATACACATGCCATGGTAGTTTACTTCCTCCATCCCCCCATCACCTACATTAGGTATTTCTCCTAATGTTATTCTTCCCCAACCTCCCCACCCCCTGCTATTGCTCTCCTAGCCCCTCACCCCCCAACAGACCTCAGTGAGTGATGTTCCCCTTCCTGTGTCCATATGTTTTCATTATTCAACACCCACTTATGAGTGAGAACATGTGGTGTTTGGTTTTCTGTTCTTGTGTCAGTTTGCTGAGAATGATGGTTTCCAGATTCATCCATGTCCCTGCAAAGGACATGAACTCATCTTTTTATGGCTGCATAGTATTCCATGGTGTATATGTGCCACATTTTCTTTATCCTTGATGGGCATTTGGGGTGGTTCCAAATCTTTGCTATTGTAAACAGTGCCACAATGAACATATATGTGCATGTGTCTTTATAATAGTATGATTTATAATCCTTTAGGTATATACCCAGTAATGGGATTGCTTGATCAAATGGTATTTCTATTTCTAGATCCTTGAGGAATCACCACAATGTCTTCCACAGTGGCTGAACTAATTTACACTCCCACCAACAGTGTAAAAGCATTCCTATTTCTCCATATCCTCTTTAGCATCTGTTGTCTCCAGATTTTTTAATGATCACCATTCTAACTGGTGTGAGATGGTATCTCAACACCATAAAAACCCTAGAAGAAAACAGGCAATACCATTCAGGACATAGGCATAGGCAAGAACTTCATGACTAAAACACCAAAAGCAAGGGTAACAAAAGCCAAAATAGACAAATCGAATCTAAATAAACTTAAGAGCTTCTGCACAGCAAAAGAAACAATCATTAGAGTGAACTGGCAACCAACAGAATGGGAAAAATGTTTTGCAATCTACCCACCTGACAAAGGGCTAATACCCACAATCTACAAAAAACTAAAACAAATTTACAAGGAAAAAACAAAGAACCCCATCAAAAAGTGGGCAAAGGGTATGAACAAGTACTTTTCAAAAGACATTTATGTGGCCAACAAACATATGAAAAGTGTTCATCATCGCTGGTCATTAGAGAAATGCAAATGAAAACCACATTGTGCACTTTTTTAAGGGACAGTGAGTCTAAGGCCGAATAAACTTTTTTTAGATTTCATGTGTTTTTTTTTTTTGAATTACCAGTAGTGTCTTTTGAATGTGATGCATCTTGAATTTGTCTTGAGACGTTTCTCCTATAAGGTTACAAACATTGCCAGAGTTTTAGAATGAGCTTAAAACAATTTCGTTCTTGGGAAGTAGAAACAAGGTAAATTAACCTTGAAATCATTCCTACTAAAGATTTTTATGCCCCCAAAACAATACAAATAATTTTTATTTTTTTGATGTCTAAAACACCCATTAAACTTATTTTTTTTAAAGTGAAACCAATGAATCTTGGAGAAAACCACCTATCTTCCTGTAATTGAATTCCAAGAATATTACCACATGTTGAGAAATTGATTAATCTTTCTATTTGGTCATAAAATTGTTAATGAGAAAATATATATGGCCGATCATCAGGGAAGAACCAGAGGAAGAGTTATTTGTATATAATGATGATACATTTAGATTCTTTCTAGAGCCATATTTTTGGAAGAAAACATAAGCACTGTAAGGACCATAGTCCTCTTGATGTTTCATCTACCACAGGGATAGCTCCTGGCACAATTCTTGCCCCTGGAGGTTCTAATACAAGTGAGTGTGTAGATTGTAAGGGAACTCTTCAGGGATCTTTACATAATTAGACATAACATTTGGTGCAATTCTATCCATGAGTCATATCATACCTTTTCATGGCCCTTCAATATTTTCCAAATATGTCCTTTCTTTTTTTCTCTCTTTCAGAGACCACAGCATACATCGGAGGAAGTAGGACCACAAGAGTTGGATTAGCCACAGGTGAGCATTGCATTCACCTGCCAATAATATCCCTGAAGGATTATAGACTAAAATATATCCATGCTAATCATTTATCCATTTAAGATTATTAGATATAATCTTACCATTATTCATTGACTAAGCTTTCAGATTCTCAAAGTTTTTTCTTATTTCAAACCATGGAAATAAGAACAAAACTTGGAGCTTTGAGCTTGGAACAGACTGTCCTCATAACCCCCAATGCAATTATGGAGCTGTTCCACTGACACTAATTTAGATGGTCTAGAGAGTAGCTTCTATTTCCCCAGTCCTGAACTCTAGAAGAAAGAAAGTCCAATAAGTAAAAAAATTACTTGGTAAATATACTGACATATGTGTATTGTATGAAGAATATGTGGATCACTATTAGGCATAAATGCTCAGTTTATGACCAGCCATGGTGGCTCATGCCTGTGATAGCAGAACTTTGGGAGGTGGAGGCAGGAGGACCACTTATGTCAAGATTGAGACCAGCCTGGCCAATATGGCAAAACACTGTCCCTACCAAATAATAATAATACAAAAAATTAGCTGGGCATGGTGGCATGTGCTTGTAGTCCCAGCTACTCAGGAGGCCAAGGCTGGAGGATGGCTTGAGCCCAGGAGGTGGAGGTTGCAGAGAGCTAAGATTGCACCACTATGCTCCAGCCTGGGTAAGAGTGAGACTCTGTCTCAAAAAAAAAAAAAAATCCCAATTTACTGGAATAATAAATAGGTATACAGACTGTGTCTACTTATTGCTTGATACTCTTTGCTTCTTTATGGTAATGAGGTACTGACCCATGACTACTCATCTCTTTCTTAATAGTTACCATTGGGACATTTTCTGGAAAGACTCTGGAACCTGGCAGTGACAACACAGGCAAGTCCAAAAGTACACGGGGAATGCTACACATTGGCTGCTCAGGTGACAGGCTCCTAGGGTTACATAACCTATACTTCCCAAACTGCAGACTTCATCCTTGCTTTCTTTTCACTCAGAGGCCACAAGTTCCACAGGAGGGGTCAGCAACACTGGATCAGAAGCTCCAAGAGGTAAGTTTCACCACTCCCAGGCTTTTGGGTTCTTCTGATTGCCCTATTGTGCTGAGGTGAACACATAAATGAGAAAGGGGACCAAGGAAAAGGAGTTACTTCCTGTCTGGAAGCACAACATGTATTCTGACCATCCTGATTAGTTATGCTAAGGAATTTCAGAAACTGGGTCATCTAAGTCAGGCATTGCTCCATGGCCTGTGTGACAGTGTTACTTCTTCAGATACCTGGCTGAGGTCCACTGACCTGCAGCAGCCTTCCTGGAATGCTGATTCTCCCCACTCAGCTCTTTATGATTCTGCAAAGTACTATCATCTGCTGCCATCTTTCAAACATATTTATTACACTTGTTTATTTCCTGTGTTCCCTCTCCCACAAATGTAAGTCACATGAGGCAGAGACTTTGTCTCTTCTTCTGACTAACAGAAGACTGTCAGGCACAGTGGAAATGCTTCCAGAATATGAGATGAGTGTCAGGCATGTTCTTACGTAGAATGTCACTCTAGTTACTTCAGTGGCTACCTATAGTTTTCCTTGGAGTCAGCAGCAGTTTATAGGATCCCATGCCAGCTGGCATAGGGCTACAGAGAAACACAAAATGAAGCTATAAACATCTCCTATGTGTTTATTCTTAAAAACATGATAATCACAATATTAACTGTTTCACAAAAGTGAACACTTAGAATGTTCAAGACTTTTTCTTACTCAGGGAGCCAAGTCATTAGACATAAAATCTGTAAAGTGAGATTAAACTTCCTTCTTTTTAAGTAGGCTGTGATGGAAGAAATAGTAGCAAAACAATAGTCTATACATTGCAAGGAAGAGCATTCATGGTTCATTTCCTTCAGAAACACAGATTCTGAGGAAAGGTCTTTCAACGGTTGAAGACGGTTTTGCTGTTTCTAGTGTTGTTTGTACTATTAGCTTCTTTACCTTCTCATTGTAGGTACTTCTGGTGAATTCCCAGGGACAACACTTACATCTGAAGGTTCCCATACAGGTAGTTGAATGGGAAGAAAATCCTCATTTTGAAAGCATGGTGACTCTGTAGAGCTACAGTCACAAGTTAGCAACACAATGCTTTTTACCAATGTCTCCCAGAAGTCTTGATTCTGTTCTTTCTTTTCACAGAGGCCACAACTCTCACAGGAGGTAGGAGCAGTACTGGAACTGAATCCAGAGCAGGTGAAGGTTAGCGGCCCATAATTCACATGTTACCACAAATCTTGACTCTCATTAGGATGTCCTGTTTGGGAGTGGACTTCTCTGCAGAATATTATGCAAATGTTTAGGGATAATGAGACTTAGGACCCATAGAATTTTCTTTAGATTTTACATTTATAAGCCTTTACCAATAGCCTCTTTTAAAATGGGATTGCCATTGCATTTGCTCTGAGAAGTTTCTCCTGTGAGGTCACATGGAAACCTTGCCAGGGTATTACTAGAAACTATAAACAGTTTTGATCTGGAGAAGAAGAGTTAACTGAAATGAGCCTCAGAAACATACTGAAATCATGGCTTTCATGCCTTAGAAGCAACAGAAATGTTTAGTATATTCTTGATGCATAAGAGTCCCAGGAAGATTGTTTTGTCTTCCACATTTTGGAAGTAAAATGGTAAACACAGGGAATACCACCTGTCTCCTGATTGAAGAACAGAAATATTGCCTCAGATTGAGGAATAGTACCTTCTGATTGTTTTGCTAGGAAAATGCATACTGAAAAAATACACAGGGCATGAACCCAGGAAGAATCATGGAAAGCACCATTTATAAATCATTAAGATAGGTCTAGATAGTTTTTAGAGGCAGGCCTATAGGAAAGGAAAACGTTGGTCACCATGATGATCCCACTCTTCATTGTGTTTCAGCCACCACGAGGGCAGCTCCTGGCATAACTCTTGCCCCTGGCAGTTCCAACACAGGTGAGTCTGCAGGTTGCCGAAACTTCATAGCTTCTCCCATAATCGATGTTCAATGTTTCCTCTGGTGCTGTTCTTTCAAGAAACTGTATCATGTTCTTTTTTGGTCCTTGAATATTTACTAATATGCCTTTTCTTTTTTTCTGTCTCTCAGGGGCCACAGCTTCTCTAGGTGAAAGTGCAACGACAAGAGGTGGAATAACCAGCGGTGAGCATTTCTGGGTCATTGGACTCACTCTAATAATATTCAGTAGACGTCATTGCTTGAAATGTATCCATGACACACATTTCTGCAACATTGAATATTGTTGAAAGTAGTAACAAATCAGAAATTCAAAAGCAGCAAATCAGTAACAGCAAATCAGAAACTCAAAATTAATTTCTTTATACACTTTATGCCGACCCTCCTGCTAGTCCCCAAGATAATCATGTAGTCATTGGACAGTTACATAGAGAATCACGAGTGATAGCTGCTAGGACCCAGTTCATGAGCCCTAGAGAAATGGAGACCCAATAAGTTACATTCCTTTGATAATATATCTTGAGAAGGATATTATATGAGGAGTATATAGTTGACCTCTTGGAATTTAAAGCACAGTTCCCTGTGATATTGAATAAGTATACAGATTTAGCCATTTATTAGCTTGTTATTCTCTGCCCACTTGATGATGACAAGGTACTAATCCATGACTACCCATCTCTTTCTTAATAGCTACCACTGGAGCATTCTCTGGAAAGACTCTTGAACCTGACAGTTACAACACAGGCAAGTCCAAAAGCACACCTTGGCTGCTCAGGTGATGGGCTCCTAGGGTTACATAACCCTGTACTTCCCATACTGCAGACTTCATCTTTGCTTTCTTTTCTCTCAGAGGCCACAAGTTCTACAAGAGGAGTCAGCACTAGTGGGTCAGAAGCTCCAGCAGGTAAGCTTCATCAGTCACAGGCTTCCGAGTTCTCACAATTGCTGTTTTGTGCTCAGGAAAACACATAGATGAGAAACAGGGTCAACATAAGGAGGTTACTTCTTGTCTGGAAGGACAATGTGTATTCTAACCATCCTGAGTGTTTCTGCTAAGGAATTTCACATACTGGGCTACCTAAATCAGGCATTGCTCCATGTCCTGTGTGAAAGTGTTAGTTCTCTGGACACCTGGCTGAGTCCCACTGACCTGCAGCAGCCTCCCCAGGACCCTGATTCTCCCCCCTCCACTCATAATGATTCTGCAAAGCACTGTCACCTGCTGCCACCTCTCAAACATATTTCTTACACATCTTGTTTATTTCCTGTGTTCTCTCTTTCACAAATGTAAATCATATGAGGCAGAGACCTTTATGTGTTCTTTTCCTCTAATGCTAAGCACAAAGGAAATGCTTCCATAATATGAGAGGGGGACAGGTATATCATTATGCAGAGTGTCACTGTGTTTACTTTAATAGCCACCACTATGGCTTAATTTGGTATCAGCAGCAGTTCACAGGTACCCAGGCAAGAACTATTTAAAATCAGGAGGGGAAGATATAAATATCTTATAGAAGGGCATTGCTCAGCATCTGATAAGCACAGTATCTGCAGTTACTGATATGAGAACATTTAGAATGTTCAAGTCTTTTCATCCTTCCTGATAACACAAGGAAAGAACAACATTTGAAGTAAAATCAGAAAGTGGAGTTAAGCTTCCTTTTTCAATAGAGTACAGGGGAAGGAATAGTCAGTGTAAAACATTAGTTAATAAGTTGGGAAAAATTTCTTCATGGTTTATATTTTCTGAAATAAGTTTTTAAGAAAGGTCTTCCAGTGGTTCAGGACCAGGTTGCTGATTCCAGTCCTGCTTGCTCTATTAGCTCCTATTCTTTCTCATTTTAGGGACTTCTGGTAAATTCTCTGGAATAACCAATTCAGTGGGAGGTTCCAGCACAGGTAGTTCAATCAGATGGACATTCTCATCTTGCATCCATGATAACTTTATAGAAATTAAGTGATAAAATAGCAACTTAATACTGTTTTTACTCAATATCTCAAATTTCCTAGACCTCTTGATTCTTCTCTTTCTTTCCTCAGAGGCCACAACTCTCACAGGAGACAGAAGCAGTATTGGAAGTGAATCCAGAACAGGTGAGGAGGGAAGCTCGTGATTTGGGAGGTACCATGAATCATGACTTTTGGGATGACTTGTAAGGAAGTAGGCTTCCCTACAGAATATTAAGTAATTTATCTAGAGATAATCTATCTGAGGCCAAACATATTTTTTAATTTAATATTTTCCATAACCTTTTAATATACACTTTTCAAATGGGTTGACTCTCCTAGTTGGGATGTAAATGAAATGTAATTGTTTTGAGAAATCCCCTATAACATTAGATAGAAACATTTTCTGCATAGTAGTAAGAACTAAAAATAGTTTTAATCCTAGGAAGTAGAGATATATGACTCTTGGAATCATGCCTACATAAATATTTTCTTGCCCCAAAGTGATAGAAATAATTAGTAAGTCCATGGGCACAAAATCACAATTAGATAGCGGGCATTAATTCTGGTGGTCTGTAGTGCAGTGGAGTGCCTATAGTAAGCAATATTATAGTATATATTTGAAAATACTTTGAAGAGAGGTGTGTTAGTCCATTTTCATCTGCTGATAAAGACATACCCAAGACTGCATAGTTCATAAAGAAAACGAGGTTTAATAGACTCAGAGTTCCACGTGGCTGTGAAGGCCTACCAATCATGGCAGAAGGAGAAAGGCATGTCTTACATGGCAACAGGCAAGAGAGAACTTGTGCAGGGAAACTCCCCTTTATAAAACCATCCAATCTTGTGAGACTTACTATCAGAAAAACAGCAGGGGAAAGACCCAGCCCCATGGTTCAACTATCTTCCATTGGGTCCCTCCCATGACACATGTGAATTGTGGGAGCTATATTTCAAGATGAAATTTGCGTGGGGACACAGCCAAGATATATCAAGAGGATTATAATTTTCTTATTGCAAAACTATAATAAATGTCAGAGATTATGGTTTTGTCAAACACCATGACTTAACTATCACACTGTGTGTATGTGTGTGTGTGTGTGTGTGTGTATATATACACACACACACATTTATATGTACATATATATATGTCTGTGTGTTTGCATATAATTAAAACCTCACACTGTAAATATATAAAATTATGTGTCAACTAAAAATATAATTAAAAATAGATACAATTATCATAAAACAAGTATTTTTTTTCTTCTACTCCTGGCAGTGAAATAGGTAAGCATGGGAGAAAACCATCTGTCTTGCTGTCATGGGATGCCAGATGTAGTGCCCTAAGTTTGGCCCCTTTGATTGCTTTGATAGTTTATTAATTAATGGGAAAACACATCAGAGTGGCAGCCAGAGATAGTGAGAAAGTGGCCTTTGACATCTGTAAGATGTAAACAGATTCCTTCTAGAGCCAGGCCTTCAGGAAACAAATGAGAGTCACTATGGTGATGCCAGTTCCCCTTGTGTTTCAGCCACCACTGGGGTAGCTCCTGGCACAACCATTGCCCCTGGCAGTTCCAAGACAGGTAAGTCAATAAGTTGACATGGAATCTTCCACGTATTCTCCCATAATAAGATGTCTCTTTTGTATTATCCCTTGTAGAAGTGCTGCCATATATTCTCTGTGATTCTCAAATATTCTCCAGGTAACTCTCATCTCTTTATCTCCTTCAGAGGCTACCACGTTCCCAGGAGTAAGTGAAACAACAAGTGTTGGAAGAGCCTCAGGTGAGTGATGCTAGACCAAGAGCTTTAATTCCCAATGACACCTTCAATATTATTCTGAAAATATTTATAGAGCTGTATGTGCTATATTGTGAAAATTCAGAGAAAAAGACTAGACAGCCATTATATTGCTTCATTTCCTGAACTTACACGGGCTTTTATTAAACCATCATAACATTAAACCATGACAGATAAATAGGTAATATGGGCAGAAAAATTCCAATTTCCCCACCAAAAAGGACATGATGGTTAAGAACTGTCTCAGTAACATTTCTGTGGAAAAAAATGTTGCATGGGACGAACATGAATTACTTCTAGCACTGAGTCTCAGTGTGATAGTTTGCTTCCTAGTATGGATTTGAAATTCCTATTCAAATCAGTGGACAAACAGTTGAACTAGTGACACCATCTCTTTCTTATTGTAGGTATTACTAGTGTAGTCTCTGGAAAGACACTGAAACCTGGAAGTTGCAAGACAGGCATGTCTGAAAATACATGCAAAATCTGGATATGGGCACCTTGGTTGACGTACTCTGCCTGCAGCAGCATGTATACTCTTCCAAACCTTAATCTTTACTCCTTCCTTTCTTTTCTCTCTCTCTCAGGGGCCACAACTTCCATAGTAGGAAGTGACACCAGCCAAGCAGAACGTCCAGGAGGTGAGCTTTTTACTCTGAGGCCTTGGGGCTTGTACCAAATCCCTGCTCTCTGCAGTAAAGACATGGGTGTGAAAGTGGGCAGAGGAATCGGCCTGCATTTCTCCTGGAAACACAGCATACCAGAATCAAAAACCTGGATGTGCCTAGGAATTCCCTGGCCTCACCTGACTTATCCCTCTGGATTTCCAGGAGCACAGACTTGCAGAGCTAGTTATTATGTAGCAGGAATGAGGGCAAGCTATTGGATACAGCCAGCTGACCAGGGTCCCTGATCCTAAGTACAATTTTTCTTTTTCCCAGAGTGTTTACTAACATCTTTTACACTGATTTATTTATTACGTTTATTGTCACTGCTGGCTTCCAGCTACTAGAATGTAAGGTGCATTAGGAGAGAGATCTTTCAACATTTTGCTCACTGCTACATCCCAAGGGCCTAAAACAGTGTTACATGGAAGAGATATTTAATAAAGCTTAGTTGAAAGGTGAAATGTATTATTTGAAGATTTTTTCACTCCACTTGCTTTAATATGTCCAACTGTGGTTTCACCTGGACTCAGCAGTAGTTCACAGAGCTCCAGGCCAGGTAGGAAGGACTAAATACAGCTCTCAAATGCAAGGATTTGTTAACAAGTTCTATTTTCAAATTCTCAGCATCAAAATGCCTGAGGTAATTGATGGGTAAAATTCAGAAAGATAAATCTGTCATCTGCTCTTTTTCTCCTAAAGGCACCTCTGTTACACCAGAGAGCTCAGCATCTGAAAGTGAAACAGGTGAGGAGGAGATAAGGTTCCTAGCCACATCCATTGTGCTCTATGGAGAGGGAACCCCGGGAGTAACAGTGATGGATAGGAATGATGGATAGGTGGTCCAGGACATGAAGTCACTTTCAGTTCATTTCCTTACAAAACAGAGGCTTTCAGGAAAGTTCTTTCAGTGGGTTAAAGCCACATAGCTAATTCCACAACTGATTTAGGAGGTATGCCATGTTGATTCCTTTCTTTTTCTAGTTTTAGTTACTGAATTCTCTGGGACAACTGCTATATCTAGAACTTCCCACACAGGTAGGATAATGAGGAAATCTGCATGTTTAATGTCATAGTTATTAGAGCTGCTTTGATGAAATAGTAACCTCATTCTTTTCTCAATATTTCAAATTCTGACCTCACCATTGAACACTTTCTCCGTCAGAGGCCACAACTTTAACAGAAGGCCGCAGCGTTCCTCCGTCTGGATCCAGCCCAGGTGAGAATGAGCAGAGCACAACTTAGGGTTTACCATAAATTATGACTCTCCGTAGGCTCTCCTGTTGGGAGTGTGTTTCCTGGGTAGTGGTTTGCATTTACTTCCAGTATTTTCTTACACTGAATATATTTTGGAAAACTCTAGCCCCATACCAACATCTAGCCCCATAGCTGAAAGTTTCTAATGACGGGCTGATGGTGCAGTCAGCGTAACAGATTTCTCCTGCAAAGTCATATATACCACTATGGTGTAGGGGGAGCTGAAAAATATTGTATTTCTGGAAAGAAATTTATATTAATTCTGCAAGCAGGCATATTCTATATAAAGGTTTTCTCAATCAAAAAAAGCAATAATGATATTAAATATTTTCCAGTGGCATTGGCACATTAAAACATATTTCTGGTTTTCATTCCATGGTAGGTACCACTCCAGCATCAGGAGGCCAAGCAACTGGGAGCCTGACAGGTGAAGAAGAGGGAAAGCCATGCTGTTCCCTTGACTGGGAGTGAATGTGTGGAATTCAGTGGAGGGTCCTCAGTTTGGGCACATTGCTATTCCTCTTGCTTTGTTAGGGATAGAGGCCATAGAAAAGGCATGATTCTCAGTTCATCAGGAAGCAGTGAAAGGGCCCTTTGATTTAACAAAGATACACCCAGATTCCTTCTGGAGGCAGGTCTTCAGAAGACAAACACGGGTCACTGTGATGATCTCAGACCCTTTGTGTTTCAGCCACCACTGGGGTAGCTCCTCATACAACTGTACCACCTGGCAGTTCCCACACAGGTGAGTCACTGAGGTGGCAGATTCCTCCAGGAGTCCATCTGTGATAAATTCTCCTCCAGTATTATCCTGGGTATGGAGCTATTTTAAGTTTTCCATGTCTTGAAATATTGTTTATCACTCCTGTCCTGTTTTTCTCTTTCTCAGAGGCCACAACTTCTGTAGGAGAAAGAGAAACAACAAAAGTTGAAATAATCAAAGGTGAGCTCTGTTAAGATACTAACTTTTCCTAAAACCTTCCCAAGAATCTGGCCTGAAATATGTAAACACTTTTTGCATTTCCCAGATTTGGCATATTAAGGAAAATCTAACACATGTCCAATATTTTGACATCAGTAAATACGGTACAGGCCTTTCAACTTTTCCTCCTCATGTCTTGTACCGTGGGTCTAAGGATCCTTCATCAGAGCATCACGAGATCCATTCCCTGACAGGTTTATAGATGATTTGAGCCCAAGTGTACATTGCTATCATTAAACCCTAAGAACGGGACTAGTGGTGGAGGACTTTCTCTGAGAACAAATCACAGTAAACTTGCAAAGTGTGGGCAAAGTGTGGATTCACTCTCAAAACTAAAGTCCAGAAAAATTAATTTCCTGGTGTATTAAAGAAACAAACATTTCATTTGTTTTATTATTAAGAGCCCATGCCTGTTAAATTAAGGACCATAAATTGACCAACTGATTACAATCCTTATTTCAGGTTTTACTGAGGGCATCTCTGGGAAAACTCTGGAAGCTGGGAGTGCCCACACAGGTCAGGAATTCTGAACATAGCCTCTTGGGTAATACAGGTTATGGGAGACTCAGAATGTCCTGTGCAGCCTTTTATAAAAAAATTTATTATTTTATTTTTCCATAAGTTATTAGGGTACAGGTGGTATTTGGTTATGTAAGTGGTGATTTGTGAGACTTTGGTGCACCCATCACCTGAGCAGTATACACTGCACCATATCTGTAGTCTTTTATCCCTTGCCCCCTTCCTTCTAATCCCCTCAAGTCTCTGAAGTCCATTGTATAATTCTTAGGCCTTTGCATCCTCATAGCTTAGCTCCCACATATCAATGAGAACATACAATGTTTGCTTTGTCATTCCTGAGTTACTTCACTTAGAATAATAGTCTCTAGTCTTATCCAGGTTACTATAAATGCTGTTAAATCTTACCTCCAATTCCTTTCTCTCTCAGAGGCCACAGCTTTTCCAAGAGGCAGCGGGACCACCCTAGCAGGACCACCTGGAGGTGAGCTTTTCAGGTGGAGGCTTGGGGCTCTCGTTATCTCTCGATCTTGGTGGCTGCAGTGAACAAATAATATGAAAGAACTTGAGGAGGAGTCAGCATTCTCTGAGGCCATATTATGTCATTAACTGTCTGGGAAGTTATTCTGTTTATCAATTCCATGACCTCAGATGTCTTAGGCAAACTATTTTCAGTATCCTGGCTTAGGGAGACATTTTTGTTTGATATGAGGATTGAAAATATATTGCACATATTCCAACCCTCCAGGACTTCCAGTCTTCCTTAGCTGGTTTACCTTTCTACCCACAGCTTGACATTTTCTTTTCTTCTTTCCTTTTAAGTGCCAGGATATGTGCACGTTTGTTACATAGATATACATGTGCCATGGTGGTTTGCTGCACCTATTGACCCATCCTCTAAGTTGCCTCCCATATCCTCTCCAACCCTGACAGGCCCCAGTGTGTGATGTTCCCATCCCTGTGTCCATGTGATCTCATTGCTCAAGAACATGCAGTGTTTGGTTTTCTGTTCCTGTGTTAGTTTGCTGAGGATGATGGCCTCCAACTCCATCCATGTCCCTGCAAAGGACATGATCTCATTCCTTTTTATTCAGCTTGACATTTTCTATCATTTTTCTCATATACAATGCTTATTTCCTGTATCCCCTTACTAGGAAGCTTCAGGAAGTCAACTGATTATTAAAATGCCCCCAAGTTGTATCAAATATTCTACTTATAAAGATAAAACCACGCTTTATTTCTCCTGTAGGCACTTCTGTCACAGCAGGGGACTATGTCTCTGGAATGGAAACAGGTCAGGGTGATTTAAAGCCTTGTAGTGAAAGGGAAACACAGTAGCCACACATCTATCCCATGTTGGCCTGGAAAACCCAGAGCTAAGCAGCTGCTCATCTTTTATTCTATATAAATAGTGTCCTTGGGAATGGGCTTCTAGTACTTTAGGGCCACATTGATGCTTCCAAGCTTAGCTGGGGAGAAAATACTCTATAGTTGCATTTTCCTTTTATGCATTTTAGGTACCACTGGAGGATTATCTGGAACAACCATTATATCTGAAAGTTCCACCACAGGTAGGTTAACAAGAAGGAAATACCTCTTATTTAATGTCACATGTCACGGTATCTCTTTTAGGACTGCTGCAAGAAAATAACACCCCAAATCCCCTCCAGTTTTCCAAATTTTCAGACTTTATTATTGTGTTTTTTTTCCTCAGAAGCCACAACTTCCATTGTAGGGAGTGGTACTTCTGGAACTGAACTCAAAACTGATGACAGTAAACAGCCCATACTTTGGCCTCATAAGGATTAGTACTCTCAAGCTTTCCTTGAGAGAGTTTGTGTTTCATTTAGAGATACTGCAAGTAATTCAAAATAGGATTGCTGTTATTTATTTGTTTATTTATTTAGAAACAATGACCAGTCCTAGAATTGAGCCTCCTTTCATCATGTTGAGGGTGGGATGGGATTTCTCCATTATGTTAAAACTCTCACTAGCATCTGAGCTGGAAACCAGAAAGTGTTCTGTGTGAATGTGTGTGAAGTAGAAGAGCCTCATGGAACCAGGGTGCATGCATGCATACGTGTGTATCTAACAGCTGACTTGCCCAATATTTTCTCCTATATTTGAAGTTTCAACACATTTAGACCTTTCTTCCCCCGTCTTTCTATCTCACAGCAGGCATCACTGCAGCATCAGCGAAGCAAGCAGGTGAGCATTGAGAAAAATGCATCTAGTTTCATTTTTGTCAGATTGTCTGTTGTGTTTGTACTTGGAAACATTGCCTATCTCTTTTTGTTTTGAACTGGTAAAAGCAGGAAATACATCTAGTCGTCCACCTTCCTTGTGCTCAGAGAAAGAGATTTCTGTTACAGCAAATAAATACATAAAGAGAGCATATCCCTTTTAGATTGGGGTCCTCATTTGACTTCCTCCTTCACTGTGATCACCTGCCTCTTTGTTTTCAGGCACCTCGGCGGTAACTCCTGCCGCAACAATTGCCCCTGGCAGTTTCAGCACAGGTGAGTCCACTGTGTGGTGGGGAATGCTTTCATGGGTGGTTGCTACAGTAACATGCCTTTCCTTCTATGCAGTGCTTCTATGCAGAAATGCCACCATTCCATTTCATGTCCCCTGAATCTTTTCCATTTTGTCCTCCATCTCCCAGCAGCCACAGCGTCTCCTGGAGCAAGTGTAATGACTGGGGTTACAACAACTACAAGTAAGAACTGACAGTCCACGACCTCCTTCCTAGTAGATCAAGTTGCCTCAATCACATCTACCATCTATACTTCCTGTGAAGGGCATTTTTGTTGAAAAAAAAGTCGCTATTCTAAATAGGCAAGATTTTACCTAATACGTAAAGGTCGGACACTCAAATGCCTTTATCTTCCTTTCCTCTGCTTCAAGGAGACCTCACCATGGAGCTAAGGCAATGTGAATCAGTTGTGTATTGGAGAGAATTTGTTTTACTTTCCATCAGTGATATATAAAGGAAAAAATAGCTATTAAAATTTTTCTTATTAAATATTCTATAGAAATGGTGCATGAAAAAACATATAGATTAACTCCTGGTCTAGAAACCTCTGAGAGAGCTCGTTGACACATTAACAATCCAGAGTTCCCTCACCCCATCAAAGGCCATTTTTATTATGTGTCAAGAATAAAAATATTGATTTCTGTCACTCTGTGTTCCAATGTGGTAGCCAATGGCAGAACGTTTACACATGAGAAGTCTAATACTTAAAGCAATAAATAATTATGGTAATGAGCATGCTGATCATTTATGAGTTCCTTAACACTATCCACTTTTTAAATTAGAGGTTTATATATCTTATTCCAATTAAGAAATGCCAAGGTCCAGTTAAGAAGATAAATACACAAATGATATATCTCCCAGTTTTAACAATTAATCTTGTATATTTATGTTTTTTATTACTTTTAAAGTCAGAAGTACTTATTTTCTGACTTAACAGAAAGTGTCAAGACATTCTAAATTGGGATTATTTCATATAATGACATCATTACATCCTTAGCTCATCCCTCTTTCTTAATACTCAATTAATTTTGGTTTCCTTTTCATCTCTAAGAGACCACAACTTCCCTAGGAGGAAGTGGCACCATTGGAGCAGAAATAAAATCAGGTAAAGACCTTGAGGGTATTTATATATATTGTTGTATTTTGATATATTTCTTAGAAGAAATTTTTTTAAATGAGCTTTTAGTTTGAAAATAAATTTAAATTACAGAAAATTATCACAGATATTGTAGAGAATCCCTTTAATGTGGAGTGTGGGAAGTTTCCTTTGAGGCTATACTAGTTCAAGGAAACAGAGTTTCTCCTTGGATTTGGATTTGTAAACTGCTGAGTCCAAAGTTCTTAAGTCTCTTCCATTGAGAGACTAACCGCAGGGTTATAGATCTCTGGAGAGGAGAGTTGCAATAATGGCTCTGGCTTTGGAATGGTTTTCGAAGCATAGAAAACCATAGTCTGCATAGCATTAGTGTCCTGTTCATAGATAAAAATTTAATATCTTCTTTCTTCTTCTTTCCTTCTCCTCTTCTTCTCCTAATCTCCTTTCATGTGGAGCCACCACTGGAGGACCAGGAAGTAGGACAGGTAAACTTGGGAAAGCCTTTTATAGCACCTTCAACATTGGCACAATAATAATCATGATGAGAGCAGGCGTATTGCCCATTGCATTAACCTTGGTCTTGCAAAGAAACACAATAAACCTGAAACATGTTTGTCCTCATGTGAGTTAGAACTTCAGGAGGTCTTTTTTCTTGCCTCAAAGTCACAAATAGACCTAGTTGGCCACATTTTTCTAAAGGTCACTAAAGAGTTCCCATGTTGATCTTTTTATTTTCTTTCCTGCCTAGGCACAGCTGGAGTACCCTCTGGTACAACAGTTGCCCCTGGGAGCTCCAACTCAGGTAAAGCACCAGGCTGGGAGAAACCACTGTTTGGGAAGGGCTCCTCCTCAATGAAGTGTCTGCCTAGGTGATCCTACCATGCTTTTCTCAGATTCTACTGATCTTTTCCCTCACTGCTATTCTTTTCCCTGTTTTGCAGAGGTCACAGATTCTGTAGGAAAAAATGGAATAACAAAAGCTGAAATAATCACAGGTGAGCTCTGTTAAGAAACTAAGTATACTTTGTTATAATTTACCGTGTCTTGATAGAAATACAGCAAAAGTTTTTGAATTTTCTGTATTTGGCCTATTAGGCAAAAACGTAGCAGATGTTCAGTATCTAATATCAATAAATACAGGTCAGATACTTCAACATTTCCCCCTTATATCTTTTGCATTCGATCTAAGAATCTTTCATTAGGGCATCATGGGGCCTATTACCTGACAGTTACACAAGTGACTTTGGCCCACATCTGTCTTTCTGTACCTAAATTCTAAAAATAAAACTCGGTGGCAGAGGACTTTCTCTGCAAACTTGCTAAGGGAATTGTATATTCTACAGAAAATACATGGATCAACTCTGGAAAACAGAACTCCAGAGAAGTAAATTTTCTGTTGCTTTAAACAAATTTATTTTTCCTTAAGAGGCTATGCCCGTATCACGAGGAGCAACAAACTGACTAACTGACCACAATCCTTTCTTTATTCAGGTACTACTCAGGGCATCTCTGGCAGAACTCTGGAAGCTAAAAGTGCCCACACAGGTCAGGCTTTCTGATCGGGGCCCTTTGGACAATACAGCTTATGGGGTCCTGGAATGTGCAGTGCAGTCTTCATACCTCCAATTCCTTTCTCTCTCAGAGGCCACAACTTTCCCAGGAGGCAGTGGGATCACCCGAGCAGGACCACCTGAAGGTGAGCTTGTCACGCTGAGGCCTGAGGCTGTCATCATCTCCCTATCTGGTGGCTACAGGGAACAAATAGTGAAGGCATTTGAAGGAAGGGCCTGCATTTTCTCCTTGATCATATTGTGTCCTGTCAACCTGGTCAGTTATTCTGCTCTTGAATTCCATCACCTTGTATTGTCAGCCAGGCTGTGTGCACCATTCTAGCTTATGGAGACATTATTTTTTTCTGATAAAAGGTATTAAAAAATATTTCATATATTTTAACCTTCCAGGACTTCCTGTTCCCCTTACCCAGGTTACCTTTCCATTGATAGCTTGATACTTTTTATCATTTTTTTCATTTACTTACACAAGATGTTTGCTTCCTCTCTCCCTTCACTGGAAAGCTTCATGAAATCAATTGATTAATTAAAATGCTCAAGTTATATCAAACTGTCCTCCTTATAAATATAAAACAATGATTTATTCTTTGTGTAGGCACCTCTGTCACATGGGGAACATATTCCTGGAAGGGAAACAGGTCAGGTTGATCTAAGCCCATTTTTTCTTGCCTCATAGTGAAAAGGAATCCCAGCAGCAACATATTTAGCCCATGTTGGCCTGAAAAATGAAGTGCTAGGAAGTTGTTCGTTTTCCATTCTCTGTAGGAATAGAGTGTCTGCAGGAGAGGGCTTCCAGTGTTTCCAGCTACATTGATGCTTTCAAGTTTTAATTGGAGATAAAATGCTCTATTGCTTTGTTTCCTTTTTTTTTTTTTTTTTGCATTTCAGTTACCACTGGAAAATTGTCTGGAATGACCATTATATCTGGAAGTGCTAACACAGGTAGCTTAAGAAGAAATGCCTCTTATTTAACATCAGATATCATGATTTTTTAAATAGCTTCTCTGATAAATACCCCAGTATCTTCTTCCAGTATTTAAAATTCCCAGCCTTTTTCATTCTCCTCTTTCTCCCATCAGAGGCCACCACTTCCACAGAAGGGACTGGCACTTCTGGAACTGGATTCAAAATAGGTGAGAAGAAACAACCTCATAATTTGGCATCATAAATGTTTGGTCTCCAAGCTTTTCTTGAGAGAATTTGTGTTTGTTTTATTTAGGGACATTGCAAGTGATTCAAAATAGATTTGCTGGTGGAGATATGTTTTTTTTTAAATCTACTAATTCTAGATTGGAGCATACTGCTCCATTTCTGAGAATAGGATGGAATTCCTCCATTTCTGTTACAACTATTGCTAGTAGTTTAGGTGGAATTAAGAACGTTTTCCGTGTGTGTGTGTGTGTGTGTGTGTGTGTGTGAAGCAGAAAAGAGCCCCATGGAGCTAGTACACATACGTTTACAATATTTGTGAACAAAAATGCTGGCTCAGTGTTTTCTCTATATGTGAAGTTTCAAAATGTTTCAACCATTTTTCCTATTTCTATCTCACAGCAGGCATCACTTCAGCACCAGGGAAGCAAGCAGGTGAGCATTTGGAAAATGCATCTAGTTTCACTTTTGTTAAATTTTCAGTCTGCTTGTACTTAGAAACGTTGTCTCTATCTCCTTTTGTTATGAACTGTTGAAAGCAGGCAAATACGAATACATAGCTCTGCCTTTGGCTTAGAGAAAGAGATACCTATTATGGTAAATAAATACATAAATGCAGCATTTCCCTTTCAGATTTGGGTCATTTGACTTACTCATTCACTATGATCACTTTAGTCTCTTTGTTTCCAGGCACCTCAGAGGTAGCTCCTGCCACAACAGTTGCCCCTGGCAGTTTCAGCACAGGTGAGTCCACTGTGTGGTGGGGAATCCTTTCATGGGTGCTTGCTATAGCAACATGCCTTTCCTTTTGGTGCTGAGAGAGGAGACCATCTCTCTCTCTCTCGGCTGTCTTCTGTTAGAAAAGTGGGGAGGGGAGATAAAATAGCACAAAGTTGAAGTCAGTGATCGGGTAGCTCAATGACTCCACCAGCCCGACCACTGCGGGGCCCAAGGACTGAGAAAGTAATGCCCCTCTCTGTAACTGGTGCCTATGTTATCTGTAAGCCTTGTGAGTGTTGCATGTTTTTCTTACTGACCAAGGACCTTCCTTGAGTCACATACTCCCCATCTACACCGGCCAGACCCCCCCCACCCCTTAGAATTGCCTCTGTGACTAAGTGATTTACTGCCTTGGTTGAACTTCTGTAACTCTTCCCTTCCCATGCACGCCACATGTAAATTAGCAAATCAATGAAAGCCAGAGACTGTAAGGTTAGATGTCCAGCCAATGGGCAATAACACAGTTTTACCTCTGCTCCCCCTTGGGTTATATGTCTTTAAAAAGGGGGAAAAAGCACTGCTTTTGGGGGAGCTCTGCTTTTTGGACACTAGTCAGCTGATGCTCCATAGCCAGCTGAATAAAAGTCTCTTTCTTCCTCACTCTGATGACTAAGGGGTTCTGTCAGTGGCTTATCCTGCAACATTTCTCCTATGCAGGAATGCCACCATTCCATTCCACCCCCCTGAATCTTTCCTATTTGTGTCTTTCTTCTCCCAGCAGCCACAGCTTCTCCTGGAGCAAGTGGAATGACTGGGGTTACAACAACTACAAGTAAGATCTGACAGTCCACGACCTCCTTCCCAGTAGGTCACATTGCCACATTCCATCAGTCACATCTACCATTTGTACTTTCTGTGAAGGGCATTTTTCTTTTTGAAAAACAAAAAACAACAACAAAAAAACTTTTCCAGCTATGCTAGATTTTACATAATACATAAAGGTCAGACACTCAAATGCCTTTATCTTCCTTTCTTTTGCTTCGAGAAGACCTCACCATGGAGCTAATGATTAGAGAGAAATGTCTTTCTTTTCCTCAGTATATAAAGATATAATAGCTATTAAAATTTTTTCTCATTAAATATTCTATAGAAATGGTACATGAAAAACATATAGATTAACTCTGATTCTAGTAACCTCTAAAAAGAGCTTGACATATTAAGACAACAGGGTTCCCTTACCCCATTGAAGGCCATTTTCTTTTCATTATGTGTAAAGAATAAATATATTGATTCCTACAGCTCTCTAATTCCAAGTTCCAATGTGGTGGCCACTGGCAAAATTCTTACACATGAAAAGTCTAATATTAAAGCAATAAATAATGATGATAATAGTAATGAGCACATTATGTTTTAATTCCTTACTGTATCTCCTTTTTAAATTAGAAGTTTACGTATCTTACTCTAATTAAGAAATATCTAAGGGCTGGGCGCGGTGGCTCACGCCTGTAATCCCAGCACTCTGGGAGGCCAAGGCGGGTGGATCACAAGGTCAAGAGATCGAGACCATCCTGGTCAACATGGTGAAACCCCGTCTCCACTAAAAATACAAAAAATTAGCTGGGCATAGTGGCGCATGCCTGTAATCCCAGCTACTCAGGAGGCTGAGGCAGGAGAATTGCCTCAACCTAGAAGGTGGAGGTTGTGGTGAGCCAAGATCGCGCCATTGCACTCCAGCCTTGGTAACAAGAGCAAAACTCCATCTCAAAAAAAAAAAAAAAAGAAATATCTAAGGTCCAATTAAAAAAAATTTACAAATGATGTATCTCCCCATAACAATTAGACTTGTATATTTATGTTTTTGTTACCTTTACTGTTTTGTTAATTTTTAAAAAATTTTAAGTTCTGGGATACACGTGCTGAAAGTTTGGATTTGTTACATAGGTTGCTGCACCTATCAACCCATTATCTATGTTTTAAGCCCGCCTGCATTAGGTATTTATCCTAATGCTCTTCCTTCCCTTTGCCCCTACCCTCAACAGGCCCTAATGTGCGATATTCCTCTCTCTGTGTCCATGTGTTCTCATTGTTCAACTCCCACTATGAGTGAGAACATGTGGTGTTTGGTTTTCTGTTCCTCTGTTTGCTGAGGTTGATGATTTCCAGTTTCATCCATTTCCCTGCAAAGAACATGAACTCATTTCTTTTTTTATGTCTGCATAGTATTTCATGGTATATGTGTACCCCATTTTTTTAACCCAGTCTATCATTGATGGTCATTTGGATTGTTCCAAGTCTTTCCTATTGTGAACAGTGCTTCAATAAACATACATGTGCATGTGTCTCTATAGTAGAATGATTTATAATCCTTTGGATACATTCCCAGTGATGTGATTGCTGGGTCAAATGGTATTTCTGGTTCTAGATCCTTGAGGAATCACCACACTAACTTCCACAATGGTTGAACTAACTTACACTCCCACCAACAATGTAAAAGCATTTCTATCTCTCCAAGCCTCTCCAGCATCTGCAGTTTTCTGACTTTTTAGTGATTGCCATCCTAACTGGTTTGAGATGGTATCTCCTGGTAGTTTTGATTTGCATTTCTCTACTGACCAGTGATGATGAGCTTTTTGTCATATGTTTTTTTGGCTGCATAAATGTCTCCTTTGGAGAAATGTCTGTTCATATCCTTCACCCACTTTTTGATGGAGTTGTTTGTTTGTTTCTTGTAAATTTGTTTAAGTTCTTTGTAGATTCTGGATATTAGCCCTTTGCAGATGGATAGATTGCAAAAATTTTCTCCCATTCTGTAGGTTGCCTGTTCACTCTGATGATAATTTCTTTTGCTGAGCAGAGGCTCTTTAGTTTAACTAGATCCCATTTGTCCATTTGGCTTTTGTTACACTTGCTTTCAGTGTTTTAGTCATGAAGTCTTTGCCCATGCCTATGTCCTGAATGGTGTTGCCTTGATTTTCTTCTAGAGTTTTTATGGTTTTAGGTTTTACATTTAAGTCTTTAATTCATCATTAGTTAATATTTATATAAGGTGTAAGGAAGAGGTCCAGTTTACAGTTTTTGCATATGGCTAGCTAGTTTTCCCAACACCATTTATTAAAAAAGGAATTCTTTCTCCATTGCTTATTTTTGTCAGGTTTGTCAAAGATCAGATGGTTGTAGATGTGTGGTTTTATTTCGGTGAGGCTTCTGTTCTGTTCCATTGATCTTTATCTCTCATTTGGTACCAGTACCATGCTTTTTTGGTTACTGTAGCATTGTAGTACAGTTTGAAGTCAGGTAGTGTGATGCCTCCAGCTTTGTTATTTTTGTTTATGATTATCATGGCTATATGAGCTCCTTTTTGATTTCATATGAAATTTAAAGTAGTTTTTTTCTACTTCTGTGAAGACAGTCAATAGTAGCTTGATGGGAATACCATTTAATCTATAAATTACTTTGGGCACTATGGCCATTTTCATGATATTGATTTTTCCTATCCATGAGCATGGGATTTTTTCCATTTGTTTGGTTTGTTCTCTTTTATTTCCTTGAGCAGTGGTTTTGGTTATCCTTGAGGAGGTACTTCATGTCCTATATAAGTTGTATTCCTAGGTATTTTATTTTCTTTGTAGCAATTGTGAATGGGAGTCCACTTATGATTTGGCTTTATGCTTGTATATTATTGGTGTATAGGATTGCTTGTGATTTTTGCACATTGATTTGGTATCTTAGATTTTCTGAAGTTGTTTATCAAATTAAGGAGTTTTGGGGCTGAGATGATGGGGTTTTTAAAATATACAATCATGTCATCTTCAAATGGACAATTTGACTTCTTCTCTTCCTATTTGAATGTCCTTTATTTCTTTCTCCTGCCTGATTGTCCTGGCCAGAAGCTTCAATACTGTGTTGAGTGTGAGTGATGAGAGAGGGCATCCTTGTCTTGTGCCAGTTTTCAAAGGGAATGCTTCCAGCTTTTGCCCATTTGGTATGATATTGGCCATGGGTTGGCTTTCATTATGTTTAAAGTCAGAAGGACTCCTTTTCTGACTTAATAGAATGTGTCAAGACATTTTGAATTTGAGTTTCCTCATGTAGTGATATCAGCTTAGCTCATCCCTCTTTGTTAATACTCAATTCAATTTGGTTTTCATTTCATCTTTAAGAGACCACAACTTCACTTGGAGGAAGTGGCACCACTGAAGCAGAAATAATATCAGGTAATGACCTTGAGGTATTTATATTTATTGTTGTATTTTGATATAATTCTTAGAGGAAACATTTTTTTAAATGAGCTTTTAATTTGGAAATTAAATTACAGAAACTTATCATAGATAATGCAGAGAATTCCTTTAATGTGGAGTATGGTTTTAAATTTCCTTTGAGGCTATAATATTTCAAGGAAACAGAGTTTGTTCTTGGATTTGGATTTGTAAACACTTGAGCCCAAAGTTCCTAAGTCTTTCCCTTCTCTGAGAGACTAACCTTAGGGTTCAGAGTCTCTGGAGAGGAGAGTAGCATCAGTAGCTCTGGCTTTGAAATAGTTTTCCCTATTTCATAGTCTCTGTAATATTAGTGTCCTGTTCGTAGATAAAAATTTACAATTTTCTTTCTTCTTTTTCCTTCTTTCCTTCTTTTCTTCTTCTCCTAATCTCTTTTCATGTGGAGCCACCACTGGAGCACCAGGAAGTAGGACAGGTAAACTTGAGAAAGCCTTTCACAGGACCTTCAACGTTGGCACAATAATAATCATGATAAAGGCAGGCATATTGCCCACTATGTTAGCGTTGGCCTTGCAAGAAAACACAATAAACTGGAAACATGCTTGTTCTCTTGTCAGTTTTAAGTCCGGGAAGTGTGTTTTCTTGCTTCAAAGTCACAAATAGACATACTGTTGGCCACATTTTCCAAGGGTCACAAGAGAGTTCCCCTATTGATCTTTCTCTTTTCTTTCTGGCCTAGATACAGCTGGAGTACCTGCTGGTACAACAGTTGCCCCCGGGAGCTCCAACTCAGGTAAAGCACCAGGCTGGGAGGAATCACTGCTTGGAAAGGGCTCCTCAATGAGGGGTCTGCCTGGGTGATTCTACCATGCTTTTCTTAGATTCTTCTAATCTTTGCCCTCACTGCTATTCTTTGTTTTGTTTTGCAGAGGCCACAACTTCTGTGAGAGAAAGTGGAATAACAAGAGCTGAAATAATCACAGGTGAGATTAAAGAGCTAAGCATACTTTGTTGTAATTTCCCACATCTTGCTTGAAATATGGCAAAAGTTTTGAGTTTTCCCAATCTGGCATATTAGGTAAAAATTTAACAGATGTTCAATATTTAATATCAATAAATATAGATCAGATGTGTCAACATTTCCCCTTATGTCTTTTGCCTTGGGTTTAAGAACCCTTTATCAGGGCATCAGGGGGCCAATTCCCTGACATTTACATAGGTGACTTTGGCCCAAATCTTTCTGTACCTAAATTCTAAAAATGAAACACAATGGTAGAGGGCTTTCTCTATAACTTGCTAAGGGAATTATATATTCTATGGGCAATACATGGATTAACTCTTAAAAATAAACTCCAGAGGAATCAATTTTCTGTTATATTAAAGAAAAAAATTTGTTTTGTTTTTTTCTTTAAGAGCCTATGCCCATATCATGAGGAGCAACAAACTGACTAACTGACCACAATCCTTTCTTTTTTCAGGTACTACTCAGGGCATCTCTGGCGGAACTCTGGAAGCTAAAAGTGCCCACACAGGTCAGGCTTTCTGATCGGGGCCCTTTGGGCAATACAGCTTATGGGGTCCTGGAATGTGCAGTGCAGTCTTCATACCTCCAATTCCTTTCTCTCTCAGAGGCCACAACTTTCCCAGGAGGCAGTGGGACCACCCGAGCAGGACCACCTGAAGGTGAGCTTGTCACGCTGAGGCCTGAGGCTGTCATCATCTCCCTATCTGGTGGCTACAGGGAACAAATAGTGAAGGCATTTGAAGGAAGGGCCTGCATTTTCTCCTTGATCATATTGTGTCCTGTCAACCTGGTCAGTTATTCTGCTCTTGAATTCCATCACCTTGTATTGTCAGCCAGGCTGTGTGCACCATTCTAGCTTATGGAGACATTATTTTTTTCTGATAAAAGGTATTAAAAAATATTTCATATATTTTAACCTTCCAGGACTTCCTGTTCCCCTTACCCAGGTTACCTTTCCATTGATACCTTGATACTTTTCATCACTTTTTTGATTTACTTACACAAGATGTTTGCTTCCTCTCTCCCTTCATTGGAAAGCTTCATGAAAACAAATAATCGACTCAAACAGTTCTACTTATAAGTAGAAAATGATTTTTTTCCTCTTGTAGGCACCTCTGTCACAAATTCTTAAATGGATCATTACTGCTTCGTTTCTGAGGATGGGATGTAATTTCCCCATTTATGTTACAACTGTCGCTAGCAGTTTAGGTGGCATTCAGAAAATTTTCAGTGCTTTTATGTGAAACAGAAAAGAGCCCCATGGAACCAGTACACATACATTTAAAGTGTATATGTGAATGAAAATACTGGTTCAATACTTTCTCTATATGTGAAATTTCAAAGTATTTCATCCATTTTCCTCCTTTTTCTATGTCACAGCAGGTATCACTGCAGCAACAGGGAAGCAAGCAGGTGAGCATTGGGAAAATGCATCTAGTTTCGCTTTTATCAAATTTTCAGTTGTGCTTGTACTTGGAAACTTGTCTCTCTATACTTTTTTGTTATGCATTGTTGAAAGCAGGCAAATGCATTGAGTTTTCTACCTGCCTCATGCTCAGAGAAAGAGGATTCTGTTATGGCAATTCAATACATATATACAACACATCCCTTTTAGATTTGGGCCATTTGACTTATTCATTATGATCACTTCAGTCTCTGTTTTCAGGCACCTCTGAGGTAGCTCCTGCCACAACAGTTGCCCCTGGAAGTTTCAGCACAGGTGAATCCACTGTGTGGTCGGGAATCCTTTCATAGGCACTCGCTACTGTAACATGCTTTTCCTTTTGGTGCTTCTACGCAGGAATGCCACTATTCCATTTCATATCCCCTGAACCTTTTTCATTTGTGTCCTTCTCCCAGCAGCCACAGCTTCTCCTGGAGCAAGTGGAATAACTGGGGTTACAACAACTACAAGTAAGAACTACCTCCTTCCCAATAGATCCCATTGCCTCAATCACATCTACTGTTTGTACTTCCAGTGAAGGACTTTTTTAAAAAAAATTCAAATAGGCAATATTTTACCTAATATGTAAAGATTGGACACTCAAATACCTTTGTTTTCCTTACCTCTGCTTCAAGGAGAATTCATCATGGAGCTAAGGCACTGAGAATCAGTTGTGTGATTGGAGAGAAATGTCGTTCTTTCCCTCAGTGATATATAAAGGAAATAATAGCTATTAAAATTTTTCTCATTAGCTAATCTATAGAAACGGTGCATGAAAATCATACACATTAACTCCTGATTCTAGAAAGCACTGAAAAGTGCTTTTTGACACATTAAGACAACACGGATTAATCTTACCCCATCGAAGGCTGTTTTCACTATGTATAAAGAATAAAAATAATGATTCCTACACCTCTCTGATTCCAAGTTCCAACTGGAAAAATTGTTGCATATGAAAAGCCTAATACTTAAAGCAATAAATACTGATAATAATAGTAATGACCATGTTCATCATTTGTGAGTTCCTCACTGTATCCACTTTTTAAATCAGAGATTTACATATCTTATTCCAATTAAGAAATATCTAAGGTCTAAACAAACAAACAAACAAACAAACAAACAAACAACAAAAGAAAGAAGAAACAAAAAAAAAAAGAGAAATATCTAAGGTCCAATTAAGAAAATAAATTTACAAATGTGGTATCTCCTGATTTTAACAATTAAACTTGTGTATGGTTTTCATTACTTTTAAAGTCAGAAGTACTTATTTTCTGACTTAATAGAATGTATCAAGACATTTTTAATTGGAGTTATCTCATGTAATGACATAACTTACCTCATCCTTTTTTCTTAGTACTCAGTTAATTTTGGTTTTCTTTTCATCTTTAAGAGACCACAGCTTCCCTGGGAGGAAGTGGCACCACTGCAGCAGAAATAAAATCAGGTAAAGACTTTAGAGGATTTATATTTTTTGTTTTATTTTGACAGATTTCTTAGAGAAAATTATTTCTAGTGAGCTTTTAATTTGGAAATAAATTTAAATTACAGAAAATTATCATAGATAATGCAGAGAATTCCTTCAATGTGGAGTGTGGGTTTAAATTTCCTTTGAGGCTATAATATATCAAGGAAACAGAGTTTGCTTGTGGATTTGGATTTGTAAACTCTTGAGCCCAAAATTTCTAAAGTGTTTCCTTTCTGAGAGACTAACATCAGGGTCCTAAGTCTCTAGTGAGGAGTCTTGCAATAATAGCTCTGGCTTTCAAAAGGTTTTTCCTTTGAAAAAAGGCGTAGTCTGTATAACATTAGAAATCACTAAGATGTCATATTTTAGTTTAGAGATAAAAATTCAAAATTGTCTTTCTCCTTATTTTTCTTGTTTTCTCCTCTTCTTTCTTCTCCTTCCCTCTTTTGCTTTTCATTAGGAACCACCACTACAGCACCAGAAAGTAGGACAGGTAAACTTGGGGAAAGCCTTTCATATGACCTTCCACTGTGACCAAATATTGTTCATAATAATGAGGGTAGGAATCTTAGCCGCTGCATTAACCTTGGCTTTGCAAAGGCACACAATAAACCTGAAACATGTTTGTCTTCATGTCAGTTATAAGCCAGGACGCGTGCTTTCTGGCTTCAAAGTCACAAATAGACATATTGTTGGCCACATTTTTCCAAGGGTCACAAAAGAGTTCCCATCTCAATCCTTCTCTTTTCTTTCCTGCCTAGGCACAGCTGGAGTGCCCTCTGCTACAACAGTTGCCCCTGGGAGCTCCAACTCAGGTAAAAGCCCCAGGCTGGGAGGAATCACTGCTTGGAAAGGGCTCCTCAATGGGGTGTCTGCCTGGGTGATCCTACCATGCTTTTCTCAGATTCTTCTAATCTTTGCCCTCACTGCTATTCTTTGTTTTTGTTTTGTAGAGGCCACAACTTCTTTGAGAGAAAGTAGAATAACAGGAGCTGAAATAATCACAGGTGAGTCTAGTGAAGGAACTAAGTGTACTTTGTTATACTTTTCCACATCTTGCTCAAAATATGACAAAAGTTTTTGAATTTTCTGGCATATTAGGCAAAAATATAGCAGATGTTCCAATTTTAACATCAATAAATATAGGTCAGAGACTTCAACATTTTCTCCTTTTTTCTTTTGGCTGTAAAATCAATCCCTTCATTAGGGTATCATGGGGTCCATTCCCTGACAGCTATATATGGGACTTGGGCCCAAATCTATCTTTCTGTACCTTAAAAATGAAACATGGTGGCAGAGGACCTTCTCTGTAAACTTGCTGAGGGAGTTATAGGTTCTATGAATAATATATGGATTAACCCTTAAAAATAGAAACTGCAGAGAAATAAATTTTCTGTTTTATTGAAGAAAAAATGTTTTTTTTTTTTCTTTAAGAGTCTATGCTTGTATCATAAGGGGCAACAAGTTGACCAAATATCCATGATTCTTTCCTCTTTGCTACTCAGGGAATCTCTGGCAGAATTCCAAAAGATGGAAGTGACCATACACTTCAGGCATGCTGAATGCGGCCCCTTGGCTAATATAGCTTATGGGGCCCCAGAATGTCCTGTACAGTCTTCATACCTCTAATTCTTTTCTCTCTCAGAGGCCACAACTTTCTCTGGAGGCAGCGGGACAACTCGAGCAGGACTACCTGGAGGTGAGCTTGTCAGGCTGAGACCTGGGGTTCTCATCATCTCTCTATCTGGGTAGCTACAGGGAACAAATAATGTGAAAGCATTGGAGGAAGGGACTGCATTTTCTCCTTGACCATATTGTGTCCTATCAACCTGGTCAGTTATTGGACTTGTAAATTTCATGACTTGGATTGTCAGCCAAGCTGTCTGCATGATTCTAGCTTATGGAGACGTTATTTTTTCTGATTAAAGGTATTAGAAAATATTTCATATATTCCAACCTTTCAGGACTTCCTATTCCCCTTACCCAGCCTTTCCACTCACAGTTTCATACTTTTTATCACTTCTCTCTCTCTTTTTTTTAATGGATTAGAGGTTTCAGTGGGACGTGAGAATCACAAGGAATCAGGTGTTCAGAGGAATGTATTGAGTAGAGGTGAGGAACTAGGATGTTGAAAAGTAAAAAAAGGAGAGAAGAAGAGGAAGAAAAAGAGGGAGAGAGAACAGGAATATTGCTTCATTCTAAAAATGGGTATTAATAATGGCTGATCAATATTTTGTGTATTTAAAATGGAGAACTCTATAAATATTTATTGAGTTTACTTGTTCCGGATCTGAGTTGAAGTCCTGGATATCCTTATTAATTTTCTGTCTCATTGAGTCTAAATCTCATTATGGGTCTTATGTATCTGGGTATTAAGATCTCTTATTGTTTCATTGATCCTTTTACCACTGTATCTTTGTTGCTTTGAACTCTATTTTATCAATTGTGAGAATTGCAACTCCTGCTTTTTGTTTATTTATTTATTTTTGCTCTCCATTTGCTTGGTAAATTTTTCTCCAACCCTTTGTTTTGAGTCTTTGTGTATCTTTGGATATACCATTAGGTTTTGGCTGTATCTTTTGATTGGTATATTTAGTCGATTTAAATTTATAAATATATACTTATAAATATACTTATAAATATAATGTCTCCTGTAGTTACCTCTATTACACCAGAGGACTATGTTCCTGGAAAGAAAAGGGGTCAAGGTGATTTAAAGCCCTGACCTCCCCTTGCCTCATAGTGGAAGGGAATCCCTGCATCAACCTATGCATCTCTAGGTGTTCATTTTCCATTCTCTATAGAAATAGAGTGGGCACAGGAAACAGATTCTAGTGCTTCAGGGATACATTGATGCTTCTATGCTCAATTGGAGACAAAATGCTCTATTGCTTCATTTCTTTTCTTTTTTGGCATTTTAGTTACCACCGGAGAATTGTCTGGAACGACCACTATATCTAGAAGCTCTAACACAGGCAGCTTAACAAGAAGGAAATGCTTCTTATTTAATGTCAGCCATCATTTTTCTTTTATGGCTTCTATGATAAAGTAATACCCCAATATCTTCTTTCAGTATTTTAAATTTCCAGTGTTTTTCATTCTCCTATTTTTTCCATCAGAGGCCACCACTTCCACAGGAGGGACAGGTTCTTCTGGAACTGGATTCAAAACTGGTGAGAAGAGACAACTCATGATTTGGTGTCATAAGTATTAGGTCTCTCAAGCTTGTCTTGAGAGAGTTTGTGTTTTATTTAGGGATATTGCAAGTGATTCAAAATAGATTTGCTGGTGGAGATATGTGTTTTTGTAAACCTACTAATTCTAAAATGGCGCATTACTGCTCCCTTTCTGAGAACGGAATGGAATTTCTCCGTTTTTGTTACAACTATTGCTAGCAGTTTAGGTGGAATTCAGAAAGTTTTCTGTGTGTATATGAAACAGAAAAGAGCCCCATGGACCCAGGACACATGCATTTACAAGTATATATGTGAATAAAAATGATAGCTCAGTATTTTCTCCTACATCTCAAGTTTCAATACATTTAAACCTTTTTTCCCTCCTCTTTCTGCCTCACAGCAGGCATCACTTCAGCCCCAGGGAAACAAGCAGGTGAGCATTGGGGAAATGCATCTAATTTCACTTTTATCAAATTTCCAGCTGTGCCTGAAGTTGGGAACATTTTCTGTGTGCTTTGGTTTGAATTGTTGAAAGCAGGCAAAGAGAGAGCTTTCTATGGTGGCATATAAATAAATAAATATATACATACATAGAGCATATTCCTTTTAGAGTCAGTTCTTCGTTTGATTTACTCATTCACCATGATCACCTCAGTCTCTGTTTCAGGCACCTCTGGGGAGTCTCTTGCCACAACAGTTGCTCCTGGAAGTTTCCACACAAGTGAGTCCACGGTGTGGTGGGAAATCATTTCATGGAAGCTTGCTATGATAGTATGCCTCTCCTTTTGGCGCTTTTAAGCAGAAGTCCCATGTTTCCATTTTAAGTCCCTGAATCTTTTCCATTTATGTCCTTCCTCTCTCAGTAGCCACAACATCTTCTGGAGCAAGTGGAATGACAGGGGCTGGACCCACCTCAGGTAAGCACTGAGGAACCACTACCTGCCTCTTAGTAGACAACATTGCCTGAATTGCATCTACTGTTTGTACTCCCTGTGAAGAGCATTTTCTGAAGAAAGATTATCACACAGGCAGGATTCTTCCTAATAATTAAAGGCCAGACACTCACATTTTTTAACCTTCCTTTCCTCTGCTTCAGGGAGACTTCACTATGAAGCCAATCAGTTAGGAGATCGAAGATAAATGTTTTTTTTCTCTTATTGATATTTAAATGAAGTAATTGAGTTATTGATATTTTAGTCATTAAATATTCCATGAGATACAAATGATGTATAGAAAAGATATAGATTAACTCCTGCTTCTAGAAACCTCTGAACACAGCTTGTTGACACATTGAGGAAATGCATAGTTTTCTTATCCCATCCAGGGCCATTCTCTTTCTCATTATGGGTAAAGAATTGAGATATTGATTTTTATTTCTAATTCCACATTCCAACATGGTAGTCACTGACAAAATTTTTACTCATGAAAAGTCTAATAATAAATAATGATGATAATAGTAATGAGCATATCAATCATTTATCATTTCCTTGATATATGCATATTGTATATGACCTTTACATATCTTATTATTATTGCAACTATCTAAGGTCAAAAGAAGATCCATGAGTTAAAAATGGACAATTAAACTTGCATATTGAAGATAAACACTTTTACATGGAGAAGGTGTTCTTTTCTGAATTAGTAGTAGGTGACAAGCGATTTTGAATTGTATTTCTTTCATGTAGTCTCATCAGCTTACTCATCCCTCTTCCTTCATATTGAATTAATTTTGGTTTTCTCTCCATCTTTAAGAGACCACAACTTCCCTAGGAGAAAGTGGTACTACTGGAGCAGAAATAAAATCAGGTGAAGATTTGGATATTTTCATTATTTATTGTTGTAGTTTGATTCCAAGTATATGGATTTCTTAGAAAAAACAGGTGTTTTTTTAAGCCTTTTATTTTGAAATATTAAATTACATAAAATTTGCAAAGATAAACCAAAATAATCCCTTTCATGTGGAATGTAGTTTTTATATCCTTTGGGGGATATGGTATTTCAGGGAAACCATCAGTACTTTTTGAATTTAGAACCACTTGGCCCCAAATTTTCTGAAGTCCCTTCTCAGGGACTAATCCCTGGGTTCTAGGCCTCTTGAAAGAGAAGATTTAATAGCTCTGGCTCTGAAATGCGTCTTCCTGTGAAAAGGGTTTAGTCTGTATAACATTACAGTGCTGACTTCTATTCAGCATAGAAATCATTAAGATATCACATTTTAGTTCAAAGAAAAAATTCTAAATCTTTCTTCTTCCTTCTCTACCTCTTCCTCCTCCTCTTCTTCCTTTTCTTCCTGTTCCTCTGTCTTTCCTCTTGCTCCTTTCTTCTTCTCTACCTCATCCTCTTCCTTCCTTTTCTATCTTCTTCATCCTTTTCTTCCTCTCCTCCTCTTTCTCCTCCTCCTCTGCCTCCTCCTCTTGCTTCTTCTCCTCTGGCTCCTTTATCTCCTCCTCTGCCTCTTCTTTCTTCTCTTCCTACTCCTCTTATCTTCCTCTTCCTCCTTCTCTTCTTCCTTCTTTTTCTTTTCATTAGGAACCACTACTGGAGCACTAGGAAGTAAAACTGGTAAATATGGAAAAAGCCTTTGATACAACTTTTAATCTTGGCAAAGATTGGCAGGTATATTAGCCATGGTGTTAACTTTGGCTTTGCAAAGGTAAATGGTAGACATGCAACACGTATAACTTTCTGTTAGTTATCGGTCCATAAAGTATCATTTGCTGCTTCAAAGTCATAGACAGACTTGTTGCCAACATTCTTCTAGGGCGTGCAAAATTGTTGCCATGATGATCTTTCTCTTTTTTTCCCATGTAGGTGCATCTGGAGTGCCCTCTGCTACAACAGTTGCCCCTGGCAGCTCCAACTCAGGTAAAGCACTGGGCTGGTAGGAACCACTGCTTGGGAAGGGCTCCTTAGTGGGGTGTCTGCCTGGGTGATCAAACCTTACTCGTAGATTCTTCAAATCTTTGCCCTCAGTGTTATTCCTTTCCCCTCATTTGCAGAAGCCACAACTTCTGTAGGAGAAAATGGAAAAACAAGAGCTCAGATAATCACAGGTGAGCTCAGATAAGGAACTAAGTGTACTTCGTAATAACTTCCAGTGTCTCACTTGAAATATAGCAAAACTCTTTCCACCATTTGGCATATTAAACATATTTAGCATATATTCAATATCTAACATCAATAGATATGGTTCCAACACTTCAAAAGTCCCTCCTTGAGTCTCATTTGCTGTGTCAAAGGCCTCTTAATCAGGCTAGCATGGGACCCATTTATTCCCTTGCAGTCATAAAGGTGGCTTGGCCTGAATCTTTCTCTCTGCAACTAAACCCTGAAAAAAGGGTCTCAGTGGTGGAGGACTTTCTGTGTAAACACGAGCAATATATAAATGAACTCTTAAAACTAGAAAGTCCAGAGAAATAAATGTACTGGTACATTCAAAGAAATAAAGTTATTATCTTTCCTTTAAGAGCCCATGCGTATTTCATGAGAGGCAACAAATTGACCAGCTGAATACCTTTCTTATTTCAGGTACTACTGAGGGCATCTCTGGCAAAGTCCTGGAACCTGGAAGTGCCTACACAGGTCAGGAATTCTGTACATGGCCCCTTAGGCAGTATCAGCTTTGGGAAACCCCACGTGTCTGCCCAGTCTTTATATCTCCAATTTCTTTCTCTCTCAGAGGCCACAACTTTCCCAGGAGGCAGCGGGAACACCCGAGCAGGACCACCTGGAGGTGAGCCTGTCAGGCTGAGGCTTGGGCCTCTTACCATCTCTCTACCTGGGTGGCTGCAGTGAACAATAATGTGAAGTCATTTGAGGGAGGGTCCTTCATTTTCTCTGTGCCCATAGTGTGTCAGATCAACCTGGTCAGTTATTCTGCTTGTGAATTAGTGACTTCAGATGTCTCAGCCAGGCTATCTTCAGTGTCCCGGCTTATGGAGACAATTTTTTCTGATACAAAGTATGAGAATATATTGTATATGTTACAACTTTTCAGGACTTCCAATTCTCCTTACCCAGTTTTCCTTTCCACCCACAGTTTGAGACACCTTCTGTCATTTTTCTCCTTTTACTTACACAGGATGTTTGTGTCCTCTCTCCCCTCCTACAACACTTCATGAGAACAATTGATGTTAAAATGCCCCATGTTGGATCAAAGAGTCCTACTTATAAATAAAGAACTGTGCTTTGTTTCTCCTATAGGCACCTCTGTCAGGGGGATATGTTCCTGGAAGGGAAACAGGCCAGGGTGATTTAAGCCCTATTCTCCCCTTACCTCATAGAGAAAGGGACACCCAGTAGTATCACACACCATCCAGGTTGGCCTGGAAAATCAAGTGCTCAGAGGTTGTTCATTTTCCATTCTCTACAGGGATACAGTGTCTTCAGAAAAGGGCTTCCAGTGCTTTAGAGCTGCACATTGATGCTTCCAAGCTTAATTGGGGAGATAATAATCTATTTCCTTTTTTTTTTTTTTTTTTGCGTTTTAGGTACCACTGGAGAATTGACTGGAATGACCATTGTATCTGGAAGTTCTAACACAGGTAGCTTAACAAGAAGGGAATGCCTTTTATTTAGTGTCAAATTTCATGATATCTCTTTTAAGGCTGCTATTATAAAATAATACCCCAATATCCTCTTCAGTATTCCAAATTTCCAAATGTCACTATGCACCCATTTCTTTTTCCTCAGAGGCCACGACTGCCACAGAAGGGACTGGTACTTCTGGAGCTGGATTCAAAACTGGTGAGAATAAAGAGTCCATGATTTTGGATAATCAAGATAGGAATCAAGCTTTCCTTAAGAGTGTTTATATTTTATTTAGGTACACTGCAAGTAATTAAAAATGGATTTGCTATTAGAAACACATTTTTTGCAAATCTACTAATTCTAGAATTGAGCCTTACTGCTCCAGTTCTGAGAATGGGTTGAGATGTCTCCAGCGGTGTTACATCTATCAAAAGAATTGGAGCTGGAATTCAGAATGTTTTCCTTGTGTGTGTGTGAGTGTATGTGTGTGAAATAGAAAAAAAGCCCATGGAACCAGATGCATGCATGCATATGTGTGTATCTGTATATGGATAAGACTTTGCTTTGTCAATATTTTGTCTCACATCTAGTTTGCAACACATTTAAGCCTTATTTCTCCTTCTTTCTATCTCACATTGGGCATCACTGCAGTGCCAGGGGAACAAGTCTGTCAGCACTAGGGAAATGCATCTAGTTTCCCTTTCATTAAATTTCCAGGAGAAGCACTTGAAGTTGCAAACAGTATTTCTCTCTGTTTGCTTTGGTTATGAATTTTTGAATGCAAGCAAATACAACTAGTTTACCATCTGCCACAAACTCAGAAAAAGAGATTTCAGTTATAGCAAAGAAATGCATTATATCCATTTTAGAGTCAGGTCTCCACTTGACTTAGTCAATCACAATGGTCAGTAAGTTGAATGAAGACATGACTCTAAAAGAGATATACTTTGTTTCAGGCACCTCTGGGGTGGCACCTGGCACAACAGTTGCTCCTGGAAGTTTCAGCACAGGTCAGTCCACAGTTTCTTGACTAATTACACAGAATTCTTTCCTGGGTGCCTGAAACAAAAATGTCTTTCCCTAGGTCTCTGAACCTTTCCCTAGGTCTCTGAATCTTTTTCATTTATGTCCTTCCTCTCTCAGTAGCCACAGCTTCTCCTGGAGCAAGCAGAACGACTGGGGCTGGACCCGCTGCAGGTAAGCACTGATGAACTACTAACTGCTTCCTAGCAGACAAGGTTGTCTGCATCGTCTGTTGTTTGTACCACCTGTGAAGAGCATTTTCTGAACAAAGATTACTGGTTAAGCAGGATTTTACCTAATAACTGAATGTCAGACCCTCAGACTCTTATCTTCCTTTACTCTGCTTCAAGGAGACTTCAACATGGAGCTAAGGCCCCGAGAATTGGTTGGGTGATTAGAAAGAAATGTCTTTCTCTCATTGATATCTAAAGGAAGTAATTCAGTTATTGGAATGGTTGTCATCAAATATTCCATGAGATATAAATATACAAAAAACATACATAAATTAACTCTTGATTCTAGAACCTCTGAAAAGACCTTGTTGACATGCTGAGAAAACATAGCTCACTTACCCCATTGTAGGCCATTTTCTTTTAATTATGGGGAAAAATTGAGACATTGATTCCCATTGTTCTCTAGTTCCAAGTTCACTTTTTATTTTTTGGTAGCCACTGGCAAAATTCTTGCACATGAAAAGTATAATACTTAAAGCAATAAATAATGATGATGATAGTAGTGAGTATATCTATGATTTATGAGTTCCTTATTATATATTCTTTTTTATAAAGAATTTTATCTATCTTATTCCAATTAAAAAATGTCTAAGGTCCAACTAAGAACGATGTGAGTTAAAATGTTTTATCTCCCCATTTTAACAACTAAATGTGTATATTGAAGGTTTCTATCATGTTTACACTCAGGAGATCTTCTTTTCTGACTTAACAGGTGACAAGACATTTCAAATTGGGCTTATCTCATGTAGTGACATCACTTACTCATCTTACTTCCTTAATACTCAATTAATTTTGGTTTTCTTTTCATCTTTAAGAGACTACAACTTCCTTAGGAGGAGGTGCCACCACTGGAGCAGAAATAAAATCAGGTAAAGACTTTGGGGTATTTATACTTTTATTGTATTTTGATAGATTTCAGAGAGAAAAAATTTTTTAAATGAGCTTTTAATTTTGAAATAATTTTCAAAAAATGTGCATTGATAATGCAAAAAAAATCACTTTGATGTGAAATGTAGTTTTAAATTTCCTTTAAAGCTATAATATTTAAAGGGAAATGGAGTTTCTTCTTGGATTTGGATTTGTAAATATGTGGTCCCAAATTTCCTAAAGCTTTCCCTTTTCAGATACTAACCTCAGGGGTCTAGGACTCTGCAGAGGAGGGTTACAATAATAGCTCTGGCTCTGAAATGGTTTCCCCTTTGAAAAGAGCATAGTCTATATAACATTAGTATACTAGCTTCAACTTAGTGTAGAAATCATTAAGATGTTCATATTTTAGTTCAGAGATAAAAATTCAAAAAATGTTTTTCTTCCTTTCTCTCTTTTTCCTACTCCTTCTTCTCCTTCTCTCTTTCTTTTCATTAGGAGTCACTTCCAGAGCACCAGGAAGTAAGACAGGTAAATTTGGGGAAAGCCTTTTATATGACCTTCAACGTTGGCAAAAGAAAAAAAAATAAGTAAATAATAAGGACAGGCGTAGTAGCCATTGTGTTAACCTTGCCTTTGCCAAGGAACACGATAAACATGGAAAATGCCTCTCCTGTCAGTTATAGGTCCAGGAAGCATCTTTTCCTGCTTCAAAGACACAGATAAACATGCTGTCAGCCATATTCTTTCAAGGGTCATAAAAGTGTCTCTATGTTGATCTCTCTTTTGTCTTTCCTGCCTAGGCACAGTTGGAGTGCCCTCTGCTACAACAGTTGCCCCTGGGATCTCCAACTCAGGTAAAGCACCAGGCTGGAAGGAGCCACTGCTTGGGCGGGGCTCCTCCTCAGTGAGGTGTCTGCCTGGTGATCCTACCGTGATTTTTTCTGATTCTTCTAATCTTTGCCCTCACAGATATTGTTTTCCCTTCTTTTGCAGAGGCCACGACTTCTTTAGGAGCAAGTGGAAAAACAAGAGCTGAAATAATCACAGGTAAGCTCAGTTAAGGGACTAAGTGTACTTTGTTATAATTTCTCACATCTTGATAGAATATGGCAAAAGTTTGAATTTTCCATATTTGGCATATTAGAAAAACAGGTAGCAGATGATCAATATTTAACATCAATAAACATAGTTCAGACACTTCAACATTTCCTCCTTATGTCTTATGCTTTGGGTCTAAGGATCCTTCAGCAGGGCATCCTGGGGCCCATTCCCTGACAGTTATAGAGGTGACATGGGCCCAAATCTATCTATCTGTAATAGTACCATAAAAAGGTGACTCTGTGGCAGAGGACATTCTCTATAAACCTGCCAAAGTGGTATATGTTCCATGGACAATATATGGATTAACTCTTAAAAACAGAAACTCTAGAGGAATACATTTTCTGGTGTGTTTAAGTAAAACAAAGTTTTTTTTAATTTTTTCTATAGGAGTCTATAACCGTTTTATTAATGACAACAGATTGACCAACTAATCACAATATTCTTATTTCAGGTACTACTGAGGGCAAAACTCTGTCAGCTGGAAGTGCCCACACAGGTCAGGAATTCTGAACATGGTCCCTTGGGCAATATAGCTTATGGGGTCCCAGAATGTCCTGTGCAGTTTTCATACATCCAATTCCTTTCTTTTTCAGAAGCCACAACTTTCTTAGGAGGCAGCAGGACCACCGGAGCTGGACCACCAGAAGGTAAGCTTGTTAGGCTGTGGCCTGAGGCTCTCATCATCTCTCTAGCTGGGTAGTTACAGGGACATATAATGTGAAGCCTTTTGAGGAAGGGGGATTTTCTCTGGGACCATATTTTGTCCTGTATCTGGTCAGTTATTCTGCTTTTGATTCTACAATCTCAGATGCTCAGCCAGGCTGTCTTCAGTATTCTGGCTTATGGAGACATTTTTTTCTGATATGAGGCTTGAGAGTCTATTGCCTGTATCCCAACCCTCCAGAACTTCCAGTCATCCCAATTTACCTTTCCACCCACACTTGGAAACTTTGTATCATTTTTCTTATATATCTATATATGATGTTTATTTCCTCTCTCCCCTCACTAGAAAGCCCCATGAAGTCAACTGATTATATAAATGCCCCTAGCTGTATCAGAGAGTCCTGCTTATAAGGTTAAAAACCATTTTGTATTTCTCCTATAAGCACTTCTGGCACATCAGGAGGATAGATCCCTGAAAGAGAAACAGGTTAGGGTGACTTAAACCCTATTCTACCCTTGCCTCACAGTAAAAGGGAAATTCCATCTCAGTTTGGCCTGGAAAATGAAGTGCTAGAAGTTGTTCATTTTCCATTCACTACAGAGAGGGTATCCTCAGGAAGGGTTCCAGTGCTTGAGGGCCACACTGATATTTCCAAGCATAAATGGGGAGAAAATGCCCTGTTGCTGCATTTACCTCTTTGGCTTTTTAGGTACCACTGGAGAATCTTCTGGAACAGTCATTGTATCTGGAAGTTCTAACGCACATAGCTTAACAAGAAGAAAGTGCCTCATATTTAATGTCAGATGTAATGATATCTCTTTTAGGGCTGCTGTGATAACACCCCAATTTCTCCTCTCAGTATTCCACATTCATGGACTTCCCTACTTTATGTCTTTCCTCAGAGCGCACAGTTTCCACTGAAGAGACTGGTACTTCCAGAACTAGTTTCGAAACTGGTGAGTCTAAAAAGTCCATAATTTGGGGTCATCTAGATGAGGTCTCTTAACTTTTTCGATGGTGTTTGTGGGTTTTATAGAGACACTGCAAGTGACTCAATACAGATTTGTCATTAGGGAGAAATCTTTTTTGGAAGACTACAAATTCCAAAATTGAGCCTCTCTTCATTGAGGCTGAGGATGGGATGGGATTTCTCCATTGTTACTATTATTAGCAGCATTTGAGCTGGAAGACAGAGAGTTTTCTGTGTGTACACATGCAAATGTGCTTGAAGTATGAAAGAGCCCCATGGAACCAGGGTGCATGCATATGTATGTATCTTGCAATTGGCTTTCCCAATATTTTCTCCCACATCTGAAGTTTCAACATATTTAAACCTTTTTTCTCTCTTCTTATCTACCTCACAGTAGGCATCACTTCAACCCCAGGGAGGCAAGCAGGTGAGCATCGAGAAAATGCATCGTTTCCCTTTTATGAAATTGGTAGTTGTGCTTGAAGTTGGGAACATTTTCTATGAGCTTTGGTTATGAATTTTTGAAAGCAGGTAAATACACATAGTTCACTATCTGCCTCATGCTCAGAGAGAGATTTACGTTATAGAAAATAAATACATAAATACAGGATATTCCTTTAAGATTTGGGTCTTCATTTGACTTACTGAATCAGTATGGTCCCCTCAATTCCTTTGTTTTTCAGGCACCCCTGGGGTGGCACCTGGCACAACAGTTGCTCCTGGACCTTTCAGCACAGGTGAGTCCACAGTGTGGTGGGGAATCCTTTCATGGTGTTTGCCTTTGGGTGTTTCAGTGCAGAAGCACCACCATTTCATTCCATTCCCTGCCCCCTGAATCTTTTCCATTCATATCCTTCCTCTCCCAGCAGCAACAATTTCTCCTGGAGCAAGTGGAATGGCTGGGCTTAGCACCACTTTAAGTAAGCACTGAAAATCCACTATCTCCTTCCCAGTAGACGACATTGCCTGAATCACATGTAGTATTTGTACTTCCTGTAAAGAGTCTTTTCTGAACATAGATTACCAGATAGGCAGGATATTACCTAAATGACTAAAGGCTCGACACTTGAATTCCTTTATTTTTCTTTCTTCTATTCCATGGAGACTTTACCATGAAGCTAAGACACTGAGAATCAGTTGTGTGGTTGGAGAGAAATGTTTTTTATTTCTCTCATTGATATATAAAGGAAATAATTGAGTCATTGAAAGTTTTGTCATTAAATTTTCTGAGACAGAAATGATGCACAGAAAACATATATATGTTAAATCCTGATTCTAGAAACCTCTGAAAAGAGCTTACTGGCACATTGAGAAAACACATAGTTCCTCCACCTTCATGATATGATATGTTCATTCTCGTTATGGGTAAAGAATTCAGATATTGATTCCTATCACTTTCTAATTCCTCATTATGGGTAAAGAATTTAGATATTTATTCCTATCACTTTCTAACTTAGCCACTGGCAAAATTCTTGCATGTGAAAAGTCTAATACTTGAAGCAATAAATAATGATGGTAATAACAATAAGCATATCAATAATTTAGGAGTTCTGACTGTACACCTTTTGAAATTAAGTCTATATAACTTATAATTAAGAAACATTTGAATTTCGATTAAGAACAATATGATTTGAAAATGTTTTTTCTCCCCATTTTAACAATTAAACTTGGATATTGAAGGTTTCCATCATGTTTACAGTCTGAAGGATTTCTCTTCTGACTTGATAGTAGGTGACAAGACATTTTGAATTGGGCTTATTGCTTGTCTTTACATCCACTTAGCTCATCGTCTTCCTTAATAGTCAATTAATTTTGGTTTTCTTTCCATATTTAAGAGACCACAACTTCCCTAGGTGGAATTGGTACCACTAGAACTGAAATAAAATCAGGTAAATATTTTGCAGTATTCATTATTTATCATTGTATTTTGATAGATTTCTTAGAGGAACTTTTTTAACAATGAGTTTTTAAGTTACAGAAAATCTGTATTGATGATCCAAAGAATCACTTTAATGTGGAGTGTAGTTTTAAATTTCTTTTAAAACTTTAATACTTCAAGAAAAGCAGAGTTTCTTCTTGGATTTGGATTTGTAAACATGTGGGCCCAAATTTCCTGAAGGCTTTCCCTTCTCAGAGACAAACTTCAGGGTTTTAGGCCTCTGGAGAGGAGAGCTGCAGTAACTTTGGCTCTGAAATAATTTCCCTTTGAGAAGAGCATAGTCTGCTTATCATCATAGTATTCACTTGCATTCAGCATAGAAATCATTAGGTTGTCATACTTTACTTCAGATATAACAATTCAAAATTTTCTCTTTCTTCTTTCTCTTTCTTTCTTCTTCATACTTCTTCTTCTCTCTTTTTCCTTTCATTAGGAGCCACCACTGGAGCACCGGGAAGTAAGACAGGTAGAATTTGGAAATGCCTTTTTTATGACCTTCAACACTGGCAAAAATAAATCACCAGGGCAGGCATATTATCTTTGGCCTTGCAAAGGCAGCCAGAAAACACAAAATATGCCTGTCCTCCATAGGTCCAGGAAGTGTCTTTCCTGCTCCAAAGTCAAAGATAGGCATGTTGCTCACCACCTTCTTCTAAGGGTTACAAAAAAGTTCCCATCGTTCTCTTTTTTTTCCTGCTAGGCACAGCTGGAGTGCCCTCTGCTACAACAATCACCCCTGGGAGCTCCAACTCAGGTAAAGCACCAGGCTGGGAGGAACCACTGCTTAAAAAGGGCTCCTCAATGGGTGTCTGCCTGGGTGATCCTACCATGCTTTTCTCAGATTCTTCTAATCTTTGCCCTCACTGCTATTCTTTTTTTCCTCTTTTGCAGAGACCGCAACCTCTGTAGAAGAAAGTGGAATAACAAGTGCTGAAATAGTCACAGGTGAGCTCTCCTAAGGAACTAAGTATACTTTGTAATAGCTTCTCATGTCTTGCTAGAAATACAGCAAAACTCCTTGAATTTCCCGTATCTGGCATATTAAGTACGAATTCAGCAGATGTTCAGTATTTAACATCATTAAATACAGTTCATAAACTTCAACTTTTCCTCCTTATATCTGTGCCTTGGGCCTAAAGACACTTCATCAGGTCATCATGGGACCCATTCCCTGATAGTTAGAGAGGTGACTTGAGCCTAAATCTATCTCCCTGTATCTAAACATTAAAAAGGGGCCTCAGTTGTGATTTTTGTAAACTTGCCAAGGAAACTGTATGTTCCATGGACAATATATGGATTAACTCCTTAAAATACAAAACCCAGAAAAATAAATTTTTAGTATATGGATGCAAATACTATTTTTTCCTTTGTCCTTTAAGAGCTTATTCTCATATCATTAAGGACCACAAATTGACCAACTGACCACACAAACTTTTCTTATTTCAGGTATTTCTGAGGGCATCTCTGGAAAAACTCTGGAAGCTGGAGGTGCCCACACAGGTCAGGAATTCTAATCATGACCCATTGAGCAGTCTGTTGTCTGAGGGCCACAGAATGTCACGTGTAGTTATTATACCTCCAATTCCTTTCTCTCTCAGGAGCCACAACTTTCTCAGGAGGCAGCGGGACCACCCGAGCAGGTCCACCAGGAGGTGAGCTTGTTAGGCTGAGGCCTGAGTCTCTCATCTCTCTATTTGGGTGGCTGCAGTGAACTATTGAAGCCTATGATTGATTTTGAGGGAGAGGGATTTTCTCTGGGGCCATATTACGTCATATCTACCTGACGAGTGATTCTGCTTACGATTCCATGACCTCAGATGGCTCAGCCAGATTGTCTACAGTATCCTGGCTTATGGAGACATTTTTTTCTGATAGGAGGCTTAAGAGTCCATTGCATGTATCCCAACCTTCCAGAACTTCCTGTCCTCATTTTCCCAGTTTACTTTTCCACCCACAGCTTGACAGTTTCTATTATGTTTCTCATTCAATTTTACAAGATGTTTGTTTCCCCCCTCCCCTCACCACAAAGCTTCATGAAGACAACTAATTATTAAATGCCCCAAGTTGTATCAAAGAATTCTACTTATAAAGATAAAAGTATGCTTTGTTTCCTCTGTGGGCACCTCTGTCCCACCAGAGGGATATGCTCCTAGAAGGGAAACAGGTTAGGGTGATTTAAACTCTACTCTACCCTTGTGTCATAGTGAAAGAGAAACCCAGTAGCAACACATTCATCTCTGGTTGGCCTGGAAAATGAAGTGCTAGGAAGTTGTTCATATATATATATATATATATATATATAAATATTTATTTATATATATATGATAAAGAATAAAAATACTGATTCCTCTAATTCCAAGGTCCAATGTGGTAGCTGCTATTTTTTGTTTGTTTGTTTTGAAAAGGCGACATCCAAGCAAAGGCAATTTGTGGCCAGCCCTGAGATTGGCCCACTTCCCTTCCAGGAAGGGGCTTCCAGTCTTTAGGGCTGCCATATTGATGCTTCCAAGCTTAATTGAGGAGACAATACTCTATTATTCCATTTCCCTTTTTTTCAATTTCAGGTATCACTGGAGAATCTTCTAGAACGACCATTATATCTGGAAGTTCTAACACAGGTAGCCTAACAAGAAGGAAATGTGTCTTACTTGATGTCAAATGTCATGCTATGTCTTTTAGAGCTCTTATGATAAAATACCAACCTAGTATCCTCTCCCAGTATTCCAAATTCACAGACTTCACCACTGTATTTCTTCCCTCAGAGGCTACACATTCCATTGAAGAGATTGGTACTTCTGGAACTGGATTCAGAACTGGTGAGAAGAAACAACCCCTAAGTATTAGGTTTCTTAAGCTTTCCTTAAGACAGTTTGTGTTTTATTTAGGGATGCTGCAAGAGATTCAAAATAGTTTTGTTGGTGGAGATACAATTGTTTTTGAAATCTAATAATTCTAGAATGGAGACTTACAGCTTTATGTCTGAGGATGGAATGGAATTTCTCCACTTGTATTACAACTGTCACTAGCATTTGAGGTGGAATTCAGGAAGTTTTCCATGAGAGTGTGTGAAATACAAAAGAGCCCCATGGACTCAGGATAAATGCATTTATATATGTGTGCATGCTTACACATGTTCTTGCTCTTTATCTTCTCCTACATCTGATGGTTTCAGCACATTTAAAATATTTTCCCCCTCCTTTCTGTCTCATAGCAGGCATCACTACAGCTCCAGGAAAGCAAGCAGGTGAGCACTGGGGGAATCCATCTAGTTTCCCTTTTATCAAACTCCAGAAGTGCCTGAAGCTGAGGATGCTGTCTCTATCTGCTCTAGTTGTGAAGCATTGAAAGCAGACCGATGCGTCTAGTTCACCAACTGCCATATCCTCAGGGAAAATGACTTCTTTTATGGAAAATAAATCTAGTATATTCCGTTTAGATTCAGGTCTTCCTTTGACTTACTCAGCATGGTCACCCCAATCCCTTTGTGTTTCAGGCACCTCTGGGGTGGCACCTGGCACAATAGTTGTCTCTGGAAGTTTCAGCACAGGCAAGCCCACAATTTTCCACAGAGCCATTTCTTGGCTGCTTTCTACAATAATATGTCTTCCCTTTTGCTGCTTCTATGCAAAAGTAGCACCATTTACTTTCTAAATCCCAGAATTTTTTCCATTTTTTTTCTGCTCCCACAGCACTTACAACTTCTCCTGGAGCAAGTGGAGTGACTGGCACTGGACCCACTGCAGGTAAGCCCTGATGAAGCACTTCCTGCTTCCCAGTAGACAACATCTCCTGAATAACATCTAATGTCTGTACTTCCTGTGAAGAGTATCTTCAGAACAAGCATTGTCAGATTGGCAGGATTTTACTAATAACCACGTGACACTCAGAGTCCTTTATCTTCCTTTCCTCTGAGTCAGGGATACTTCACCATGGAGCTAAGCCACAGATAATCAGTTGGGCGATTGAAGGGAAATGTCTCTCTTTCTTTCTTTCTTTCATTGATATATAAAGGAAGAAATAAAGATAGTAAAATTTTTGTCATTAAATTTTCTGAGATAGAAATGGTACATGGAAAACAGATATAGATTCAACTCCTCATTCTAGAAACATCTAAAAACAAGAGTTTGTTGCCACATTGAGAAAACACAGTTTCCTCACCTTCATTCTCAGCCATTTTATTTCTTATTTTGGGTAAAGAATAAAGATATTGATTCCTGTCACTCTCTAATTCCAAGTTCCTGCTGGCAATTTTTTTTTTTTTTTTTTTTGAAGAGGGGACATTTAAGCAAAGGCAATTTGTGGCCAGCCCTGAGACTGCTCCCACCCCCTCTGGCAAAATTCTTGCACATGAAAATTCTGATACTTAAATCAATGAAAATGATGATACTAGTAGTGAGCGTATCTATCATTGATAAGCTCCTTACTATAAACATTTTTATTAAGAAGTTTATATGTCTTATTCCAGTTAAGAACTACCGAAAGTCTAATTAAGAACTGTATGGGTAAAAATCCTTTCATTCCCTATTAAAAAAATAAACATATGTACATCACTTTTACAGTCAGAAAAGTTTGTTTTCTAACTGAGTAGGTGGCAAGACAGTTTGAACTGAGTTTCTCTCTTGCAATGACATTAGCTTAGCTCATCCCTTTTCCTTAACACTCAATTAATTTTGGTTTTCTTTCTATCTTTAAGAGACCACAGCTTTCCTAGGAGGAAGTAGCACCACCAGAGCAGAAATAAAATTAGGTCACGATTATGGAGGTTTCATTATTCACTGTTGTATTTTGATAGATTTGTTAGAAGAAACCTTTTTTTGATAATATTTTTATTTTGGAATAATTTTGAAATATAGAAAGTTTGCATAGATTATGTAAAGAATCTCTTTAATGTGGAGTAGAGTTTTTCATTTCCTTTTGAAGCTATTTCAAAGGAACCAGGATGTCCTTTCAGATTTGGAACATCTTAAGCCCAAATTTCCAAAAGGCATTTTCTTCTCTAGGACTAGCCTCAGGGTTTGAGGCTGCTAGAGAGAAGAGTTACAGTAGCTCTGGCTCTGGAAGGCTTTTTACTTTGAAAATAACCCAGTATGTATAACATTACAGTACCGATTTGTATTCAGCATAGAAATCATTACGATGTTACATTTTAGTTGAGGGGTTAAAATTCAAAATTTCCTTTCTTCTTTTTCTTTTTTTTTTCCTTTTCCACCTGTTCCTTCTTCTTTCTTTCTCTTTTCCTTTTCATTAGGAGCCACCACTGGAGCACCAGGAAGTAAGACAGGTAAACTTGGAGAAAGCCTTTGATATGACCTTCAGTCGTGGCAAAAATAATCAGAGCAGACACATTAGCCACTACATTAACCTTGGCCTTACAAAGGCACATGGTAAACATAGAAAATGCCACCTTCTGTCAGATATAGATCCAGGAAGTATCTTTTGCTGCTCCAAGGTCCCAGGTAGACATGATGCTGGCCACATTCTTCTAAAGGTTACAAATGCATCACTCTGTTGATCTTTTTCTTTTCTTTCCTGCCTAGGCACAGCTAGAGTGCCCTCTGCTACAACAGTTGCCCCTGGGAGCTCTGACTCAGGTAAAGCACCAGGCTGGGAGGAACCACTGCTTGGAAAGGGCTCCTCAATGAGGTGATCCTACCATTCTTTTCTTAGATTCTTCAAATCTTTGCCCTCACTGATATTCTTTCCCCCCTTTTTCTCAGAGGCTACAACTTTCTCTGGATTCACTGAAGCAGTAACAGTCCCAGGTAAAAATGGGAAGTTTGTGAAATATTTCTAAAAATTCAAATTGATCGAAATAAATACAAAGCAATTTCCTATGGAAATCTTTGTCCAAGCCTCCAAATTTCAGAATAATAGTGTTTTACCCAATTTTTTACATTTATAGACAGCAGAATATGCTCTCTTTTCTCTTCTACAGGATCCATGACCACTGCGCCGGGGAGCCAACTGTCCAGCAGTCAAACAGGTGAGCATGGGAAAGTATGAATATCTTCCTGATATTTACCAGTATTCAAGAATAAGGAGACTTCCAATGTGAGAGCTTAGCCTTTGCTTTTTTTTCTTCTATTTTGGAATGAAGTATCCTTGTTGAAAGGTATATGAGGAATTCTGGAATAGGCCCTCTGAGTTAATAAAAAACACAGTGATTTTCTTCTTAACCCTTCTGTTAATGTAAAGAAAATGACATAAATTTATTCCTCTTAGTGATTCCAGGTGCCAGCGGCATCATCTCTCACACAACTGTTGAACCTGGAAGTTCTGTTATAGGTAAGTGAATATTTTCAATGGCGGTCATCTCTTGTTTAACTTCAAGGAGGAATATGTAACCCTAAACACACTTTCTGCTTCATTTCCCCTTCCAGAGGCCAAAGCTTCCTTAGAAGCCATCAGAGTCACTGTTGTGAAATCAGTGAGAACTAGGACTAGGGGTGTCAGAGGTTAGCACAGCCATTGAGTAGTATCATGAGTTTGCCTTGGGATCTGAAAGATTATCGTATGGGGACACCTGTCCTTTCATCCATACCTCTGAGCTGACTTCTGCACCAGCCTTTTCCAGTGCTTTGCCTTAGGACATAAATTTCTAGAGAGGGAAGTAGGAGCAGTAATTCCTTGGACAATTAACCTAGTGGATATTATAGGTATTACTAGAAAATCAGCAGGAGTCCAGATTGGCCCAGAAGGTTCTGACTCAGGTGAACAGATGACTAAAATGAACTCAGAAATTGTTTGCTTTCCATTTTGAGCTTTAAATATTAAGTTGCTGAATGGTTGCCTCAGTGATTGATTACAGGTCAAAACATACTTAGAATCTTTTTTCCCACTTTGAATCATCAGGAACCATCTCTGATGCATCAGACAATCAAGTCACTGGAAGCAAAACAGGCAAATATGTTAAAGAAATTCTTTTGTCTCACATTTGAGAGTTTTACATTATATGTGTTAAGTAAGCCCCCTAGCAGATAGGCTTCATGAGACAAAAGAAGCTGATGCCTAGTACTAAGCAGGTCAGCTGACCTCTGGAACTAAACTGATCCCTAGTACTAAACAGGGCTCAATGAATATTTATTGAATGAATGAAATAATTAAAACATAGGAAAGATGCATAATTCAATCCAGGAGCAAAAGGGCCAATGGAAGAACATGCTCATAGGACAGCCACATAGACAAAGCAGTCTATGTGAATGGTGCCTCCCAGAGCTGGCCAGTGCACAGAATGAGTGATATGGCCCTGGAAATGCAGATTTGTTTTATACCTAAATTGTGTCTATGCAAAAGATTCTTCATGATATCTCCATGGCCTTCTCGTTTCAGGCACTACTGGTGTGGCCTTAAGCACAACTGTTGCACCTGGAAGTTCCAGTACAGGTAGGCTAACAAGCTGAGAAGAAACCTCCTGTCTAGAAATAAGATGGCAAAAATGTCCTTCGCATTGCTCTTCTTGTGTAAGAGCATCACAGTATATTTCCCCGTCCTTCTGAATCCTCACTCTTTCCTCGTTGCTTCTCTTTTTCTTCCAGAAGCCACAACTTCCACGGGAGTCGGTAGAACCACTGTAGTGGGATGGAAAACAGGTGAGAATGAATGGTGTGTATGGTGTGTGTGTGTGTGTGTGTGTGTGTGTTGTGTGTGTGTGTATGTGTGCATGCATGCATGACTTTTGAATGATAATAAATTACAATTATACTTTGCTTCTTAAAGGATAGTTTTATAAGGAGGAGCTTTTGAGGAACTCTCATCCAGGATCAGTGTTTTGCTACTTGATTTTGAATGAACTTGGGCAGATATCCTTCCATTTCCAGGGCCAAGCGTCACATATAAGAGTCTCTGCAAATGAGAGTGAAAGTGATAATTGTATGAAAAGTTTCTTTTTCCATTTTAGATATCTCCATTTTAGGTATATGAGAGGAAGGAATTACTGGCTCAGAGAGTTCTATTTCAGTTCAATAGAAGGCCAAAATGCACACAGAAGATTTGCCTCAAACGATCTGTTTTTCCTTGAGTAAAATAATGACTGAAATGTACAGTCGTTGTTCCTATAACTCTAGTCTACCTTTATATTCAAAAGTTTTTCTATGTTTATCCTTTTAGGAGCTACCACTAGAGGATCAGCAAACCAAGGAACTGGAAGCACAATAGGTAAATATGGCAGCAAAGTGGACCACTTGTCTTACTGCCATTGAATTCTAGAAAAATGGAGTCCTCTGTTGAGGAATTTGCATCTTTATTTGGTTTGGGAATAAAACTATGCATGAGAAAATACAGGCCGGGCACGGTGGCTCAACACTGTAATCCTAGCACTTTGGGGGGCCAAGGTGGGTGGATTACCTGAGGTCAGGAATTCAAGACCAGCCTGGGCAACATGGTGAAACCTCTTCTCTACTAAAAACACAAAAAATTATCCAAGTGTGGTGTCAGGAGCCTGTAATCCCAGCTACTCAGGAAGCTGAAGCAAAAGAATCACTTAGACCAGGGAGGTGGAGGTTGCAGTGAGAGATGGTGCCATTGCACTCATGTCTGGATGACAGAGTGAGACTAGGGTAGCTTCTGGCATCACACCTAAACCTGCCAGCTGGTGAGAGTCCTCCACGGAATGATTTAGTAGTAAAGTGCCTCCCGTGGCACTGTTATTATGAAGAGTGCATCCTTTAGTTTACTCACAATTCTAATTCCTCTCACCTCATATTTTCGTACCTTTTCTCTCTTAGAAGCTACAACATCCTTTAGAGACACTGGGACCACAGGATGTGGAATGAATACAGCTGAGCACACACGCTTCGTAACCTGTCCACTTTTCACTTAAAATAATATCAATAGTAGCTAACAGTTTCTAGCATGAACTGTGTTCCAGGCACTAGTCCGCATTTTTGTCATTATTGTTTCTTTTATCTCTTATCCCAAATTGTGAGGTAAGCACTGATGTTCTCACAGACTTTCCAGATGAGGAACAGATTGTTTTCTCATCCAGAAAGTCTGTGAGAACTTTCCACAGATTATGGCTCAAAGATATTAACTAACTTATTGACGATCACACTGCATGTAAACAACAGATCTCAACTCAGGCACTCTGGCTTCAAAATCCATCCTCTTAACCATGATGCTAAATCATCACTCACTCATTTGTCATGTCTCCCAACTCTTCTAGAACACTGCAATTTCTACAACACCAATATTTTACCCAAATGAAAATTCGATAGGTAATCAATCCTGCTTTGTTCCTTCTTCTAGGGATATCAGGTGGCCAAGTCACTAGCACTCAACTAGGTAAGTAAAGTACCTTTGTTTTCCTGACGGCCCAGAAAAAGAGATGTTCTCATTGAGACTCCACCACCACCTCACACTGCACCCTTCCCCCATCAAATTTATAGTGAGAATGGAGCATTACATTTGAAAGCACACAAAATAACTTTGGAACAGGCCATCCCTGAAAATGGTCTTTTTTCATAATGAAGGATTCTGTAGTTGCCTCATTCTATTATAGATTGCGCCTTTATTATAAGAATAAACTTGATATAGTGGTACCGTTCCATTTTGTTTTAGGTACTACTGGAGTGGTCTCTGGCAACATGTCACCTAGCAGTTCCAACACAGGGGAGTCAATGAGGAAACAGATGCTATTTTCTTTTCTCGTTGGGGGGCTAACTTGGAAGCAATGAGACATTATATCTTTTGATGATTTTCTGTTAGCCCACACTAATTTCTTTCTGTTTATTCTTTGTATTTATTTCTTTTTAAACTTCCATGGAAGGAAGAGTAACCAATGAAAGTGGAATTGGCAACCATATATATATATGAATATGAATGAAATATATATATATATATATATATATGAATGAGAGAAATAATGAGAAATGAGAAATATATATCTTCTTGTGCCAGTCTCACTCTGTTGCCCAGGCTGGAGTAGAGTGGTGTGATCTTGACCTACAGCTAATTCCATCTCTAGGGTTTAAGCAATTCTCCTACCTCAGCCCAAGTAGCTGGGATTATAGGTGTCCACCACAACAACCAGCTGTTTTTTTTTTTTTTTTTTAATTTTTAGTAGAGATGGGTTTTCACCATGTTGGCCAGGCTGAACGTGAACTCTTGTCCTCAAGTGGTCTGCCTGCCTTGGCCTCCCAAAGTGCTGGGATAACAGGCGTGAGCTGCCACACCTGGCCAAAGCATTGGCAACTCTTGAGTTCCTACAAATCTACATTGGGTTTTTGTCTTTTCAGAGATATTTGTTAAACAAAGCTTATATTTATAAAGTCACATTATTTCTCCTGGGTCCCAACCTTATACTTTAATTATAGAAAAAGAGGCTCAGAGTCCAGAAAGATTCTCCTTTTAACACTCAAGCTATACTCTGGTACATACAAAGGCAACATAAATACATATAGCCATATTTAAGGCAGCAGATAGAAGTTACTCTGGAGGTTTAGATCTGTCATGTTTTGGAATTCAGATGTTATAAGTTTATTGAATCCAGTTGAATACCTTTACACAAATATTGTTTTCATTTCTTAATGTTGTTAGAAGCTACCAGTGGCACATCTGAGAGACAAAACCCTGGAAGTGAAACAGGTAAACATGAAAGAGACCCAGACACCTCTGACATTTAACTGTAAGGAGGCAAATAAGGCTGGACTATGAACTAATGTGTTTACTGTGACTCTGAATTTAAAAATGGAGGACACTTCATCATGACAGGATAGCACAAGGAAGGTCTGCTGCTGCTTTCAAGTCATAGACAGTTATATTGGCCATGCTCTTCTTGGGATGGTAAATGCATCACCATTTGGGTTCTTTCTCTCTCCCTGCTTTAGGCACCACTGGTATAGTCTCTGGCACAACAGTTGCATCTGGAAGTTCCAATACAGGTAACCTAATAGGAATAAAAGGGGCCTCAGTCAGGAATATGACTGAGTCCCTCCCCCTAAACATATACACTCCTTACCATACCCTGGAAACACCACCAGATTGTCTCAGTTATAGGATTCTTCTGAATTTAATTTTTTCTCCTTTTACTTAGAGGCCACAACTTCTTTGGGCAATGGTGGAACCACTGAGGCTGGAAGTAAAATAGGTGGGCACTAGCAATCAAATAATTATTTTTCTTTTCATCTTAAATTAAATCAAATGGGCTATAATGAACTTAGTGGACATTTTACTCAGTCACTAAGTACATATTACCAGGAAATTAACAGTTTACTCCCTGTGAATTTTCCTTTACTTAAAACTTGCAAATTAATGACATAATGAGACCATGCATGATGTATCACTTAAAGCAAAAACGTTCCTGATATAAACCTTTTAGTTCACTTGAGAAACCTATTTTTTTTAAAAACCAAATCCTAATTTTAGATAAAAGGGAATTCACAAATTGATTCTCTCCTCTTGTGATTTCAGTTACCACTGGGATAACTACTGGTACAACCATTGTACCTGGGAGTTCCAACACAAGTAAGTCATAAAAGAGTTGGAGAAACCTGCCTATGTGAACTTCCGGGGACCTAATGGCTCCCATAGAGATATTATATAAAGTAATACTGCTACACATTTTTCCAAATGTCTGCATTCTATACCACTTTCTCCTATTTCTTCTCAGAGGCTACGGCTTCTACAGATGTTACAACTGGAGTTGGAATAGCAACTGGTGAGTGGTTTGCTTTGGGTTCTCAACAGTTCTTTGCTCGAGTTTGTAGTAGTGATGAATGAATAGGAAGATGGGCAGAAATAGGATTTTGTATTTCATTTGAACAAACGCTATGTCAGGTAAATCAAGCTTGGGCCCTTGCTCTTCAGACTGATTTTTTCCATACACTATCCTTTTATTTTTTCAATTGTTTCAACTTTTATTTTAGATTTGGAGAGTACGTGTGTAGGTTTGTTACATGTCCTGAGTATATTGCATGATGCTTAGGTTTAGAGTATGAATGATCCTGTCACCCAGGTACTGAGCAGAGTACCCAGCAGTCAATTTTGCAACCCCTCCCCTCTCCTTCTTCCCCTTTTTAGTAGTCCCCAGTGTCTATTGTTGCCATCCTTATGTCCATGAGTATCCAATATTTAACTCCTACTTCTAAGTAAGAACATGCAGTATTTGTTTTTCTGTTCCTGCATTAATTCACTTAGGATAATGGCCTCCAGCCACATCTGTATTGCTGCAAATAACATAATTTTGTTCTCTCTTATGGTTGCATAGTATTCCATGGTGTGTATATACTACATTTTTAAAATCCAGTTCATCATTGATGGGCACCTAGGTCGATTCCATGTCTTTGCTACTATGAATAATGCTGTGATGAAAATTCAAGTGCATATGTCTTTTTGGTAGAACAATTTGTTTTCTTTTGGATAGATATCCACTAATGAGATTCCTGGGTCAACTGGTAGTTCTGTTTTCAGTTCTTTGAGAAACCTCTGGACTGCTGTCCATGGTGGCTGGATGAATTTACATTCACATCAACAATGATTAAGCATTCCCTTTCTCTGCAGCCTTACCAGCATCTGTTGTTGTTTTTTTAATTTTTTCATAATAGCCAGTCTGACTGGTGTAATGTGATATTTCATTTCAGTTTTCATTTACACTTCTTTAATGATTAGTAATGTTAAGCATTTTTTCATATGCTTGTTGGTGATGTGTATGCTTTCTTATGAAAATGTCTGTTTGTATCCTTTGCCCACTTTTTAAAAGGGTTTTTTTTTTTTGGCTGGTTAATTTGTTTATATTCCTTATAGATTCTGGGTATTACACCTTTTCCAGATGCATAGTTTGCAAGTATTTTCTTCCATTCTGTAGGTTGTCTGTTTACCCTGTTGATAGTTTCTTTTGCTGTGCAGAAGTTCTTTAGTTAGATTAGGTCCCATTTGTCAATTTTGTTTTGTTGCAATTTGGCATCTTTGTTATAAAATCTTTGCCAGGGCCTATATCCAAAATGGTATTTCCTACATTATATTCCAGGGTTTTCATAGTTTTAGGTTTAAAATTAAAGTCTTTAATCTATCTTGAGTTGATTTTTGTATATGGTGCGAGGAAAGGGTCCAGCTTCAATCTCCTGCATATGGCTAGCCAGTTATGCCAGCACTAATTATTGAATAGGGAGTCATTTCCTCATTGCTTGTTTTTATTGACTTAGTTATTTAGAGAAGGGGTGCCAGAAGTGAAAAATGTATAGAGTTAAGTGTGACAAAAGCTCTCATCACTTAGAGAAAGGGCACCCAGAAGTGAAAAATATATCAGGGCCATAGGAGAATCTTCTGTGAACAAGGGATTGCTACCATAGGAAGTTCTTAGTGTTTCCATGGCGGGGGTGTGAGCTAGCATTAGTAGATGTGTCAGTATATTCCAAGTGCTTTGAGACTCTTGTTCCACATGCAGGTGTCTTAAGTAAATGCTCCTCTTGTTTTTGTTTAAACCAGAACAAAAACCAGAACCTTTTTGTTCTGGTTTAAACAAAAACCAGAAAATATTTATTGTTCTTCTCTTGTTCATTTTAGTTTCTTCCAAGGGAGCATCTGACACAACCACTGCTCCTGGACCTCCTACCACAGGTAAGTGCAATAGTAATAAATGATTTTTTCTTGGTGGCACCTCAGAAGACAGGATAGTTTATCTGCAGTTCTCACAGGATAGTTTATCTGCAGTTCTCACAGGTTACTGGGGTTGGGGTTGTTGTATTTGTGGGGCTGAGTATGGCGGGGAGATGTTGGTGAAAGGTTACAAAATTTCAGTTAGACAGGAGGAGTAAGTTCAAGAGTTCTATTGTACAACATCGTGACTACAGTTAATATATTCTTGAAAAATGCTAAGAGGGTGGTATAACGTAATTCTTCAGAACATCATGTACAAATACATAGTTTCATCTGTCCATCTAAAACATGCAGAATAAAAAACTGCTTTTAAATGAAGTTAAGCTCTAGCTTCACCAGTCCCCTGTAGTCACCACTGTTGTTCCTTTTTAAGCAGTCACAGCTTCCACAGCAGTAAAAGAAACCTCTGGAACTGGAGTGCAAACAGGTGAGTGAACGGTATGGCTTTGATTATACATAAGAAGTGGAATTAGGAGGAGGAGGGTAGGAGAGAAGTGAAAGACAGAGGCCAGGATAATAGCATTCAACTTCCTCTTGGAACACAACTTTGAAATTCCACTAAAGATACCTTTTTTTATCTCCTCTGTGAGTTTTTGGGTCAGACTTTCACTGGGGCTCCCCTCCTAAAGACTTCTTCATGCAGATGGAAAATTCTGAGCAGGGAATTATGAGGGTGCTTGTCATATAATGTCTTAAATTTCCTTTTGCAAGGCTCTACCTTGGTTGCAGCTGGAGTCACAACAAGACCACAAGTATCCCAGCCAGGTAAAATGAAATGATCCAATTCAACAGGAATACATTGTCTGTTCCACACAAAGCTGTCCTTGAATATGAATTTGTGCCATTATTTGGGCATGTACATAAACACAGACTTGAAATGTGTATGTTATTCTAATTTTAAAAATCACAATACCATCGTTTTATTTCCTCTCAGAAACCACTGTTGTAACAACCAAAGAACAAGAAACTGAAAATAAAACAGGTCAGTACAGGAAGAGCCCTAATTTCTTTGTGACTATTTCAACTAATATTTCTTTAGTAGTTTATATGTGCTAAACTCTCTAGCAGACATTAAAAGCAAAACATCAGTAAGATGCAGCACTTGCCATTTTTTAATTTGTGTGCATGGGATGAAGAAATTCTTTTGGGCACAGATAGCATATATTTAGTGATACTCAAAAATATGCATAAAAAATGAGGTCCCGGGGGTGGAGTGAGAGTAGAGTGTTAATTTCTGCTTGCCAATTGGTAGTATGGAGTAAAGGCATGAGAAATGAGATGATTGAGTTTAAAGTTGGCATGGATGGGAAGGGTATTCCTGCCAAACAGCCCTTGGAAAGAAAGATATGACCTCATGGGTGAGTTCAGGAATCAAGCAGATGTTGGCAATGACTGAATGAGGCTGGGGAGAAAATGAGATTGAAAACGTAAGTAGAGGAAAGTTCATAAAGAACCAAACTTAACCAAGGCTTTATCTTTATGGGATACCCTTAAAGATTTGATCAAGAGACTGACATGATCGGAGAGTGGACAAATTACTTGGATACTGATATATTGATTAGGAGACTGTTCTCTATGACTCCTCTTACAAATATCTTCAATGAACTCTTGCAATACTGGTCAGGGAATATTTTCTCCTGTATTTATTCCTAATAGATCTTTTTTTAAATCTCCTATTGCTGGTTTCTGTTAATTTGCAAAGCATTCATAATTAGGACCTGGCTTAGCCTCCCAATGTAAAGAGTTAGAGACATTTGATCCCCCAAATTTCTATATTTTAATTCATTTTGTAATCTATATTTTGGGCTTATTAGTTGTCACTTTACCTAAACTTGTAGAAATCTTAAGTTCTTTTCAAATATTTTGTTGCTCCTAGGTCAGCCTTTTTATTGGTAGTTTTTAAAAACAGAGTCTTGCTCTGTTGCCCAGACTAGAGTGTGCCGTGACATGATCTTGGATCACTGTAAGCTCTGCCTCTTGGGTTCCAGAGATTCTCCTGCTTCAGCCTTCCTCATAGCTGGGACTACAGGCAAGCACCACCATGCCCACCTAATTTTTGTATTTTTTGCATAGATGAGGTTTCACCATGTTGGCCAAGCTAATCTCGAACTCCTGGCCTCAAATTATCTGCCCACCTCAGCCTCCCAAAGTATTGCAATTACAGGCATGAGCCACTGTGCCTGGCCAAGTTGCATAAAATATCAAGTTTGTGTTTAGAAGTTTTGGAATAAAACTTAAAATTTATGAGTGAATTGTTGGATTGACTAAAATATGTGATGTATAAAGGCTAAAAAGATATATATTACCAGTTTAAAGCATTTGTTGGCGTAGAAGATAGAGCAAAATTGAAGTATTTCAAGAAGATAAGGAGAATAAAAGTTCTTAAATGACTAAAACTGGGTAATTAATAGTACTCATTTTATCCTGTATCAGAATTACCTTTTTTCCCTTTTTAACCTCTTTTATTGTTTCATTCATTAGAACTGCCTTCCAAAACATTTTTGAAGAGTTTACCTTGATGTTTTCTTCTTTTGATTCTTTTCTCTCATTAAAATTTGAGGTCCAAAGGCAATACTCTGTACAGTGGAATTTCAAATACCATGAGGAGCAGGATGGGGAGATAGATGGGAACATATCTCTCTGTAAGACTGGCTATCTAGACAATTATTTTCAGCAATAGAATAATGAATTAAATAACTATAGTTGCCCAGTGCTATTTCAGTAACTTCAGAGACTAATTTAAGGTTCCTCTTTTTATACAGAATGTCTAATATCACTTCCACCAGCTCCAGGTAAGAATACCATGACTTCAGAATCATTCTGCATTAATGGTTTCTCTTGTAAATCCAATTTCAGAGTCACACTTGTAAAAGTCACTAGCAACGGAAATGTTATAAAATAGGAAAACTTGTATTGGATTAACTTAGCTTTTATTTGACAAATAAATAGTGAGTTCATTTCCTCATTCACAAACCAATGAAGCCCAACCAAACAAATATACCTTGTTATTTAGATCAAAACAACGTTTACCTACTAAAGGTTTCATATAATTATGATACCTTGACCAAAATATTGTCACTTGATAGTGAGCATTTTTAAAAACTAAGTAATTACAGCTTGAAGGATGAACTGTAGTAGAAAAAGAGATCAGTTTAGCTAGAGTTACATAATTTTAGAGAACTTTAAGTCCCTACCATTTTCAAGACAATGCGGTAAGTAAAAAAGAAATACTAAAAAATAATTTTCTGACCTTAGTACCTAGTGGGAGAAAGAAGGTCCTCAAAGGAATAGGAAATGTTTGTATCAGGGAGAAAATAAATTTCCATGTAAAAACATAAACTATGTCGTATATAGAGAGTGCATATCATATGTCACTCATATTGTATATTTATTTTAAGGTATCCCCAGAAATGTCTTTACAGTATTGGAATTTGAGAACACTATATAGACTAGTACAGGGCATGCAAATGAGAGAAGTGAGACAAAGTTGAGAAGGTGAGATTGAATCACAATATGAGAGATCTTGAAAGCTAGAATGCTAGACTAAAGTGTTTATTTTATATAACTTAAGGGGCTGTCAAAGTAATAATGAGGTAAGAATTAGGCTTTAGAAAAACGACATTACCTGATTGGATCAGAATGAGATCTGAGTCAGGGTAACCCCTTAAAAAAAGCTAGTAGATTATGCTAGATCGAAAATTTAATAAAATCTTAAAGTGGCATTGTAGCAAGTAGAATAAGGAAAGAAAGAAATGAATGCAAGAGTAAAGGTACAGAATTTGGCAGTAGATTTGATGCCAGTGAAAGAAGGAAGAAATCAGATAGCTCCTAGATTTTAAGCTTGAATGATTTAAAGTATAGCTCTATCCTTAGCAGAAGGAAACCAGTCTAGAAGATAAGCTAGTTTTGAGAGAAAGATGATACAATCTGTTGTGTGCACATTGAGTTTCAGATTTCTGTAGGTCTGCCCGGATTCTGTCTATAGCTGGAGAGAAAACTGGTTCCAAAGCTATGAGAGAGGTCTGGACTGGAGCTGGACATTTTAGAGCCATTCATTTGATATTACTGTGCACATTGTGGAGATAGAGGAAAGAGAGGCAAAATGAGAGGGAATAAGACAAATTGACAGCAAAGACAAAACTTTCAGAATATTAAATCTGAAGAAAGGAGAACAGTTTTCAAGAAGGTAAGAATTAACAATGTCAACTATGGCAGAGAACTTTAAGAAAGGGCCCTTGGGTCTGGTAATTATGAAGTCATGGTGACTTGTAGGATTGAAAAAGCAGAAGTCAGACTTCAAAATTCAGACTCGTAAGTCAGTTAGTAGCCATAAGATTTATTGACCACTGCCAGGAGAAATTAAGAATTCTCCTTTGCTGAGGATTATAAACATAGGATATGCCTGTTGGGAACAGTTTGCTTGAAGCAGGTGGTTGTGGTTTTATTCACCTTAAGGCACCATAAAATCCTCTGTAATTCCGCGACTCTGAGATCCTAATGCCAATTACAGTATTGGCCACCTGGTGGTTATCTATAAATAACAGATGGTTATATTTTGCCAAATTTAATTACCATTTATCATTTATATTAACAGTTTGTCATGGTCCACTGGGAGAAGAGAAATCTGTAAGTACGGAGTTTGGCTCTACTTTAATTCAAATTTGTTCTAATTCCTGTATTTGAATAGAAGTCTAAACATGGTTTGTATATGTAGCCTGGAGACACATGGACTGCCAATTGCCACAGGTGTACCTGTACTGATGCAAAGACTATAGACTGTAAACCTGAGGAGTGTCCTTCTCCACCCACATGCAAAACCGGCGAGAAGCTTGTGAAGTTCAAATCTAATGACACCTGCTGTGAAATTGGACACTGTGGTATGTATTCATAATGCATTATTTTAATTGAATATATTCATTGTCTATTCATATATTCAAGAGATACTTTTTGAGTTACCAATTTTGTCAAAGATAATGCTAGGCAGGTGTAATAAATAAAACAGAATTAGTATAATATTTGCCTTCTTAAAACTTACCATCTTCAGAATGGGGGACACCCAGAATTAACAGTTATGAATATAATCAGTAGATTGAAGAAGGACTATGATATTATGAGGAGAAACATTATAGTTGGTTGCTGTGTATGATCTCATCTACAATTTGTTTTAAAAATAGAAATGATAGTATTTTAGAATAAAACAATGTCTTTATTTTTCAGAACCAAGAACATGTTTATTTAACAATACTGATTATGAGGTAAGGGCTTTTCTTCATTAAAATATTTTTGTTAATTAGATGAATAATTTGAATGCTGGGCAACATCAAGATACTTTCAGCTTAGTATATATATATATTTATATATTATATACACATATATGTAAAATGATATTTATACATATAAATTTATGTATAATATAAATATGTTTTTATATTATACACAAATATATATAAACATTTTATATATAAATTTATAATATTTATATATAAATTTATGCATAATAAAATTATGTATAATATTAAAATATGTATAAATATTTTATATATTAATTTATATATATGTATATAGATTTAACCCTGCTAACAATGGAGTAGAATCCATTTATTTTTTTTCCCAACACTCACTTCCAAAAGCACATCAAATGTAACACTCACCATGACTCTTCAAAGGAAAACAGAGCTTGATCATTAACTACTCAGCAGTAGAGCTTCTGAACAAAATTTCCCATGGGCCTTGCCAGATGGAGAAGACATACTTTGTAACATTCAAATCAATGAACAGAGTCAAACTGTAATTATAACCAGAAAGATCAGATGGTCAAGCTGTCAGAGATCAAATAGAAAACCCGAAGGGCTAGAACCCTATTATGCAGCTACAGCAACACGATATACTCAAGGCTGGATTTTGACAATTAATTTGACATTTTGGTCAGTAATGTAACTTTAGAAAAAAATGTATAAGGAAGCCATAAAAATCAGATGATTCTCAAATTAATGTTAACACACTTGAAATGGCAATAGTAAACATTAAAAAATCTGAAATGAAATATATGTGGTATATTAGGAAGCAGATAAAACAGCCGATGAGAGTTTTACTTTGATAACCCATTTATCACACTCGAATTTCCACTTGGACTTCTTAATTTTTAGTTTCCAACGTTGATCTGACTTGAATCTGTGATCGTTTTTAAACGCAAAATAGGATGACATTTAAGGAACAAAAGGGAAGTTTTGTCTCATCATTTATAGTAGCAAAATTCCAATTCATTAGAAAGTTCATCTTGTCTGAGGCCATGAAATAAATGCAGTTTCTCAAACTGCTGTTTGAATATTGAACATAAGATAATTATAAAGTAATACCAGAGAGCTTTAAAAGTATAGGAATACAGGCCAAGATAGACATAAGACATCTTGTGAGACTTGTTTTTTGTAACCCGGTAAGCCTATTTTGTGCCATTTTCTTCCCCACTTAGATTTCTTGTTTCCCCTTAAGCTTAGAGCATAACAATTGATTAACTGCTTCATCACTATAAAGGAACCTTTCTTGAAAATAGACTACCTGTTGGTAAATCTTAATTTGAGGATTGAGAATCTTGACACATTCTATGCTCTCAATGAACAAATTTGGTTTATTTATGGAAGTGGAAGACTTTCAAACCATCTTTTCTTTACTACTAACCTAATGACTGAAACTGCCTCTGGAAAATCACTAAACATGAATTTGAATTTTTTAGCCAATATTCTTGCCAACCTCAAAAAGAAATCAAGATAAATAATTACTTTGTTTTCTTCCCCGCTTTTCCTCCCAGATTGGTGCTTCATTTGATGACCCCCGCAACCCCTGTGTTTCCTACTCCTGCCGAGACACTGGCTTTGCTGCAGTAGTCCAGGACTGCCCAAGGCAGACCTGGTGTGCAGAAGTAAGTCATCTTCACTGATCAACACCGAGATTCGGTTCTCATATTCAACACAAGCTCAACCTGTCTTCTGTTTTATTTGGAAATATTTGTCTGGCTAAAAGACATAAATATCTTGTAGATTATATAGATATTTAAACAAATTCATTATATCCAGAGCCCAGATGATTCCAGATTCATCTTTTGGAAACAAATTCATTATATCCAGAGCCCAGATGATTCCAGATTCATCTCATTCACGTCTGGCTAGCAGACATAAATATCTTGTAGATTGTGTAACTTTTTAAACAAATTCATTATATCCAGAACCCAGATAATTCCAGACATGTTCACTTTTCATTTTTAAGTATATATATATTTTTTAATATCAAGACAGGCTCTCATGTTTTACAGCCTTTATAAAACTTAATTTACTGCTAGTCTAGAAGGAGTAAGATATTATAGAAAGCATCTTGCTATTTCTAAACTAAAAAACCCACTAACTTTAAAAATAGCCCAAATCATTGTCTATAAAAATACCCAATCTCTATATAATCACATCTGGGTTCTTTAGATCTTCCTTTGTGTCAGTTTTCTTCATTTCTATGCCCCCAAATATTACTAGGTTTTATATTAATGATTAAGTATCAATTATTAAGGGAGATTTAAGTTATTTTTCTTTCTGAAGGTATAATTGATAATATGGTTTAAAGTTTTATTTTAGAGTTGTAATACTAGATTTCAATATGTATCATGCTTTTACTTTGTTATAATTTTAAACCTATCAATCAGTTTCTCAAAGGTACAGGTACTAATTGTGAGTTTCTATTGTCTTGTAGTACTATCGTTGTTAAAGTATTTTTCAGTAAATTAGAAATAATTTAATATTATTGAATGTTATCTTTAACAGGAATTTAGTTTAAAGCTTATTTTTCCTTTCCCCATTGTTGAAAAATGGTAGCCTCATTTTTATTACTAAGCTGATCTCTCTCCTTTCCTGCCCTTGCTTACTAGATCTGGGATAAGATTTTCCATCTGTTCCATTTTTTCTTTGTGATGCATTTTAACAAATTAAGAAATGTTATATCATTTGCAGAAAAATTTTGAACAAGTTTTCCAGTCTTTTCTTCTTTTTTTTCTTACCCTCTACAGGAAGACAGAATCTATGATTCAAAAAAATGTTGCTATACATGTGAGTAAAGTTAAGTTCTGCATATATAGGAAATGTAAGCTGTTGACAAAAGTTTAATTTCTTTAAAACAAAATGACAGATCATTAAGAGAAAGTATCTTGTATTTTTAACACAATGGGTAATCTAGCCTATATGTATAAATTTCCATTTGATATGTGTACATAATGTGTTATGATTATGGATTCATGTGGATTGCAACCTTCTTCTCAGTAAAAACCAGTGATGTTTACAAGGGAGTAAAATGTAATTTTCATAGAAAAATTAGCTTGTTCTTTTGACTTCAGCAACTTGTATTAACTAGTGTATTAGATCCTAAGGATAGTCAGTGATGAGAAAATGGATGTCAAAAATAATTCATCCACCCCTGTTTTTGATGGAAGCCAAAAATAATCCACCCACCCCTTTCTCGCCCTTCCTCTTTTCCCTTCCGCCCCTTCACATGTGATAGTGAGATAGTGACAACAGGAACAAGATACCAGTAATCTGAGTATTAACCAGCTACCTTGCAAATGGGTGCTAGTTCATATCCTTAATAATGTGGTAAAGTAGTTGCTGTTATTCATAGGTTAAGAAAATGGAGTGTTAGCTATTGTTAAACCTCATTTCGGACTCTCTTTTCCATTTGGTTTTAGGTAAGAATAATTGCAGATCTTCCCCTGTAAATGTGACTGTTATCTACAGTGGTTGCAAGAAAAGAGTTCAGATGGCAAAATGCACAGGGGAATGTGAAAAGACTGTCAAGTGAGTTCTTTGAATGTGTATCATGTGTTAACTTTGTAACCTTGAGGAGGAAAGGAATCTTTTAAAACATTACACAGAAAAATTTTATGTGAGAGCAATACTGTTTTATTATCAGGACTTAATGAAAGAAGAATCTAAGATATTAAGATCTGAGAATTAAAATATTCACTGAAAATAGTGATGAGTCATTCTGAAGTAGTCTTCTAAATATGCCAACCATGATACATTTGTAGCAGATGTACACTCATCTTCATACAGTGACTACAAAAATATTTAAGCAAGGAAGTGAATTTCTTGAATTAAACTTGAAATTTAGATAGTATGCTTTTCTTTAAGTACAGTTTTTTATATAGATTAATATAGAGATATTCTCATATTATGTTGTATATTTAAAACTTTACTTAGTTTTTTTCACCATAATGCTCCAATTATGAGAGCATAATTTCCTTTCAGATTTCTTATTTCTCTTGGTCTAACGTACCAAGTATCACTGAGCAACATCAGAACTTTACAGTGTCGGGAATGCAAGGTCTAGGAAAATACATTGGTTAGAAAGCTTGCTGAGTCACTTAGACAATTACAATTTAGGCACCGATGTCAATTTATTTTTTAAATTCTAAAAATGTTTATTACCTTATTTTCCTCTTAGGTATAATTATGATATCTTACTCTTGGAACATTCGTGCCTTTGCTGCCGAGAAGAAAACTATGAACTCCGAGACATTGTTCTTGACTGTCCTGATGGCAGTACAATCCCTTACCAATACAGGCACATCACTACCTGCTCTTGTTTAGACATATGCCAACCAACTACGACCTTCATGTACAGTTAATGCTGACATCACCTTCCCCGTTTTAACAGGCCTGGTATTTATTTTATAAGTGAACAAAAATAATCATTTAAAGAGTGAGAATAACTAAACATTTGTATCTTGCTCAAAACAATGGGTTCCCATTATGAGGAATTTTGTTCTCTTGTTGCCTAGATCTGAAAAATAAACACAACTTTACAAGCAATTTGGGAGCAAGGGTACTTATTTTACGGCAATAAGAATTCTGCAAGTCTAGCAGAAACCGGATCATATCATAACCATCAATATGTTTTCCTTTTATCCTTCAGCTTCTGATGCCATTCTCCTGTTTCCTTCCCTTAACTTATTGAAAATGTACTTTGTTTTCTTTTCTCACTTCCTATGCCAGTTGCCTCACTCCTTCCATCCTACTAGCACTCCTCCCGCCAGGTCACCAGTGACCTTATAGTTCTCCCTACAGGGTCTGACGGCATTTCCACTCTTCCTTTCTTGAGACAGTTTTCTCCTTGTTTCTATGACATCATTTCTTTTTTCTGTGACTTCATTTTAAATTAATGCCCCTACATCATGTGGACAGCTTTATTTCTTGCAATCTTCTACGGTTTAGTTTTCCAGTCACATCCTGTTCTGCTTTTCATTTTACTCAGTCTTTGGCCAATGTCATCAATTTAAGTAGATGTATTTACACACTGAGGATTTCTAGTCTATATCACCAACCTCAGCCTCTCAGTTTCAGACACATTGATACAACTTTGAATTTACCGTCTCTCACTGGATGCTCTATATGTACCACAAACTCGGCAATACCAAAACCAAAATAAATATCATTCCCTACCTAACTCAGTCCTATGCTTGTATATTATATACCAGTGAAGCAGGTAGCTGAAAGGCGAGGTTGAGGCTGACTAACATTATGGCTGTCTTTCTACTATCTTGCTACCTCTCATACACATCCTTCTTCCTGAACATACATGTTCAAATGTGCCTTGGATAAATTATTTACACAGGTGAAATGTGTGCAGTTATTAACACTCCTGTCCCCTTCCCAACATGAAGGCAAATCCAATTTATCATAACTTATTTATGAACCAGTTTTTACTTTTCTATATCACTTGGACTAGTGGTAAATTTAACTATCATCAAACACTGTATGTCTAATGGTGAGGAAGAAAACAGATGTGTTAGTATACTGGTAATTGCCAACAAAGGTGAATCCCGACTCCCTATGAGAGGGCATTACAGATCTCACTTCTGCAGTCAGTGCCAGGGCCTTTGACTTTCCTCTATGTCTGTCACTGGTTCCAGGTTTTTCTCATTCTCAATGCATACCAGAGTTCATCATTTCACAAAAATTATGAGGAGCTTGAGCCCCTGAAAATCCAAATGGGTGAGATTGTAGGAGTTTCTCAACAGCTTTTACCTCAGGGAATAGTATAGCACAGAGCCAACAATATACCCACATTTCAGTCCTTACCATGCAACTCTGTTTTCACCTGACAGTCAGAATTCATCATCCCAGATAATACAATGACAGCATTTTCTGCTTAGTAAGCTGCTTTAGACTTATGAGAGACCTCAGATGGCTAGCTAGGACTTTCAGAACAAGGGAGATAAAATGAATGTTGGTTGATTTCTAGTCCAGCTAATATATTACATCCTGCCACTAGCACACAGACCTCAGAAGGTAGTTATCCCTCAGCTGGTATCAGGGTGGAGTGCTCAGTAAACTGATCTTTAAGGTTTACCATCTGTGAATAATAAAGCATAATACATTTATTAATGTATGTATGTACCTTTCTTTTCTTTGATTTTATTCTATAGGAACTTTTCTGCACTTGAAAATAAATTCCTTGGTTAGAAGCAATGCTGCACAGCATTTCATGGCAGTGAATAGAGTATTCAGTAAGCCTATAGATAGAAGTGCTTGTCTAGGCATATTAGACACAAAAAGAAAATGCCAATCCATACTTCATTACCTCAGAGAAAATAAATGCTGTCTTCTCACCACAAGAAAAGGATCAAAGTTGTCTTCTTAGTACCGAGTAGCTGCCTGACATGGTAGTTTGAAAATGGAAGACCACTGTCTTCCATTTATATCACAATAACATGATTATTGTCATGGTGGTGTCCCAAGGGGCTTCAATGGAGGAAATTTAGGCTGCTGAACCCATGCATGGCCCTCATTCCTGCTACAATTGCTACCTCCTTCTTTAAGCATCCATCTATGTTCAGGTATGGATCTATTCTGAATTACTCATATCATTCCCCCAACCCTTCTTGGCATTCTCCATTTTTTCTCCCTTCAAGTCCTGGGCCATCTATACAAATTATTTGCTATGTCTGAGAAATGCATGTGAATACTGACTTCAGGCTAACCTTCTGCCAAGCACAATGGCTATAGAGAATTTTCCTTTATAGTTGTTTTTCACAGCATTCCTTGGATAGGCTCACTTTTCACTAATATTGGGTCTGTAGGCAATCTAGCTTTGAGTCTTTTCATCCTTTGTTAAATGATTATAAACAAGTCCTCCTCTAAGAAAAAGGCATTAAGTCAGAGAAATATGGCAGCCAGATAGGTAGTAGCACATTGTGGGCATTTAGAAATTATTGGATGGATCTCACTTTCTTACTTGTGCCTTTGAGACCTGAATGGACTCTATTTTGTATATATGACTTTGGATGGATGATGGATTGCTGCTGAGAATGCTGAAATCCACGGCAACATAGATAATCTAATGCCCCCTCCAGGATGAGGGGCTTTGGTTCATGGCCACTTGTTATTTTAGTATTGCCAGAAAGCTAGTATTTCTTGAAAATAGAAAAAGTGTCTCTGGAGATAGTGTGGTCTCACTCTCAAAGCTCAGAAGCTTCCATTGCTATGACCATTTTACAAGTTGTCATTGGCTCCTCCACTAGGTTTTGCTTTTCTGTTATAGATTCTTCTAGAACCATTGGATCTACTACCATTGGAGTTAAACATTGAGCTAGCTTTTACCAAAACCTCGATAAGCTGAACTGCTCTCACATTTTGTCTGTGTGCCTCTAGAGTTTGCACATCTTAGGGCATCCAGTGAGTAGACCTAAGAAAGACATTTGTATCAATACAGGTTTCTTGATGTTTCAAAAACCTGGTGGGTCTATTTCCTAGTGTGAGTAAACAAAGTATGACAGCATGTCCTTCACCTCAAAAATGAGGACCCACTATCTTCATATTACTAAGATTTAAGCTGATTACAGAAAAAAAAATAACACTGACTTTTAAAAGATAGAAATGGATTCCTCTGTCATACACAAAACTAGGTAGGTGATCCAGAGAGGCATGGCTATGCCTGTCTCTTCCGTCTTATTGCAGAATGCATTGTCCAGCTTCCATCTTGTTAGCCCATGATGGTTCCCACTAGCTCCTACCAGCTCATTCTTTTTTTTTTTTTTTTTTGAGACGGAGTTTCACTTTTGTTACCCAGGCTGGAGCGCAATGGCGCGATCTCGGCTCACTGCAACCTCCGCCTCCTGGGTTCCGGCAATTCTCCTGCCTCAGCCTCCTGAGTAGCTGGGATTACAGGCATGCACCACCATGCCCAGCTAATTTTTTATATTTTTAGTAGAGACGGGGTTTCACCATGTTGACCAGGATGGTCTCGATCTCTTGACCTCGTGATCCACCCGCCTCGGCCTCCCAAAGTGCTGGGATTATAGGCTTGATACCATCTCATTCTTATTCCAATCAGCAAGAAAGTAGAATGGGAGAGGGGAGTGTGTGCTCCTTCTCCTCTGAGGGTAAAACTCAGAAGTGGCACACATACTTCCACTAAATCCCACTGGCCAGAATTAGAGATACAACTGTCTATGGAACCATAAACAGTGCTTCCAAATTGAGGGTCTATAGACTGTTTATAGAGTAATCACTGGGGATCTTTATAAAAATACAGATTTATGAATCTCTTCCTGAGAGGTCCAGTTCACTAGGTGAGAAAGCAGGTAGATAAATCAATTTTTGCAAATAATGCTCTAGGGAACATATTGTTCCATTTAGTAACAGAAACATCTAGAAAAGCAGCTACAATTTGAGTCATCACCAGACTGAGTTTATTGGGAGGGATACTGTAATGCACTGCTCAGATTCTCCTTCAGAAAAACAGGGCTTATTCCACAGCTGCTGAGAGTGCTGACAGCAGACTGCTTTCAGCTGTCAGCCTCCTTAGGGGGTTGCCTCAGCTAAAGACAGCAACATCCGCCACTGATATGACTACCTTCTGGAGAAAAGAGGCATCTACTGAATGGTAGGGGAAAGTAGAAAGGCTCAATGCTCTCTCTCTCCAACTTGCTCTATGAGCTCTTCACTCAGCAAGTTGCTGAGCCTTCCATTGAAGATGTACAATGCCTTGACTTCTCCCTCCTCCGAATCTAGCTCCCTTCCTTCTCTTCCACAAATTTAGATTCCAAGTACACTTTATAACAATCCTGCTGCATGTAAATCTCCATCTTAGAATCTGCTCCTAGGGAGCACAACCTGTGCTGCTCATAGGAATCTAGAGCCCATCAATTGTTTGTAGCATTCAAGTCTGAGAATTCAAGGGGGAAGGATATAGAAAAGAGCCTACCTATGTCTTTTAAGTCTTTGATGTTGGCTTTGAAATGAACAAAATGTATGAAGCCTCCTCTACTACCCTGCCTCTCATTCCCTTTCCCCCTTCTGTTGTATGAACAAAAAATATATAGTTTCCTATATGCCAATGACACTAGGTAACTGGTCCTACTGTAAAATTAAAGATGTGAGTAAAGTTGATTACTGACACTCAAAATCTAGAACTATAATTTTGTCAGAGCACCGTGAAAACTCATTATTTCTGACTATTCTTTTTCTCTGTCTATAATCCATTCTCTATGTACTAGTCACTCTCTTTTCTTCACCTACCTTTCCACAGTTGGTAGACCTATTTACAATTTTAATTTCAGTTATCACTAACATTTATTTGTTCTTTATTATCCCTTTTAATGTAAGTGTTCAGAGCACAGAAAGTTTGTATCTCTATTCCACAGCTCTGTCTCTAATACCTAGAAGAGGACGTGGCATAGATTAGGTAATCAATAAGCATTTGTTGATATTTGAATGAAGAAATCTAACAAAGGCAGCCAGTTCAACAGTTACTTGTCTAGGAATATGCTCATCGAATACTTTTTGCAATGAAATATATAC